AAGCAATACATGATCCCATATCTACCACAAGGACACCGAGAGACAGTCTGACTTCCAACGGCTAAGGCAGTAATCATCAAACGCAATTGATAGGGCCATGATAGGGCTGACCACACTGTCGCATATGAATCATAGCTGCCAACGATTCTTTACAGAAAAGAGCAAAGCACCATCCCGTTCTACCCATAGCAAATAAACATCCACCATATCAGTAGTAGCTGCCATCAAGCGACCTTCCTGGGTAGGCGTCATAAGAGACACATCATGCACTGCGACAAATAAATCCGGTCTTGATGAAATAGCACACACGAGGATATGCCCAAAGGTATCCGTACAGGTACTTGAGGAATGATATCCGCCATGGCACCGATAACAAAGATTGCTCAAAGATCCATCCATAAAGAGACGACTTGCAGATAGCTGAGCACTGGAGTAGTACTTGACAACAACAGCCATAAGATAATAGAAGTTGTTGCAGACTCACACAAAAGGAATGTTTAATACTTGATAACGAGAACTATCGAACGATGTAATAAGGCCTGCTGATACTGAAAGATGCCAAAGACGATGCTGCTTGATCCTAACATGGTTCACCTATAATAGATGCACCGTAAACAATCCTCCAAACATGTAAAACAATACTTAGCAATGATAGCTGCAATCCTGGGGGACTTCAATGCAAGGTGATCCATCTAGAAAGACGCATTGTCAGCAAGAATACTTCCATCTCAAAGACATTGGAATGATACGTACATGAATCTCTCAATCAGGATGCAACCAGAAATCATAGCAATAAATAAAGGCACAATGCCAAAGAATGCCAAGGTACCTGCACTGCCTACTAGCCCCTTCCCGAAGGAAGCATGGTGCCAAAACACCGGATTTAACGGTGACCTGAGCCCCTCACCAGTCGACTTTCACACCACCTGAGCCGTGGATCCGCATGCTGCAACTGCGAACAGAGGATGCGTATTTAAATTGGACTTGCCATAGCACCGTGAGCACATGTTTCCACACGAGGTGGTAAGGGCAACATGGTCTCCCCAAGACAGCACACAGTACAATAACATCCTTGACGTGCCAAGTGAAATAGCCGAGAAAAAGCCTTCTTGATCCTGTCGTTGCACATCTTCCATCGTAAGTGCACCTGCATGCGACACATCCCATAATGGATACTCTTACCTTGTGGTATTTCACAATAATATCCTTCCTTCAAATAAGAGCCGTATCTCCATGCCATCCATATCTCCATGCCAACCATATCATGATGCCGCTGCTATTCCATTGTAAAAGCTCGTTAATTCAGAGCACTTGTATTGTAGATCCAATGCTATACATACTAATGAATCTTGCCTCCAGCAATAATAGCAATAATAAAAGCGCACTGCCAAGGAATGTAGTATCCGTACTGCCTTCTAGCCTCCCATAGGAACGTGGCGTCAAAACACCGGTTTTAACGGTGACATGAAGTCCCTCCCCAGCCGACTTTAACACCACTAGCCGTGGGTCCAGCCATGTTGCCAAGAAAGACACCCATCGTCTTCCAAGTCGAGTAAAGTATAGCAGTGCAATGATGGGAAGCATATACTTTGTTCTCCACGAAAGGTCAGAGGGTGCATTTTTAAACCGAAGTCGCACCGTGAGCCCAACGTAATATCCGCGTACCACAACATGGCCTTCCCCCTTAAGACAGTACACTCCATCCCTTGACGTGCAGCCGTGATAATAGCAATATCGCCGAAAGAGAGCCTATTTCTTTCATCAGTGCACTTGAAGGTGACAAATCCTAAAATGATCACTTTACCTTGAGGTGTTCCCAATACCATTCCAAATAACCTTGTATCCATCCGATCCAGTATGTGCTGCTGCTGCTTCATTGTAAGGCTCGTTAATTAAGTGGTCCTGCATTGTAGATCCAACACCATACATACCATTGAACCAACGTACAGCGTTCTTGCTTTGAGATCAATATCTTGTTACTGTCCACAGGTACCATCATCCAACAAGTCGATCTAGCATGAACACAATGTGAGATACCAAGGAAAACCAATCTAAACGCGTTTTCTTGCCAACATACCAAAAGAGGCAGTGTAAAGAAGTGTTGTTGTGGACAACTTGGGAATGAATACACGAGACGCACCCATTAGATCTTAAAAACGAGAGAACAGCAATATACACACGAGCTTCAGCACCACAATGTCAAACTTGAATTGTAAAAGAGCTGCAGCGATTGCCGTACCTGTTGTACGGGATTGGAAGTTTGAAACATGGGTAGATTGCGCGCGTGCTTGTTGTAGTTGAAAGGGACGCCATTGACCACCGGTTCACCCATCTACGTCTTGCATTAAAGAGCATGACAGGAGTCAATGCGCTGTAGTTCGTTAATGGAGAGTGTCTCACCTTGCTTTTGTGAAATGGGAGTGGAGAAAGGTGGGGTGGACTCTTTTTGGTTCCTCTCGTCGTCCTTGATACAGCCACCCAGCTCCCCACGGTTCCTCTTGTGAATATGCACACTTGTATACCTCGATCAGTATGGATCAACTACTAGTCCCTCGTTATGTATCTCTGGCAAAAGTGACACCAGCCTTGGTTTTATGCAGCCAACAAACTCCTGAACTTGGAACATCCAATGTGTAATCCTGCATCAAATGTGGACGTGTAAATACTCAAATATGGTATGCGTGTATAAAGCAATTGTCCCTGCCATCATGGATAGCTTTCTCATCAATCGATAGCTTGTGTATGAAGAACTAACATTGCCCAAGATTATCATCACCATCCGTTTGTGCAACCTGTCAACAACATGTGTAACCTAATATATACCTCAGCAAATATCCTATATACTTGGATCAATAAAACTCGATATTGAGCGATGTCCTCATAATCGAGCTATCCGTAGTTTTACTATATACAGCAATGACACCAATAAAGTCTATACATATTGATCTTGAAGCATTTCCTTTTATTCAGATCATGATAAGGAAGAAAAACAATAATGAGTGATAGAGAGTGCGCTGTGGCGGTGCCTGTAGCAGTGATAACCAAGGAAGTGAGGTGTACACTGATTGCATGAACATGATTGTCGGGCCCTGAATCCTCGCTCTAAAAGCAGGCAAACCATGCATGTATTCTTTTCCTCACAGAAGAGGACGTGGAATCCAGTGCAATCTACATTGTGAATGAAACAAAGTGCACTTTCCATTGTTGTATCGATATGAGTACTGACAATGCTTATACACAGATACCTTGCAGCCTATGCTGTCCAATCGAATCCAGATATTGAATGCATGCCAATCGTAGTGGTATTATACAGCGTTTTTCATTGTTGCTCTCTACACGAACAGCAAGCCATCCTCAAGTGAATATAGCGTTTTGTCAGAGACGTTCTGCTAGGAGAGCAAATATTCAATCCCGGCCACTCTGGTCGATGCGCAGCATTCAGCTACGAGGTATGCCGCATGTGGAAGATCCCATTGCATCACGTAGTAGTGTCCTGGTGATAGGATTTTACAGGAATCCTTGCATGTCATACATGTTCCTTTGCAGCAAGAGGTTGAGAGGGTAATGTGAAGAAAAAAGATATCCAAGCTACAGGCCATTTGCCAACGTTATCCACTTGCATCGGATAAGGAATACAACATCCATATTTATATGGATCATCCTATGTGAGTCGTATGCAGCAACAACAAAGCGGACATGGTGGAAAAGGGCTATTGGAATGAATTCTATGGCATGTCACTGATTCACTTGAGCAATGCCCTGGTCATGTGGATATGGAGAATCAACCATTGGATGGGTGACTACATCAGCAGCAACAGTACCAGGATGACATACACTTTTATTAGATATTGATCCCCCTTTTTAGATGGTCTATTATATACGAAAAGGTGCTTCAACAAGGTATTAGCAAGGTGAATGTTGAAAAAAAACACAGAGAGGATGACTCGAGCTGCAACTATATGCTTTTTAGCCCACTTTCCATAGTGACCATTTACGCGTACAGCATATCCAATGGCGGCCTTGAATTCATGTTTCAACTCATCCTTCATTTGCAAACCGAATCGCCTTGCAAACATACAGTTGATAGTCCCCTCCAATTGGATTGATGTATAAATTACTATCGTTTTGTGCCATGGCTGCCGTGATTGGAATGCAGGAAAGAGGACCTTGCTATTTGCACCATGTCAATTTCAGCACCGACGTAGACCTGTGGCACCGAAATCAACTTTTGCAGCTGGATCACTGGAGATAGACTATGTCGAAAGTAACGAGTTAGTGTGTATGAGTAGTGAATTATCAAGCAACATAATCAGACTCTACCTTATTATAAGGATCCAATATCACAATGACAATCACGGTGCCAGGAAGCACGATGAATGACCACAAAAATCAGAGCTTATTCACAATTGCAAGAAATGGGATACATACAAAACAAACCCTTGGAATTTTGACCTTGTAAGCAATAAAAGAAGTATGGCAGAGGAAAGAGGCGTGTGGGAGCATGATGGGCGGCTACAACATTGTTTTTTATCGTGCACAGTGGGCGTGGATACTTCTGCTTGCTGGTATGATGCATGAGCTGATAAAGTGATGGGGCGTATATACCAGGATTACGTCTGAAGAGCCTAGGTATAATGTTTGTCTATGCATTCATTGACCGAAATACGGCAGGTGATAAAATCTATCAATGAAATTAAAGCAGTCATCAAGTGAACTTTTCCGCCATTCATGCGAAAGTATCCTGTCACGCATTATGCAAGACATACTAAGAATTTAAAGACTTCCAAGTACCCACTATTAAACCGCTCCCCAATAGCAAATAGCGTGTCGGTATTGAGTTCAACCAATATACACATATGCATTACTTCAAAGGTAAGTGATAAGCCATTCGCACAAAAAAAAACCGAAAGTTTACAAGCGGGCAATTGGAGCCGATTATATATAGATAAGAGAGGTGTAGTAGCATGATGGATAGGGATTGTGTAAGTATGACAACATTTTTATCGTTTACGCTTTTTGACTGGTTGAAAAGCACCATAATCTTGCTCAATGGATGGAGCATCTGGTGAGAGTGGAGCAGGTCTACTGACAGCCGCAGATGAAGTTGAATGATGGTGATGAAGATACTGAGCGGTAGAAGTAGCAGTCGTAGTAGTGGTGGTAGTAGTGGTAGCAGGAGGTGCGGGAGGAGGTACCATTTCTGGGTGTTGCTCATGTGGATGATAACCCGAAGAAGGAGCCGACAGATTGTGAATAGATGGAAGCCGAATATCATATTCTGATATCCTTTGTTGTTGTTGCTGTTGTTGTGGAGGAGGAGGAGGAGGAGGAACATATGAAGACGATGGATGCTGGTGGTGGTGGTGATGATACGAATGATGAAGATGTTGTATAGATTGTGGAGGCGAAGATGGTTGACGAATGGAATGTTGTTGTTGCAAAGAATTCGGTGGTGAAGAGGCGGATGAGTTTGAAGAACTTGATGAAGGTCGCTGAGTAGTAGCAGTAGGAGGAGGAGGAGTAGAAGCAACTACGACATTGCCTCCACTACCAGTGCCAGTAGTATTGTTAAGAAATTGGTGCACCATTGCAGGATCAAGGTCCGGTGGATTGTGCTGTGATGACTGCAGAATCATCCGAAGCATATCCTCGATCGTTTTGAGTCGTTCCTCAATTGATTCCAATGCCGCCTTATTGAGATGGCTACGTTTGTCGTCTCCGTGGTGTTGTGTAGCAGATGGATAAATGCATGCAACTCCAGACTTTTCGCAGCTGCGACAAGGTTGCTCACCATTGCACTTTGTCTTTTTACGTCGACATTCACCGCAAGCACTTACAATCTTGGCGCGCTTTTTCCGTGGCTGTTGTTGCTGGTGTTGCTGATGTTGCGGGTCTATAGCTTGATGAGGAATAGCGGTAGATGGAGGAGTATGCTGTTGGTCATGGAGATCATCGCCTGGCATGACGGATAATAAAAGAGCAGGTACAATAAGTTGAAAAAGGTGTCCCAAAAAAAAAAAGAAAGAACAAGTATAGAATATAAAGAGTGGAACGTGTCAGAGATGATCGGGCTGGCGACGCAAATAAGAAGGAAAGGAAAGGTATGTTAGTGCGGACAACGAGGCGGGCCAAAGTTGTTTTGAATGGTTGCAATAGGCCAATCCTCATTGGTTGATGCCATTCTATTGTATCACGTATTCAGTCGATCCCTCCCATTCATGTTGTTCACAAGCATCCTATATACATAAAATCCCTGTGTTTTCTATGCAATTGCTTTACTGTTGCTTTTTCGATCAGTAGGCATATTCAGCTTTGATAATAAAGACCAATGACACGCACGTATCGGATATCCTGGTATGACCAAATACGTAGCAATACCGACAATAGATAATAATAGAAGTTGACAGGCATGAAGCGCTCGTGTTCAGCCACAATTACTTCAAGGATAATGGACCACCTATTATTTGTGGTTAGAGTCTTCGCGACGCCACCAACACCGCTAATGTATGCGCGTGATGCTTGGCATCGTCGCACAACATTGCATGTGGGGAATGACTGCTTGTGGCTCATTATCGTGCCCAGTCGCCACTCGCGCCACGATTGCCTGATTTGCGTTGTCCTCCGCTGCTGTATAACGGGGTTATTACATGATTGTATGTGCCCTCGATTGAACAAAAAGATAGTGGGTCCATGCCGGGTAATGATGCACGGCGGCACGAAGACGGATGCTGCCACTAAGACAATGTGTTGATGTTATGTGCACGTGCTGTTGAATATTCCCAGTGACGTGATGTGGGTACTGATTAACCTCCAGAGGCAATCAACGAATAAGAAAGAGACGTGGGGTGGAAAAATACGTTTCGACAAAAGAGACTCTTCTTGTTATGGCCCGATGCGAATACGTGTCATGGTGAAAGTGGTAATGATACGTGCTTTACGAATACGCCATATGCACCCACAAAGCAATACCATTGACCGTGATATCCTTTTTAAGGTTACATGCTCACCAAATTTATTTCATAAAGAATACGACTACACTAACACCTACAGCGAAATGATAATGCTGAATATCTACTTGTATATCGATCCCAAGAGCTATCTTACCATACCCTTTCTTCTCCATCCAGGTATATTCCATATTATTAAGCTGCATACCAAATCCAATCCTCCTTGAACGAGAATTGTCTCCCACGAATGACTCATAACAAAGAGACGAATGCTGACTGTAAATGACGAAGAAGGAATGTTGACAAGGAATAAAAGTGAGGCTTTGCTATCATTGAGTACAGGTGCTGTAAATAAGAAGCATAGTTAAATGGAAGCGCCCACCTTGTCGAGACGTCATTAATAAAAGATGCAAAGGACTACCTGTATGTGTTGAACGCAGGATGTCTGATGATAGTATACACTGATATAAGAGCAAGACGAATTCAGCGTGCGTGTTTTTAAAACAAATGTTGTTGTTACTAATGTATTGGGTATCATAAATGGATGCATTGCTTAGTGGTTATCCTCATTATCTCTGGAATACTGCATTACAAGTGAAGAAAGAGGCCGATCACCGATCGATGCAGGAGCAGGTGACTGTACTCGTTGAAGCATATCCGTGGAGCCAAGCATACCTAATTGGTCCATAATACGACGATGTACCGATTGGATGTCTCCTTCCAAGATTTGAAGTCGAGTTGAATAGGGCGGTAGATGTAATAAGTGATCAGCAAATTCTCTAGTAAGTTGTGCTTCTGTCATATTTGAATGGTCAACACGCGCAGAAGGTAGTGAAGATGATGATGATTGATTATAAGTTTCCATGGTAAGATTGGCAGCAGTGGACAAAATACTCGGCAATTCTATATCGAATGTCCATTTCGTTAGTTTACAGACATCCTCGTAAATGTGAAACTTAGACATACTAACCATCCGTAATAAATGAAGGCAATGTCATATTGCTATCAGCCCCCAAAGCTGAGCGTGCTGACAAAAACTGATCAAGCAACGATGCAGTAAACTCGAGTTGACATAGTAGATCTTCCTTCTCGTCAAAACGCTGCTGCACCAACCTATCCAAATCATCCACCGGAGCAACCGCCTCATCAACTACATCATTGTGTCTTCGTCGAAGTCGTCTAGGCAACATTTCCGCACGTCGTGCCCCTAATGTGGCTCTAGTTCGTCGATGGCTTGTCCCGTTGGCAGGCAATGGATGGCTTCTACTCGATGGCCGTAAGGTAGTACGCAGCGAATCCAGTCGCTGATCTGTCCCATGTCGAATTCGTTCAGTGCTATTCCTTGTACGTCTTTCCTCTCGAGGTCTCCAATACGGCAAGCCCATTGTTTAAATCAATATCCAAAAAAGATGATTTAGGACTGTGGCATCACCAAAAAAAATAGTCGTCAAAACCCCGATCTTGTGGTGAGGTGCAAATACCTAGTGAATGACTTTCCCGTCAGCTATAATAAAAGCATGCCGTCTTTTGAGACGTGTATTATGTTCATCTTCACAGCAGTAGACCATATGATACATTTATTGAAATAGATGAACCCCCTCCTTCTTCATGCACAACACCAGGCCTGTGCTACTAGTTTTTGCTCCTGTTTCATTATTGCATATGTCACATCATCATATGTATTATTCAATCGTCTTCAATAGATGTACATTTCAAACGTCTCTTTTTGACTCACACACAATCTTTGGCAATATAGCTTTCCTTTCGTTCCTCTCGAAAATGACCAATCTCGTCACTGTGATTGGCCTTCGCTTGATAGGGCAGTTGAATTAGTAAGCAGGGGGAAACAGGTTGCGCCAATACATATATCCACAGTAACATTCATCTAACGAGTACATCTCAACAAATTAGAAATCAAAATGAGATAACTTAAAAAGTAATGAAAACGAGGGTCACATGAGTGGTAGATATCCAAATGCTCGACCGCCACTGATGATTGGGCAACGGAACAACTAGGAGGGGAAAGCTTTATTCAGCTGTGCTGTATAATTTCGCTTTTGTTTCTCTTTCAGTTGAACAAATACCACAGAGAATGATAGCTTCAAGAATAGTCATTGCGGCAACACGAGTTACAAGTCGCTTGAATCGTTTGCAATTACAAAGATCTTTTGCCACACAGCGTCTTTTGCAACCTACTTGGCAACAGCGTCCTGCACTTAGTGTACGCCCATTGATTCCGGCGTTGACGCAGCAAGGTACATAGTGGTATCATACAAGATACTAGTTTCAAGTTCTTTCTAATGCCGGATAAATAGTACGCAGCATGTTTATTCAGACCGAGCAAACCCCAAATACCGAGTCCCTCAAGTTCATCCCTGGCGTAGAGGTCCTTGGCAATGGTACAGCCGAATTTTTGGATGTGCGTAGCTCAATGCAGTCGCCCTTGGCCAAACAACTCTTTCAAATCGATGGCATCGTAGGAGTATTTCTTGGACCAGACTTTATTACAATTTCCAAGGACCCAAACGCTGAATGGCAATTGATGAAGCCTGACATCTATGCAGCAATCATGGATCATTTTGCGTCAGGCCAGCCAATTATGTACAATGAGGGAGATCTTGCTGAGAGTGATACAGCAATTCATCCAGATGATTCAGAAGAGGTGCAGATGATCAAAGAACTTTTGGATACGCGTATTCGACCGGCTATTCAAGAAGATGGTGGCGATATTGAGTATTGCGGATTTGAAGGTGGCATTGTGAAGCTTAAGCTCAAGGGCAGTTGCCGTGGCTGCGACAGCTCAGTCGTTACACTCAAGAACGGAATCGAGAATATGCTTATGCACTATATCCCAGAAGTAGAAGGTGTGGAGCAAGTTATTGACGAGAATGAGGCCGTTGCACTACAGGAATTCGACAAACTCGAAAAGAAGCTTGGCGAGAAATAAAGCGCTTTTCCGTTTAAATAGAATGGGGATGTTGCTCCTTTGTAAATATACAGGATTTGACGTAGCTGACAAGTAAACTGAAATACATCATTTTATCATCCCTGTAAATCATTGTGCTATTGTTTCAAACACACATAATCACGTCAAGTAACATGTACCTCGGATACTGCCATCCAAATGAGCTTATCCACTCTTTCAATTACACTTGCTTAGTATTCCTTTTCGCTCACTTTATCTTTACATTACGCGATTTTCATTACAAACCCAATGGCCCATCCTATCCACAAACAGTAAACGCATTTACTTTCGTATGGGTTTTATTGTTGGAGTGGATAACAGGGTGCACTTTCGGCACTACAGAAAAAGTAAGCGGCATTCGCTGGCAATAGAAAGAGTGTTGTGCAAAATAGCCAAGTCCGAGATGCGTGCGTGTGTTCAATTTTCGACTGCGCTCATTAAAACACGCGCTCCTCTGGGGACGCGTCTCTTTTTCCTGCTTGTCACTCGTCACACCATGAAATCTGCAGCTAGTCAACGACGCAAGACCAGTCGCAGTATCTACAAGTTCTTTACAAAGCTCAATGGTCTTCACCTGCAAAGCGATGCTGCAAGTTTTCTCGAAAAGCACTTTGAAGATCAGCCCGACATTGACGAAGCATTGTCCCAGTTAGCTAAAGCCTACAAAAAACAGTTCACAGGTACTTTTTGGTCGATCGAGTGAACACTGAGGATATACCATATAGCATATCCCTCAACGAACATTAATCTTATTTAAATAGACGAGAACATGTTCGTGAAGAAAAATGACTTGGAGAGTTTGATAACTTCTTTAAACAATGTTACACCATCTCGCATTGAAAATGATATCAACAGCGGCATTCAGGATATGACAATCGATGACGGGCCGATCGACATTACACAACATTTCCACGTAGTCAACGCCTTTGACATGCCGAGAATGTATTATGACATTCGTCGCAAAGGATTTGTCAAGTATGAAATTGCAATATCGTTGTGGTACGACCGCTAATATCATTGTTCAAAAGATATGCGACAACGCCTTCCTTGATGTCTACACCCAAAGAGAAAAGTGAACTTTACAGGGATCGACTCCAGCTTGTGAAACAACGAGTGTTGCGCGATGAGCACTTTGATCAGTCATCATCATCACAGACGATAGATCCAGATTCGAGTTCATATCTCAAGGTATCGCCAAATAGAACCCAGATGAATCATCCATTCAACCTCTCCTCTCTTTATTTAGATTACACCTATAAAGGCACTGATTGGACGCGATCGTGAACACTTTTTACTGTTTGGCATGTTGACCCAGTTGGAAGATGGCAAAGTTTTCTTGGAGGATGAAGATGCCAACGTGCAACTCGATTTATCACAATGTGTAAGGGGAAACTCACTTGGATATTTCTTTATCTTTTATTAACCAGGTCAACGCAGGCATATACATCAGGTTTTTTTACCGATCACACCTTTGTGCTAGTCGAAGGCTTGTACGGCGACGACCACGTTTTTCATGTATATGAAATGGGCTTTCCACCTGCTGAACCACGTACCACATCTGAGTAAGTGCAAGAATGTCACAACATCTTGGATATAACTCTCATCTCTGTATGTAGGAATTTCACGCATGTCGATTTCCTTGATTTACAAAAGCCGACTATTGACAAGCACCGACTAAAAGCCGAGGAGGAATCAAATGAAGATGTTTTCTTTGCTATCATATCAGATGTTCACCTAGATGAGCCTATGGTAAGATGCAAAAAGGGGAGGAAGCTATCTAGTCTTACATTATATTTCAAATAGGTTATTCCATCACTTCGCCGTGTCTTTGAACGTTATTCAAGCACACGAATTCCTTTGGCCTTCATACTGATAGGAAACTTTAGTCGACAAGCCTTTAGTTATACGGGACAAAATACTGGACCATATAAAGGTAATGCATCATGCACTATTGAAATAACAATGAATTGACCATCTATATTTTTAAACAGATAGCTTTACAGTGCTGGCAGACCTGATATTTGAATTTCAAGAAATAGCCAGCAATTCGTATTTCATTTTCGTGCCTGGCTGTCGAGATCCATGGGGAGGCCTTAGTTTGCCCCAGCCTGCTTTACCTGAATTTCTTACAAGTCGTGTACAACATAAAGTGCGGCGAGCTATATTTACTTCCAACCCATGTCGGTGAGTGCAGATAAAATCAATCAAGGAAATGCGCCTGTATTGAAGCACGTGAATAGTATTCGGTACTGTACCCAGGACATTGTGGTGTACAGGGAGGATCTCTTCAACGCACTCTCAAGAAACGCTCTTTTAGCGCCAAGGTTGGAAGAAGACGAAGAACCTTCAAAACATGTAATGTATGTATATTTGTGATCCTGCATTTTTCTCATTCGATATCTAGTTGATACGCACAATCATCGACCAAGGCCATCTCTCACCATTACCCCTCACGAAAAGGCCTATCTATTGGGCTTACGATCATAGTATGCGACTATATCCCTTACCACACGCTGTGAGTTATGACGAGTATGCGATGGCGGCTCCAATTGATACAAGTTTTTATTTTAGCTGATCCTGGCAGACGAATGTGAAACCTTTGGTGTTACGTATCAAGGCACACACTGTCTCAATCCGGGAAGTTTTCCTAATTCATCCTTCTCATGGAGAGAATATTTTCCAGCAAAACAAACGTCAGAAAAATGGTAAGGCCTGCTATGCTTTATGACACACATGTAGTCTCAATGCTAAACCATTGCTTTCGCCGTAGCACATTATAAACCTTCAAATAGTCTCCATACAAATCATCTAATGTACATCGTATCACATCAGTATAAAAAGTAGCGCATCATCAACTATTCTTCACTACCGTTGACTATCTTTTTGATTATGGGATGACGACAGAAAATGGTATAGGGTCAGTACTAACCGATAATGAATAATTGGATCAACTTCGACAATGAATGACAAAAGTAGGTGCTTTGCTGTCATGCGAATGTTACATCTTGACCCTGAAATTTTCTCTCATGTACCATTTTCACATGGCTAACTTTGCTCGTGCACCTGACCTACTTCACTCAATCAAGAACTGCATGACATGTTACGTGATATCACGTTGATTGCACTCTTCAATTAGGCACGTAATAACGGTTTTTATTCCCATTTCAAGCTATAGTATCTCGTACATGAAATTTTTAAAGTGGGCTGATTTCCCGATTCCCTGAACATGAATACCAAAGATTACACCTGAACAAGCCATTAGATACGATCTTCCCATTGCTACATGCTTTACCTGTAAAACCTGTAGAGAGCTCCCTAGTATCCACGGTGCCAATATTATGCCAATCTTGTGAACCGCCAAATGAGTACATGAAGTTATAGTTTCGTTCGTCGGCTTTGATGGCCAGCTTGATCCACGATTCTTTTGGTAGAGGGATTCTTTCACCTGAAAATAGTATATGGTTATCAGCCACCCCCACTGAGGCGTGATGGAGAGGATCCAAATAGGCGACTAACGCAGCATAATCGGCATTTGTGTCTAGTTCCAAATCCACAGTGACACGGCAGCGGATATGGCATTGGCGGATGCCCACCAGGCTGCTGGATTGCATTTCAGATGCAAGGTTTGCTGTAGACCCCGATATTTTACATCCATGATACACACCATCGATGTCTGTTAGATCAGTCAGCTGATATTTTTGCATATCGGGGATACGAAGCCAAAGCCATTCGATTCCCCAACCGTGTACTCTACTGCCAAACTTGCATAAATTTTTCGAAGTACCAAGTGCTGCTGCAATATTAGGACCATGGTATTCCTTGGGTGCAAAAGCTTTGATGGGTCTCTGTACAAAAGGCCATTCTCCGCTCCAATCGACAGGTGCAAGGAAAGTTTCACGACCTATTGGGAAACGCTCGCCATCGTATACGCGGGAAGCTAAAAATACGATCCACCAGTTGCCCACGGTGTCTTGAAAGAAATCAGCATGGCCGGTACATTGAACCAATTCGTCTGGTAAGTCGTGGTGGCTCAAAATTGGGTTGACAGGACAAGCTTCCCATTCATCCTCGGGTGCATCGATACTTTTAGCCCGTGCCATTGCAACTCGGTGACCAGCCTCTGTACCACCTAAAAAGAGATGTTAGCTTCACATTGGTAATAAACAGTTTTTTTTTTCAAATTTCTACCTTCAGCAATCACTAGATAGTACCAGCCATCTTTGTACAATACATGAGGAGCTTCAGGTGCTTTTTCACCGGTACCAGACCAGATTCTGCGTGGTTCCGTAACATGACCGGTTCTGAGATCAATCTTACTTTGAGATATTTCTTTACGTATACGATGATAGAAAGACCCTTGAACATAGGCATGGTCTTTGTCAAAAATGAAAAGCGACGTGTCATATCCGGGGTAGTCAAAGAAAATAGGGTCTGACCAAGGACCTTTGGGACTTGTTGCAGTAACGAAGAAGTTCTTCCATCGTTGGAAGTCGTTGTATGCCTTGTCAACGAATACCATAGTTGTAACCATATAGAATACACCATCATGATACCGCAACGTGGGAGCCCAAATGCCGCCGTTGATCAATGTCTTATCTAAACCTGGAACCAACTCAGGGCGGTCGAGCACATTGCCTGATTGGGCATATATGAGTCCCACATATTGGGATGTCTACTCTGTTGGTTTGAGGCTTACCAATATGTTCCCAGTTGACAAGATCCTGAGAATGGTAGATGGGTACACCTGGAAAATACTGAAATGTGCTCGTGACCAAGTAATAATCATTTTCAACACGGCAAATTGAAGGGTCTGGATTGAAGCCAGGAATGATGGGATTGTTGTAAGTCATTGGTGCCGGACGGGTTTAGTAAAGTGAAAGAAAGCAAAATGTAGACATGTGCTCTGCATTCGAGTTTATCTACGACTTTTTTTTTTAGGTTTGGGAGCAATGTGCACGGACAAAAATGTCGGACATTAGGAACTACCTGTGTATTTCCTAAAGCCCGAGCAATGCTTTTCCCCACGGGGAAGTGGACTCGTTCGGACAAAAAAACGGGAATCGGAGCGATGTCACATTACTGGATATATCAATCTTGTTGTGATATGGTTTTGAAACTATATAAGCCTTGCGTATCTCTCCAGTTATCCTTTTTTTTGGCGACTGTACCATCATTCTTACACAAGAATATTACATGACTATCATTACCCGAAAACGATTCCTTACATACACCTATGGGGTCATTACCGCGTTATGCATGTTCATCAATGGTTACGATGCCTGTAAGTTGAAAATAAGCCCTTCCAAACATCCGAAATGGTTCTTACATACTCGATGAAACAAAACTAGCTGTCTTTAACAATCTTCAGGGGATCCACAGCTTTATGGATTATATGGGCCTTGATGGGCAGAACCCGGCGGATCAGAGTATGATTGGTGCAGTCACATCATGCTATATGGCAGCTACGATTGTCGCAGGCCTTCTTCTATCACCTCCAATCTCGCATTACCTCGGTCGCCGTGCTACCATTTTTGCTGGCTGCCTCGTTGTGATTATCGCCTCTCTTATCCAGAGTATGTATTTTGAATGTCTATGTGTACATTGATCTAATTACTTCGCTAGCATTTTCAACCAATATCGCAGGTATACGTCACCTTTGCTACTCAATGGAATAGTGAAGTCTAAATATTTTGTGTAGCATTTATCGGAGGGCGAATCGTACTTGGAATCGGTCAAGGAATTGCATTGCCAGCTGGACCCGTCTTCATGAGTGAGATTTGTCCCCCTGAAGTGCGTGGTCGCATGATTTCCTTTTGGCAAATGATGTAGGTCAACTTTGAAAAGTTTTGCTAAAGTTGTAACCACGTACATATTATAGGTACTCTGTCGGTGCCCTCGTTGTATCCTATACTGCTGTTGGCACCGAGAGCAACACAGGGCTTGGGCTATGGCAGTGGAAAACAATCACTCTGCTGCAGGCACTTATCCCCTTGGTTTGTGGTATAGCAATTTGGCTTTGCCCCGAATCTCCACGTTGGCTGGTCCAAAAAGGCAAGATCGAAAAAGCAAAAAGAGCCCTTTTGCGTGTTCGGGAGGAAAATGAAGTGGAAGAGGAAATAGAAGCAGTACGTTTCCATCATATTGAGATATTTTTGTTGTCTCTTGATAACATCTGCTTTGTTATAGATCCAAACTGCCATCAAATGGGAACAAGAGAATACGTCTAACTCACTCAAGGATTTATGGAGAGAAAAAAGCATCCGCAAGAGACTGTGTAAGTCCCAAGGATATCTCAGCGATCAACTTTTTAATCGTTGTGAATTATAGTGCTCGGCTCGATTATTAATTTTGGACAACAGCTCACTGGTCAATCAATGATGAACAACTATTCGACCAAAGTCTATCAGACAGTTTTCGCCAGCGACTCGACTATTTTGTTGATCAATGCTCTGAACTATACCTTTGGCATTCTCTTCACCCTTACTTGCACGTTCTTCTCCGATCGTATGGGTCGCAAATCGATGCTGGTCATAGCTGGTATCGGTCAAGGTTTGATGCTTCTCATTGCAGCTACCGTGTATCTAACTACACCAGCTACATATGATGATGAAGGCAATTCTCTAAAGTCCACTGGTGTTGGTGTTGCCTTGGTGCTCGTAATGTTCCTGTTCACTTTCTTTTACAAGCCAGGCTGGGGTGCCACTGTATGGATCTACACATCTGAAATCTTCCCTATGAGCGTACGTGCCATGGCTGTGTCAATTTGTACTAACGTTCAAAACACATCAAACTTGGTTATGGGACAGGCTTTCCCACCAATGTTTACATGTAAGTGGTATGCTTCAAAAGTTGCAAGTGTGTCCTAACATGATGGTTGTCTAGCTATGGGATTCTACTCATTCTACGTATGGATGGGTTGTGATTTTGTACTTGCAGCGCTTGTATGGTTCTTCTATCCCGAAACAAAAGGCGTTCCACTTGAAGAAATGGACCAGCTTTTTGGTAATACTTCAAAGACTGAAGCGGTAACGCGTTATCATGCAGAAGACGATATCCCGTACAAAGATGAAAAATCGGCGTAACATTCGATTTGGCTGGTCCATTTCCATCAAAACCCTCTTATCCCACGTGTTTAATCTCCAATTGTGTCATAATCGAGAACATCTATCGTACTATTATACTACAATAAAATGTAAGGAAACCATTTGATATGCATGCATTGACATCACTTGAGACACCACCTATGCATATACATGTATGCTTATAGTAATTAGCACTCACTCGCAGCAAAAAGATCCTTGTATTACCTCCAAGAACTGGATAGCGGCATGAACAACGAAAAAAATGACTAGCGTGTGTAATTTAATACTGTGGCAAAGATGGATCAAAATCTTTCTAAACGAATAGCGTCTCGTGGAAGATGATTAAAAGCAGTGGTTGATGGTGTCGTCGAAGTAAGCATTATTGTGGTAGCAGCGTTATTTTGCGATTCTCGCGAAATTGCAAACAAGGCAGGTGGTTCTATATTGTCGGGTATTCCGAGATGCTGATGTTGGTTCCCCGCGAAAAAGTTGAGAACTGACAAAACATATTGACCCGCGTGCTTGAATGTCTCAACAAATAAGTTACTCGATCCTATGAATGATTTAATATGTGAATAACATATCTCATGTCTTGGTTTTTGCTGTCTACTATCAACCAACCATTAATGTGCTGATCTCTCCTCGTATTACTGCTGCTTGACGTTCTCATGTTCTCCGCTGCTCGATCATGCCTCAAAGATTCCCAGGTTCCATTATGTTTACGCAGTTCACTCATGCTGTTGAGAGCACATCCGAATGAGCAAAGCTCGAAACGGATAGGCGCCATCGTTTTCTGTGTGCCGAGTCTAACTGTGTAACCAATGTGGATATCGCTTCTAGAATACCATTGACCACATTTATCGCACTGTCTAGCTGAAGCGATAACCTCCATGCGTAGGATTGGTGATATGCTTTTGGGAATAGCCGCTTCAAGATAGCTAAAGGCATACTCGGGATACAAATCCAATTGTGAATGATAGTGTCCAAGGGAATGCTCTAAGCAGATGCCTGGTAGATCCTCGATAGCCGATGGCAGACGTTGCAACTTCCCGTACCCCCTATTTAAAAGTACACGGATTGCAATTTCACGGAGTGATAAAATGCATGTAGTATCATGGCGATAACTATCACATGACTCCAATTGACGTTTTGCACTGTTGTCACCATCAAATGCTTCCGGTGTGTTGTCAGTGTTTGGATCGGTTCTTGCAGAGTAACAGTTGTTTGGGAGATTTTCGTGAATAATGCCATTTACTGATTCGAGAGATAAATTCTCTCCCAATAACAAGGTTCGCAAAGATCCTCCTTGATCTGCATCTGTGCGAGTTCGAACTTGACATGAGGGAGGGCACGGATGCATTTGAAATGCTGCCATAGGTACAGCTATCTCAGGATTGCTTATGACATCCGATAAAGGCGACATCATCAAGAGGGAGGCAGGTAAATATCGCAGTTGATTGCGTCGTATATCCAACTTTTGCAGCTTGTACATACGTGAAAATAAACGTGGAGGCAAGTATTTTAGGCGGTTTTGGACAAGTCCCAATTTGACTAAGCGCGTCAAGTTTGATAAAGTTACCGGTAGATATCTGAGTCTGTTGTCATTAAGGTTGAGCCATTCGACATGAGTAAGGCGGCCAATTTCGGGTGGGAGTTCTTCAAGCACATTGATGGCGAGATTAAGTCGCCGTAGTTTTCGTTCTCCCAAGCGCATAAAGAAATCTCCACTGAGGCTAACGATATGGCAAGTATGAATATCAAGACTGACCAAATACTTGTAACCAACGCTAAGGAAATCCGATGGTATCCGCCGCAATGGATTGCCCGATAAATATAAGTGGGTGAGTTGTTCCGGTGGATGATAGATTAATGTATGCGGGATATGATCAATTTCGTTGAAACTAAGATTGAGCGTGTGCAAACTATCCGGGAATATGAAATCGTGTGTGATGCCTTGGAGCTGGTTTTTCTGTACCAATAGAATCTGCAGGTTTTTTAACCCTTGTATTACAGAAGGAATATCTACATTCATGCAGGCAACTTAAAACTTGAAGTTTGCAGTGTAATTGCAGCAACAAACCTTTGAAATTATTTGAGTGGATGTCAAGCCCTTTTAGTTTTCGACAGTCAATCAGATCGTCAGGTAATGTAACAAGCTCATTACAAGAAAGAGATAACCACTGGAGGTGCTTCAGGTGTGAGAATACATCCTCGTCGATAGATGAAATCTGATTCGATGCCAGAGATAACGATGTCAATGATGCCAGCGGGAGGATCTCTGGAGGCACTTTTTCTAGACGGTTTTCTTTCAAAGAAAGCTCACGCAAATGGTGTCGCATTGCCATAAATGCTCTGCCATAAGCTTCGAGCGTTATGAGACCGTTCTGACGGAGGAGTAATTGCTTGATGGGTGCAATAGGTCTCTTGAAGAATCCCTTCGGGGATACATGGCCGTATAGATCGGAATATAGTCTAACAGCGGCGTTGAGATCGATGTAGTGTGCATAATATTAGTATCCATCCATACGTTTCCGAGTGGTTAGACAGATCCACCCTTTCGTCGACGTTCTCAGTACTCATGTTGAGATAATATACGACAAGTAGAGATCATGTTAACAAGGGAAAAAAAAGGAAAAACAGCGTGCTCACTAAAAATTGACATACATGTTTTTTCCGCAAACATCAATCGCGTGTCATGTGATTTTATGTTAAGGTGTTTACTACAGATATAAACGATTCCAAATTCTATACACATACATGCATTTTATTTGAATTCCATGAACAGTATACTTTTGGCAATGGGTTATAAGTGGAGGAAAGGTATTCCTTTTATGATAAAGCAATGTTTGTATAGAAAACAAGTAGAGGAGTTCCGTCTTTTTTTTGAGATGTTTTAGATACTAAAAGTTTCCGCGTGAGTATCACTTGCATTACCATCAGACGTTCAAATTTACCTACCCACTAGGAACAAGGACATTTTGTAAGACGCCATTAACATGTCCATGCGAGTCATCGTTGATGAGGGCTTCGGTTGCTGTCACTGACTCCTTTGCAATATCTGCTTCGTCAAGGTCGGTTGAAGTTACATTAGGTGTGATAAACGGTGCATCTGGCATACGCTGTCCTGCTCGATGAGCCCGTGGGGGATTACCACATCGGTCCTTCCCATAGTTGATCCTATATTTCTTGTACTCCTCCTTTGCACGGATGCCTTCGATTGCCCGAACAGCAGCGGCAATACTAGTAAAGTTGACAAACGCGCAGTTCTTCTCTTTCAATGTGTTGACAAGTTCAATTTCGCCATAGTCGGAAAAGTCTTGCTTGAGTTTCTCCTCGGTAATAGTTTCATCAATATTGCCAAGATATACATTGCGTGAACCACCATTCTGGACGGCACTGATGACAGCCGGGGATAATGCTGATGCCTTGCCCCATCCGATTTTAAGCCGCCGATTTTTGATGATAAGACCATGATATATAGATTGATTAAAGAAATGCAAGGCGAGGGCTGGGTCCACAAAAGTGATAAATGCAATATGTTTATCCTGTAAGTAACGAATTTGGCTTAGGATACCACCACGGATAACATTGCAAATTTCTTCGCAGGTAGTGTCAGGGTGTATGTTGCCCAGATAGATGGTTCGGTTGGCGATTCCCACCAAAGGTGCTTGGTCAACGTTTGAACCTGTCAACGTTGCAGGGGCTCCAGTTGGATAAGCTTCGACAGTAGCAGCGACGGCATAAGGATCATATGATGGGAATCGTACAGGATAGGCAGTAGATGGTGAAAACATGGGATGGTGCTGAGCCAGGACCATGTTGGAAGAAGATTTAGATAATGGAGCGCAACGATCACGGCCATAGTTGATACGACGTGAAGCCCATTGTGGTTCAGTTGGTAGTGTAGTGACACATTTGATAGCATTAAAAGTGCTAAGGAAATGTACAAAGGCAATGTTCTTGTCCTTGATCAGCTTGATATGCTCAATGTGGCCAAAGCGTAATAAGTTGTCTCGGAGATATTGTTCAGTGACAGTATCATCAAGCGAACCGAAAAACACGTTTCGGCTCGCACCGTTTTGAAGTGCCACGTGGATGTTGGCTGGTATAGAACTTGGTCGACCCCATCCAATCCTTAATTCAGCGCCATTTACAATAAGTTTCTTAGACGTTGCTTCGTGATAGAACTGTGCAGCTGATGATGCTTCGACGAATGTGATAAAAGCACAGTTTTTCTCTGGCAACGGACGTACAGAATCGATATTACCAACTCTTACGTGATCCAAGATGTCAGATATAGAAGTATCAGTTGGAATATTGCCGATATAAACTGTTCTGGCTGTTTGATGAGATGCTGGCGAAAGCTGAGGAGATGGCATATAAGCAGCTGGACTTTGGAATTGCGGTGTTGAAAAAGTGGATGCCAATGTAATAGGTGAAGATGGTCCAAGCGATCCTTGAACAAATTGTGGAGTTGGTGGACCATTCATTACAGTTGCTTGAGTACCATTGCTCGAGTATTGGCTCACATTTGGATAGGGGGAATGGGTGCCAGAATATCTTGTAAATGAGTTCGATTGATAAATACCATTCCCAGGTGAATAACCCCCACCATTCGCCATCGGATATACATCACTAAATTTATTGTCAACAACAGCATCATCATGTGACAAGTTATCCACTTACTAATATGATGGCGAGAATCGTGACTTTTTCACAGGCTCAGCTTCAGATGAATTATGCTTGATGATGGGTGGATTATTCGTCGTCGTGAGAGTAGGATGTGCTTGACTAGATGGCGTCATTTTACGTCTGATATATCTTCCTAAAGCATGAGTACAATTACAAAGAAACGCTAATCCATCATAATACCTTGAAAGTAATAATGCAGTCTTCCTGTATCAGGGAGTATGAAAAGAATGACCAAGGTGTAAATAAATATGAAACGTCTAAACGATCTGTCACCTGTCGTTAGCATCGAAAAAATTGCTTCGTTGCAAACGATGGACTTACAGGATGAAAAGAATGAGGGCTGGCACAAGTGGCTCGTGATGCAATAATGAGTGTACCAGAGCAATGCCGTTGTCGACTATGCTATTCTGTAATGATGAGTAAAGGGTATCCAAAGATGTTGGGATCTGTAAAGGGACGTCGAGATGAGAAGGAAAGGACAAACTGTGTAAAATGAGGTAATTGAAGATCCGAGTGGACGTTGCACGCACGGTATGCGGTCTTTCAGAGAAAGATCTTTTATCTATTGCACATGATGATGTCCCTTGCTTACGGGTACCACTATGATTACCTCCACGACGATGGCCGATATGTTATCCTCGTCCTTGTCGATATCGACCTGAATGACGTCCCTCGACGAACACAACTTGGTTTGCTATAAACTTCATGTTCTTCAAGTGCTGTGTGTACCACATCAGTCGCTGTATAATTAAGAAACGTGTTTGGTACAATGTTGACATACTTCACGACTCCAAATCGGCTAAATGCTTCTCGTAGCTGATCTTCCATAGTAGGCGTGACAACATACTTGATGACGATCTGAGTTGTATCCCTATAAGTGTGTATATTTGTACATGCACCCTAAAAGTTGGTCCTTTACCATGGCTATGAACTTGTTTGGGTCCACGGATTTGTGGATATATGCGACCTGATTTCCCCACTTGTCCAAGTCATCTGCTGCTTGATTCGCCCACGTCTTGGTTTGTCGATTTGCTTGTGAAGTGCCATCTTGATCTTCCTAACATCAGATATCAAGGTAACTTCCTATGTCACCATTGATTTGAATGCTGCTACCCCGTGTATATAAACATCTTCCTTATCCCACTTGTGGTCGTTGACATTGGATGACAAATCGACATCATCGTAGATAGGGGCTTCCATATCCACAGCGACTCTGAGAAATCGAAAGATATTGTTGAGTATGCGATATCCATTCGCTTGCGAAGCACGGAAAATCGTGAAAGAAAACTTTTGAAATGGCGTTCATTGTCGTGCATATTCTTTCTCTTCCCCCTCCCCCATTGCGCAATATCACACCCAACAAGTATTGCCCTACTTGTGCACCTCTTCCATCAAAGAATCACACTGTATTATTCAGATAATGCTACAAGACAGAGAAGAAGTAAAGAAAGGCTGACAGTGCAATCTTGCGACGATGGCATTGGCCATGAACTCGATGGCGAGAGTAAGCGACATAAAGTTCGGCACACTCACAAAGTTGTTGGTTATCACCTGTACAATAACGACGAACTTTGATTTTAAATTGTTATATAGCAGGTTGCTGACATCCTCTCCGTACATACAGCAACCAGGAACTGAAATAGCGATGTATAGCATGGCGCATATGGCAACTGCTATGATATGAAGCATGATGACTATCTTGTATGATGACTATCTTCAATCATGATCTAGTCGACGCTTGGATGCTTCCACGTTCGGGATAGAGGACATTACTCAGAGTACGGACAGCTGCCAAAGCGAATTTTTCTCTATTGCTCGACAGGCCACATATCGATGACGCCTGAAAGCTTGCTGAGATGCTGACGATTATATAAAAGCAGCCATTGTGGTCAACGTTGACCAACACATCAATCACAGTGGTCAAAGTCAGGTCCTGTACTCGTGTGCACGTGATGTCTTTCATGCTTTCATATGAACTTCTGTTACTCTTTTCTCAGCATACTACATATCAATCTACCTTGAGATTGGAAACTCGACTATAAAACGACCCTTCTTCTACAACTTTGGTTAGTGACCCAAGATGATCAGAGAAGATATGAAACATGCCCCTTTGTCCCCAGCTCCCCACAGCCCACACGAGCGAATTTTTTTCTTTTTCTCGACAAGTCGCAAGTCGACCGCATCTGAAAATTTGTTTACGACTATAAAATCAGTCACTGTGACCACGTTTAATTACGACGTCACAGTCATCAGAGGCAAGTTAGGTCCTATACTTCTTGAGCACGTGATCTCTTGCATATAAACTTCTATTAGTACTATCTCAGCATCCTACATGTCAATCTGCCTTTAAATTGGGACCTTGATTATAAACCCGCCCTTGTTCTACAACTTTGGATAATGTCGCAAGTTGATCAGAGAAGATATGAAACATGCCCCTTTGTCCCCACACGAGCGAATTTTTTCTTTGTTTCTCCACACGTCACAAGTCGACGGCATCTGAAACTTTGTTTACAATCATAAAAGCAGTCATTGTGGACAACTTTGACTAAGGCATCACAGCGATTAGAGGCAAGACAAGTCCTCTAGTCCTGTAGTTGTGAGCATGTGATTTCTTAGTCTCCTAGCCTTACGAGACGAGAAATTATGGTGACTGATAAAACAGCGCAAGACATTGGTCTTTGCCTCCGTACAACGTCAACAATACATGTACATAAAACCCGGGTAAACGTTAGTGCATGCCACGGTGAGACGAACTTTTGGACCTGTAGAAATTGTAGCTAGGATGAAAAATTAACAACTGGCTGACATAGGTGTACAAAACGCCCGGTGGGTGATAGTACAAAACGCTCGGTGGGTAAAGTATTTTCCCGATGTAAAGAATGCATAAAGACGGTGGGGTAACCAACCAACGTATTGTAACCGAGTTATTATTTTGTCATCTATTTCAATAAAGGTGAAAATATGATAAAACTACAACAGGGCAAGAATATTTCTACATTTCTTGTTTTCTACAATACCTTGGTTACGCAGCATTAAACAATTATTTGCAGATAATTCTTGACTATGTAATCTCAAAATGTTATTAGATGTGTAAAAGTGACCTCAAGTATTATTAAATGCTTATTAAATGCGTTTCAAATCACCTCTTCTATAACATTGGACTCTAATCATGACATTAAGTGCTCAAAACTGATCACCCAGATGGTTTCAAAACCTCATGTTTCTGTTCAATAACTAGCAATTGCACTATTGAACTCGAAATATATCGTCAAAGGATTCAAATAGGACTTAATATAACTTATGGGTTGCTCGTTACCTCCAAAGTTTTCAAAATATTCATCCGTGGGGTGACGATTTGTGTGCAACCCAGTTCGCACATAACGTCGGTGGGTTAACCCACCGACGTATTATACTTTTACCCACCGAGCGTTTTGTACTATCACCCACCGGACGTTTTGTACTATCACCCACCGGACGTTTTGTGCATGTGAATCCGACAATCATCCCACCTCCAAAATTTTTTGAGGCCCAAAATTTTTTGGTGGTTGGGAAAATTTGTGTAACATTTAACCGGATGTATATTTTGCCGAAATCATTACTTGGCTCATATAAAAGCCTGCCCATGGAACCACACTTTATTCACCTTGCATCTCCTTTGCCTCGTTGCAAAGGGGAAAAACATAGTGTTCGCCAAAACTTTTTCTATCTATCAATCGTGGTCAGTCATGGGAAAAGTTGCTGGTCGTGCTCGAATCTCCTTGTCTGTGAACATGAACTTCCACAGCAACGATTCCAAAATCATCCCCCTCCCCCATGCAGCTCCACCTCATCAACTTTTTTTTCGACGACAAAATAAAATTTTTTTTTGGCTGATGGCGACATTCGCTAAATCCGTGATTGCGCAACACGAACCTGACACTTACTCACTAGTTACTTTTGGCCACGCCGAGTAACTTTGTTCTATTAAGACCCCCATGCTTCATTGTAAAATTATGGCTTAGGGGCTGCTTTATGTTTTCCTATGCGGCCACTATATGCGTGATTAGGGCAGGGGTCGGCATTTGCGAGGACGAGACGAGATCCTGTTGGAGCGAGATTATATCCAGACGACACAGTGTGTAATACACATGGAAACACAATTCTTAGCGTCCATTTTTCTTAAGTAGGAAGGTCAAACATGGTCGCCACGCTTCTTGGAAGGAGGGTGTATCAATAATAAATATGATCTGTAGCAAGTCTTCTCACATAGACCCATCATGGTTCTTTTTTGGCTACTATGGATGATTGCAATGTAGAAGTATTCTCAGTGCATGAGAACACAATAACAGCTCTCCATACCACTTACCAAATGGAGATCTGTTAGTGATATCACTGAGATTTACGCTTTTAGGCAGCGCTAATATTTGTGGGGTCTCTTCTTTCATAGACACATGCCATCACCACCAAAACCTTGGGAAGTAAGCAATGGCACATCAGCAGCAGTGTCGTCAGTGACAACTGGTGCAGATAGCTCATCAGCTATAACATCAGCGACAGAATCACCAACTGTTCCAAGTCGTCCGTCTACAATGAATAGTACTGGAAGTACTACTTTTGGTGGGACCGGTAAAGTGAATGACCAGAAACGCAATGAACCTTCTAACATATTATATAATAGGGTATGGCTCTGGACTTGGGACTTATGGGAGCAGTTACAACAGCCCATATAGTCGATATGGAGGATATGGCTCAAGTATGGGTAGCTATGGACTTGGTGGCTACGGCGGCTACGGCAGCTATGGTAGTTACGGCGGCTACGGCGGTTATGGCGGCTATAGTGGATTCGGATCACCATACAGTCGGTTTGGAACAGGTTATGGACGATTCGGTGGATATGGTGCTGCAGGAGGACCTGGCGACGAGTTTAGCCTAACACAACGGATGGAATCCAGCACTCGGGCCACCTTTGAGGTCATTGAGCAGATTGTGGGTGCATTTGGTGGATTCGCACAGATGCTTGATTCAACTTTTATGGCAACACATTCCAGTTTTATGGCAATGGTTGGGGTTGCAGAGCAGTTTGGTCATTTGCGCCATTATTTGGGTAACCTGCTTGGGATCTTTGCTTTGATCCGATGGCTTCGCCGGTTGTACTACAGATTGACTGGTCGCACACCTCCAGCTGAACAAGAGGAACAATCTCAGCAAGAGGATGAACAACACCAACAGGAAGAGGAGGTGCAATATCAACAAGAACAACAGCCTAAGAAGCGACGATCAATACTGTTTATCCTGGCAGTGTTTGTTGGATTACCATACATGATGTATAAACTTTTCCGCAAAGCTGCAGAGTATCATAAACAACGAATGTTGCTTGCACAACGAGAGAATGAAGCCATAGTGCTGTACGATTTTGTCGCTGAAGATCCCATGGAGATTAGTTTACGTCGCGGTGACACCGTTGAAGTATTATCCAAGGTTGACCCTGCTACAGGCGAGCCAAGCAGCTGGTGGCATGGCCGTCTCAATAACGGCATGTCAGGATTGTTTCCAGCCAATTATGTCCAATTACAACGCAAAAAACTGCTGTAACCGTATTGATACCTCCTCCTTTGTCCTCTCTTCCTCCGCTCGTCATTTACTATATCATTTCATATCACAGTAATATATTTTAGTTGCTTGCTTATTAGTGACACTGCAGGGAGATTAATATATGTATTTTCTAACAAGCGTAGATGTTGGAGGGTATTGCTAATAAAAAATATTATTATTGCTAGCTATTAGTTGATCATTTCAAGTAAGCGTGCAGCCTCTGCAGCGGCAGCCGTGGTTCGAGGTTCTAGCACAAGACTACGTTCGTACAGCGTTTCAACATCATGAGTCGTTTCAAGCTGCGTCTTGATAAAATGCTGGATGAGAGGAACCTCTTGCAAGGTGTAAGGAGAAGATTGGAATTGCTTAATTTCACGGATGACCTCTGCCGTTTTTTGACGCTTGGCGAAGTTAATCAGATTATTGGACTTGGCTAAAAAGTCTGGATTGCCGTCCTCGATGAAAGTCAAATCTTGTAAATAAATACCCAGAAAAGGTATACATGGTGGATTGACCGAGTGAATCATCTCTCGATATTCTGTAAAGTTGCGATTTGCACCCATCAGTTTACGGATTTGGCTCAAAGTTTGGCTTGTGCGATTGCCAACAAGCTAAAAGTATAACGTCAGTCGGTTTGTTTCTTTAACTTAATGACGGTTTTGCATACCTCCCATGTGCGGCGTAAACGCCCAACTGCACTGTTATCGAACGCCGAAAATATGGCCATACAAGTGTTATAATTGTTGAGCATGCGGCAGCGCTACATACAGCTTTGTCAGTAATCCTTTTCCTCATAGCGCACAACACGCATGCTATATTACATACATCTGCAACTTGGGCCCAATGCTTGATAACAACAACTCGACGTTTGGCTTCCTCATGCTCAAGGATAGATCCGGTGACCCAAGCAGTAAGACGATTACAATAATCGATGGATTGCTTAACATGAACGGCTAGATCAGTATCATCCCTAGACCACGCCTTGTTCAGACACTCGATAGGACGAATACTGCTGTATAGCTTAAAATCAAGAAGACTCAGCTGTCTTGCAAGTTCCAAAGGGTCAGTGTCGAGTAGACTAATGCTCGTTGATGTCACGTTTTTGGGAACAATAGGTGGTGGACCTGCCATATTGTTGGGCACCAATTTCTTGAGCTGATCATCGGCGTCTAATTCACGTCGCTTATTAATTAATCCCATAAGTTGATCCGCAGAGAACGAAGACGCGTCTCGAATCACCGTGGTGGTAAAGAACTCGAGTTGATCCAATATAAATTCGTCCTCGTCAATATAGTAACTTTCAAGCCAATTCTTCATCACATTGAATACACTAAAAAGATTCTGTAAATAGATCGTTCAGATATTACCACCCAAAGTACATATACTTACCGTAAGCGGATCAGTTTTTGTTTATGTTTGGTCCAAATCTCGAGCTCTTGTGGTGTCAACCCCTCAGGAGCGACAAGTGTGTATCGCTTCTCAAGTAGATTAACAAACTCCTCGGTCGTACAAAAAGATCGATATGTGAGCAAGAAATTGGCAATGAATGATGTATCTGAGAAAGCACGCTTTAACAAAAACAAGTCTCACAGAATAGAAAATGTATGTCAGCTTACCAAGCGTGTCGTGTAGAGTCAAGCGTTCTACAAGGGCTGAGAGAGTACCTCCTTTGATACCACCATCCGATGTAAATACGACCTGATCAGCTGGATGATCATGGCCTAAGAACGGTAGGGATTCAATCGAGATATCTGTTTTTGTGCTCAACTGGCGTGGGCGGAAGGAAGGAGAGGCGCAAGCGTTGGCAGTTGAATTCGATGTAATGCGCATAGTTCCAGGCTGTCGTCGTCTTGCAGTACGGGTAGGTGACAAAAGACCAGAGTGTGCATCATCCAATGTATCGCTTTCATCATCTGCAGGGTCAGCAGAAGGATCACCTGGTAATGGCGTGGTTGGTTGCGAGGTATCAGTGCCAAGGGTGAGCGAGTCCTTGGTATCTGAAGTTCCACGACGTGAAAGCCATAGTCGACGTTGACCAACCATTTGCTGTACACAATGTAGCACCTGCTCGAGGGAATCCTCCATGTGCAACACCGCATCATCGATTCGAGATACTCCACCAGATAATGACACACTTAAATTGCTCAGAGCTTGGATAGCACCAAACAAATGTCCAAAAGTATCATACAATCCTTGTTTGGCCACACGAAAGCGTAACATTGCCGGCACTTGTGTCGTATCCACATCATCAAAGTTGATATCTTCTAGGATCACCAAACATTGGCTGACCTGTTCCGCTATTGTGCGAAAATGTTCCACAATGCTTATGCGAATATGCTCGTGCTGTAACGAATCACGATTATTGCTGCCTGCCAAATTCTGTTCGTGTTGCAATTCCACAGCCTGCGCCGTATCAGAAGCTAGAGCACTTATTGATCCATATATCTGGTTGACGTGCGATTGTAGATTCGTAAGTAAATCTTGATTGAGCCTACGCTGTTTCGATCCTTTCGTCGTGGATGGCTGTTGTTGTGCTGTTGCTATTGCTCCCTTGGTACTGTCCTCATCACCTGTTATAGACAACCTGTCACCAGTGGTACTGGATGCATCTGCATTTTCAGATGATTGTTGTTCAGCAGCACGGTTTCTCTTCTTATCGGTCATCATTCTAGGCATAATCTGCTCGACTCGCACATGCCGCTGTTGACATGCTGTAACGAAATTCCGGACCGCAGCTAGGACATCACCCGCATCCTTTTGGAGTTTAACCACAGTATCATTGGCCACGTTGTTGGGTGCGAGTGGTGTAAGAGGAAGCTCAGAGGCGATCCTTGCCGATAGTACCAGCTTGGAAAGCGCAGCCATCAGATTGCGATGAGGTTGACGTAATTCTGGGTCGGGTGTATGGTGTGAATCCTTATCCATTAAGCCAGCTGCATATAACATCACTCGGATAGTTTCTGTAACAATCGACGTGTGTTCGACAAAGAATTCGCGAAGATTCTGTTGCGCTGTTGTATTTAATTGATGAATTGCAAGGGCGACATCACCAGATAAACTTTGCCATGTGAGCGGTTCACCACGATCCGTGGTAGCAGTTGAAACAGAATGGCTACCTGCCATAATGATAGATGACTCGTTTCTGAAACTCTTTTCTCGTATTGATTCTGCTTCTTCATCATTGTCTTCATCAGAATGGCAGTCTTCACTGGGTATTGTTTTCTATTCGTATTCCAAACCCAAATGAGTCTATTATCATCAGCAAGGAAGTCTTGAGTTTAGCTTACCAAATGGCCTGTGAAAGGGTCAATGTCGTCACGGCTCCATGTTGTCTCCTGTGTAATCAGATTACAGAAATAGACCCGCCCTTGAGGAGTAACCCGCTCAACCCATTTAGACATGATCTACAAAAGGTATGCTTAATGCGTGCATGCAGAGGGAACTTTATGCATAATGGTTAATGCTTACATATTCTGCATTATGCTCCTCGTTCTCATTGTCATTTTCAGCTTTTATGTGCGATTGTTGTTGTGAATCTTTCAATCGCGCATTATCTTCTGAATCCGAACCGTCGATTGAGCCGTTACGCAAAATGATGCCATCCGGTGGATCGGCAGTAGATTCATCACGTGGTCGATATTGCACGCTACCAGTAACAGGATCATACAAATAATCTCCAATGTCATTATCTGGCATCTCTTCAATATTGGCTAGTTGGCTATTGGATTCGCTGAAATTCCTTGGTAGTGCGTCTGATACGCGTCGTTGAACATCGCTACTGTTGCTTCGACCACTGTATTTCCTCGCAGTCGGCAGTACTTGGTCGGCTACTTCAGGATTGATGTTGACCATTTCAACATAATTACTTGGAAACCAGCCACGTGAACCTTTGCACCTATACATAAAATTATCAGTGGCCCATATAAATCGATTTGATATAGAAAACGCCTTACCAACCATCCCACCAACCCGATTCGAGTTGTGAAAGCACGTCAATGAAATCGCCTTTGTCAAAGCTCAGCGAGGATTGCTCTGGCGAATGGAATGAATGTAGTGCTCGAACTGTGCAGAGTATCTTTGGCATGGACATGCTTTTGGCAGTCGATGGAGTGAGCAGATGAAAAAGGAATGCGACAGTACAAGATATGTCGATTAGTTAATGGCGGAGATTGACCATAGCGTGTAACGTTTTCCTCGTGCCTGGTTAGAAGCTATTTGTTTGACACAGCATTACCGGTGTCCCTTTGTGCTGTATCTGAACTTTAAAGATACTTCCCCCTTTGATTGTGATGCTTGCTCCTTAGGTTCTTATCATGCGTTAAAACGGTTCCTCCCTTTTTCATCATATTCGGAACAATCACGGATGTTTTTTGAATGCTACAGATGCCTTTATCCCCAAATTCAAGTACGTTTTTCATGCCAACGTCTTAGATAGCGTAATAATAACAGTAAGATCTGATTGGGGTTGATACCGATGGGAAATATTGGCTTTAAGGGTAGCACAATAATAGTGCAGAATTTGTGTTGCTGCTATTTGCACTATGTGCGTCACAATCAAAGAGAGCAAAGTGAGAGAATAGTTGCTCTATATGAAATATTGCTCATAGAAGCCAGAAGTGAATTATAGACGATGTCTACCATTGTATATGTCTTTAGCTCCTGAAGAATCCGTATTCTTTGTGATCTGATTACTTGAAAGTTCTCGCGAGTAATTAGCAGCTCCTCTACGATATTCGTATGTGCCATCCTTTGTTACTGCTCTCGTATAACCGTAAGTTGAGGATATCTGCCAGTTGTTCGTGGTATTGTGTTTATGAAGAAAGACTTTGGCAACGATGGTGATACCGCAAGGTTAGGATACGAGGTGGATAGCCCGATACTGCCGTCAAGAAAGGTATAAGAAGCACATCTTTAGACATACTCAGATGAGGTTTTTTTATCACTAAGGTTGTTCTGGGAATACAAATCATGCCGAAGCACTCGAGGTTCATCAATACGTTGTGCTTTGTCATCATTAAAAATCAGATACCCGAACATTAAATGTTATGTACTTGGGATTATCTATTATACCACTACTGCTACTGTATGTGTGCAATAACCCTAGAGAGTTTGTGTTAAAAGAAACTCGCATGATGATGGCGTGTCTTTTTAGCAACAACATCATGCATAAATTTGCCTTACTAGAATAGTGGTAATAACGTCAACCTTAACCATTTTACCAGCTCGTTCTTGCCATCCAACATCAGATGGATTCTCGATTCCCTTCAACAGGTTGATAGCTTCTGAATTGTCAACGTTATCTTTGTTACTGTGGGCAATGGGAAATCGATAAGAGTGACTTGAGTTTTGGAGTCAGCCAACAAATCAGGTGAGGTGCACAAACACCATGCGATATTCCTTCGTCCGCGTCGTGAAGTCTGGTCCATTATGGCATGTTTTACTGAGGCCCAGGTGCGAGAGCACAGCAACAGCAGCTCGTGCTGGATCAGCTACAAGGGCAGAGTTTATGATATTACGGATTTTTTGCAAGATCACCCTGGAGGTCTCGACATTCTGCTAGGATTTGCAGGCACCGACGTTACCCATGTCCTTGGAGATGAGAATCTGCATATTCATTCGGATGCAGCATACGAGCTACTCGACGAATATTACTACATTGGTGACCTGGAAGCTTGCCCGACGCCTGAACTCCTCAGTGGTAGTGTGAGCTCATCTTCGCCTTCTGTCAATGGTCTTTCAGACCACGATGACGACTTGACGCCTTTAAATACCACGAAAAAGGACGCTGATCGAATACTATGCGACCATGTATCAAACGCGACTGATAACAATCATGAGAAATTTCTCGATCTACGCAAACCACTCTTTCCTCAGCTATGGAATTCGACTTGGTCCAAGGCATTTTATCTCGAACAAGTCCATCGTCCTCGTTTTGTACCATATTACGTTCCTTATTTTTCCAACCCTTGGATGGATGTTCTCTCTCGCACAACGTGGTACACAGTTCCTATGATCTGGATTCCCTTTGTATGCTATCAACTTTGGAAGTCATTTCACACACAAGACAGCTCAATGGCTACCACTTTTAATACATTCTGTTCTGGTGTTCTTGCATGGACTTTACTTGAATACGCTCTTCATCGTTTCCTCTTTCATCTTGACGATTGGCTACCCGATAGACCCTTGGCACTACTGTTCCATTTTACTTTACATGGCATTCACCATCATATGCCTATGGACAGGTATGATAAGAATGAAAATTAGAAAAAACAGTATACTCACTTTGCTCATCTGTAGACTTCGGTTGGTCATGCCTCCTGCACTTACAACTGTCATTGGATATCCCATCATTATGTTAGCGCATTATATACTCCAAAAGACTGTTGCACACGCATTTATTGCTGGTGCATTTTTTGGATATGTGTGCTATGATATGACACATTATTACATTCATCATGCCCAAGTCATTCGGGTTCACTTTCACGAAATGAAACGATACCATTTGGCACATCACTACAAGAACTATGAGAGCGGATATGGCATCACATCAAAGCTCTGGGATTACGTATTTGACACCGTTCTCGTGGTAACTAAATAGCCTACCTCCTCCTTTGTAAAAAAAGAATTCTCGCTGCCATTTATTCCCCCTCCTTATTGTAAAGTATCACTCCCCATCTCTTTTAATAAAGCAATTTCATTTATATGAGACGTTGAGATACACCACTTTGATAATTTAGATATAAAACGTAGATTAGTATATTACAGAACGCGACGTGTGTAAAATGCTATTTCATTCTACATCCTGTTGATCCATTTTTTCAACCATCATCGCCACAATAGCAGCACCAACAATACGAGAAAACTTGACGATGCCTACTGAGAGTTTTGCCGACACGTGGCTAGGAATGAGAGCTTTCAAGGTTTCGCACACACGGGGATGGAATGATGGATAATCCTTGTAAACATCTCCACTGATTGCTATTGCAAAGGAGGAGTTAGTTGCTGTGATCATTGCTTTTCAAGCCAAAAAAATACCTATCGCAAAGCCATCGCCATTTGAATCTAGTCCAATTCCGCATTCAACCATGTACTTGACAACGCCTGCAATATTGGCACCGACAAGGGCAGCAGCACGATATCCAACAAACTGACAGATTTTCTTGACAATCTCTCGATCGGCTAGAGATGTTTCACCGACCTTACACATTTCCTCCAGCACGACCCGCGTGTCCTCGAGATTATCCAAGTCATCATCCGCTTCACAAACATACATGTAACTAGTATCAAAATGATAAGGTGTACGTAGCAAGCATTCATCATCATCAATTGTAAAGGTCAATATGCGATGGTCGACCAAGTGTACCAATATTTGTCGTACAATTTCGCCAAGGTACATGCCAGTTGTCATTTTTTCAAATGCATGAATGCCAGGGTTGTTGCTTTCACGATCCACGATATGGTCGAATTGTGATACAGGTAGATGCCTTGAGCCAAAATTACACCATTCTGTGTTGATGATCATGTCAATGTTTCCTGGGCTGACGCCATTGTGATGTTGTGCGAGAAACTTGCGCATGTTGCTCATTTTGTCGTAATAAGCACAATTGGTGCCGATATTATGAACAATGCCAATCCGCGTGGCAGGATGCTGATAAGCGTGGGCAAGGAGGGTGCATACCGCGTCTGTCCTCAGTCAGTATTATAAGCATGACTTACACCTATCTCCATCTCATCCATATGCTTTTTCTCACCGTTTGCAATAGCCACGATCCGAATATTTAATCCTTTAGCTTGGAAACGGGAATGGAATAACTCAACAGCGTCGGCGCCTATTGCATTGGGGAATTCAAAGCCATGCTCCAAAGCAACAATGGTGCCTCTATCAAGACCAGTTTGTCGAACAGCAAAGCCTAGACTGATGGCCATTGAGTATGTTTCCTGTTGCTGTGATTGATGACCAGAAACACGTCGTTGGAAATCGGATACGCAGTCTGCAACATAATCGATCAACACGTCCACACCAACACCGGTGGTTAGATCATCGGGAATCTCGTATTGGTATTGGTTGATAGCTAATTTGCCACCCTCTCCTTTGAGCTTGACTTGACACACGTAAATGTCCACTCCACTAATCTCAAGAGCAAGGTATGTCCCTTTCTCATTTCCCGTTGGGTAACCTTAAAGAGGAAATCATATATTTAACAAACCATGTTCATCCATTCAATAACTGGTACCCATACCTGTGACATAGGAAGGAATCATTTTTAGGTCGTTGTTACGAAGGTGTCCGCCTGCTGGTGAGTCTTCGGCAAGCCCTGCCTGCATTTCTTGTCCAAATTCTTGCGCACACGCCCTTAGTTGCTCCAAAGACACTTGTAACGATTTCTGAATTTCATAAACGGCTTTTTGTTGGTCTGGTGATCCGTGCAAAAGAGGAGTTTCCACAGCTGTCGATCGTCGCCTACCGCGGTCGTCTGTGCTATCGTTCTGGTCGCGTATAGGAGAGTCGCATTGTGAAAACGGCATGCTCGACATGATGGAGAGAGGGACAAGGTGTACAAGTTGTGTGAAAGCTGAGAAGCAGCACTCTCAGGAAATTCACTTGAAATCCCGACACCTTGACAATGGAGAGAGACTCAAGCGTGGGACGTAGTAGACAAAGGTTGACAACAGCAAAAAAAAAAAGATACAGAATTGGGTTGAATTGATGGAATCTCATCAGCTGGCGCTCGACGCAACCACAGTAGGTGATTCTTGCACACAATTACCACGTAGTTCCCTTAAACGTTGTGAATATTGATGCCTCTCACGAACCCCCCTACTCATTATCATTGTTACTGAGGAAAAGAAAATATAATATATTGAGATAAGTTTTCGAGGTAAATTTAGAACAAATCAGCGAATGGATCTTTGCTTGCTGTTGATTGTTGTTGCTGTTGTTGTGGGGCTGAAGATACTGCTGAAGACGACGAGCCAAACAGATCATCTGTTAGCAATGTATTTGCCTGTTGTTGTTGTGGGAGAGGAGATTGTTGCTGCATTGGTGATGATGGGGCATTGAAAAGTTGAAGGATATCGTCGACGTTGTTCTTGGGAGTGGCAGGTGCTGGGCTAGTATTGTCACCACCTCCATTAGCTCCTAAAGACAGGAGATCATCCATAGCCGTAGTAGAGTGTGAACTTTCTGCCGCAGTAGGTGAAGCAGCAGGTTCATCCCAATCAAGGTCCAGCAGGTTGCCAATATCATTGTTTTTGATTGCCGCTTGGATTTGTGGTGGAGGTGCAGAGACATCTTCTTCATCACCATGGCTATAAATTACGCTTAGCAAGTACATTGCAGAATGCGTACATTTTCCATACCTTGGCATACCCTTGGTAACACTGTCTGCTCCATATTTTCTGCCAGCAATAAAAGTTTCAGGCGGTTTGTGATATACAGATGCCAGTGTGCCAATCTGATAAAGCAAATCATCTAGCAAACCAGGAGAAAGACCAGCATTCTCTCCTGCAATGGGTGGTTTCTCGGAAAGCACGACGGCCTGCAATCGTACCAATTAGTTATATTAATATTACATTATTACAAAGATAGACGAACCTTTGCAGCCTGAGGATCGGTTGACAACAATCTCCAATACACATACGCCCGATCGCGAATATCCGCATTGTCACACTCGCTAGTCGCAGTTTGGAGTACTCGCTGCACAAGATCTTGATTCTCTGCAGGCTTCTTCAAAAACAATTTCACTGTAGCCGTCAGGAATTGCAATTGGACCTAAACGAATGACATTGAGCTTATGAATGCATTTATCACATTAAACATACCTGTGCATTTTCTTCCTTAAAGTTTTCAACGAACATGCTGATCATTTCATCTGCATTATCAATGCGCTCGGCGTACTCGCCAATAATCCATGCCAGTGAAGCTTTGGCATCCGGCTCATCCAATGCATCCAAATTCTCACATAACGTTGATATGATGCCCTCGTATTTATGCGGATATTTGCGGAATATGTCCTACCATAACCCAATAAATAAGTCTTCCCAATGTACAATGTATAAAACCATACCTTGATAACAACAATGGCTTCTTGAACCACATAGCTCACACCTGTGTTGATTAAATCCAAAAGGACATTAATGCAACGCTCTGCTGCCTCTTCAATCTTGATGGCACAACGACCAATAGCATTGACCGACTTTCGTACAAAATCAACATCTACTTCATTGGCGTATCTTTACATACAATTAGCATGATGATGGGTTCTCCTTGTACATTTTCGATTCACTTACTCTTTCAATTCGCTCAACAACTGATCCACATTACGATCGTTGCAAAGCCTGATAAGAATTTCGAGCTTCTCGAGTTTGACATAAGGAGGATCATTGTAGCGACAGAAGAAAACGCGCATCTCGTTCGATAACACCTCTGGTCGCCGTTGTAGAATAAGACTAATATTACGCAATGCAATATACTGGACTTCTGGAGGGCTAGAGAGCAGAGTTACTAAGTAGAGACATCAGTTTTTATGATTCAGTGCGTTCTCCTATTTTCCCATTACATACCAAGAGGTGGGGCCATCTTGCGGCAAAAAGTTTTGATCAAGTTTTGGTCTTTGATAAACCGCATGTTCAAAAGCAAAACCTACCACCCCATTCATTTTTAGCGACATATACCACAGAGTCTCACTATTCCAATATACCTTAATAGCAGCCAATACAACGGCACCGTTTGCATGCTGAAGTCGTGGGAGTACACGGTCGCAAATTCCTTCAGCTTCCTTGCCACCGGACGGCTTGTAATCTGCAAGTGCGGTAAGGATAGCAATCTGACCCCATCTACGATAAAGTATGAGTGCATCTTCACGACCACTTTCTCCATAGTAGATATACTTACTCGGTACATTCGTTCAATGCATGAAGAAGCTTGTTGAGAATTGTACTGTTGACAACAAACACATCCTTGTTGGAAGATCCTTCATTGATATCAGAGAGAGCAATCACAGCATTGGCCACGACCATGGGATTGATATCGGAAACCATCTCCTGCACAGCGCTGACAAAGTCTTGCTCCAAGGCGAGCTCAGGATTAAGTTCATAAAGCTTGGCAACACAGATAGCAGCAGTCTTGCGGACATAGGGATTCTCGTCCTATAATAGTCGAGCAATGATAGAAGTCAGATACAAATTACCTTACTACGTCGCTATACAACACTAACCTTGAGGCACTTTCGTAGCGGTTCCGTCAAATAATCAATAATCTTGTCCACACGCAAGCATCCCATTGTACGGATGGCCAATGCACGAATGAGAGGGTTCGGATCATCAGAATCCTACTCACAACCTGTTACCTTGGGCGATTCATCAATCATTTTTGCATTTTGACGCGTACCTTGACAAATGTATTGACAGCAAGGATGACAAGCTCTGGTTGAGTCTTTGCGTAATTCATCAGATACAAGTACACGAGCTTCTTTAATTCGATATCCTCGGTCTGCATGTTCTTGAGTACGTCAGGGAAGAGTCCACTAACATCCTTGCCAACGGTCATATTGGCAATAACCTTCTTGACTGCATCTTTCCTGACATGCCGATATTCGCTGTTGAGCTCTGCCTTCAGTTCATAATTCTCTCCTGCAACAGGTCATAGAATAGCGGTCAATATCCCGAGATTGAACGCACTGCAGCGAATGCGTTGCATCAGTTAACTATCTTTCTCACCTCGCTTGTTGGTCGCAAAAAATCTTGGTCGACTCATTGTACGCTCGTAAATGTATCGATAGGAAGGGTGTAGTTTGGTGACGCGAAGGGATGAGCCAAGTGCACAGATGAAACGATGCAATCGCGCCGTAAAGCTGAGGATATGTGTGAAGTCAACTTATATACAGCACTTACAGACTCAGATGCTTAGTGGAATTTCCTCCCACATGTCCAAGATCGGCCCTCTTTACTATGATTTGATAGCTAATATCTTAACGAAATGCACCATGCACAACCAGTGATCGATAAGCTATTTGGCAAAGGTGAGCGGCTGTCAACCTTCACTATTGCTTGTTCCTATACGCTTACTCCATTTTTAGGACCATTACTTTTTCTCACTACTATAATAATCCTTGTTATTCTTCATTGTTGCCGTCGCAGGTTTACATGTATTGAACGTTATGTAAGGCAAATAAAACATACTTGTTAATGTCAATAGCTAGGTGTAAAGTCATATTTGGCTTGGGAGTTTGCTTATGATTGAACAGTGATCCCCAAATAATGACATCGAAAATAGTATGTGCACCTGCTAACGGAATCATTAGGGCGGTCAAAGATGCTGAAGAGAGCTAGCAGCAGTGATTGGATCATCGTACTAGTAACACTACAAGTAGCAGTACTGCTAGAATTATACGAGAGCATTATCCTTTAATTAGGCGAAGGGAATCTTGGGATCCTTTAATTAGGCGAAGGAAATCTTGGGAGTGTTGGCGATCCATCTCATATTGATTATTTTGTCGTTGATGCTTGCACTCGAGTGTTCAGCATGTTGACAGCGCGTTATTTATGCAAACTTCAATGATGCAGCATACAAATCAAACTAGCGTTTGTGTAACAACGCGAACACCTGCCTTGATATCTTCTGCTATTGTCTCTACTCACCATACGTTGCATAAGCATGTACTTGGCACACGAAGGTTTATAAATAGGGGATCTTATAAAAGGAATCTACTTAGTTACCCCTAGTTAGTACTATAATACAACGCTGGTGAGTATACAATAGAGCATACATGGTGATATTAATAAATGGTTATGTAGAGTGTTTGCGAGTGAAGCTTGTAGCCACCAAGACTTTGCCGGTGAACCTTTATAGTGTTGTATGCGTCGATGCTTAGGCAGCAGCCAGTGAACTGAACATCAGATAAGAGCGACGTGATAATGTAATTAGTACCATAATGCCTCGAACACACCACAAAAACACAGCTAAGCCGAAGAGAAAAAAGTATAAGACAATAACATGGTGCTTGGTATCGGCCAAATTATATGGAACGTGGTCTTAACTTTGGTCATCCAGATGAATGGAACACTTGGTGTTGCATTGCTTGAGATACTCGAGCTAGGAAACTAAAATGGCAAGCGTCGTTGGTTTGTTGGTCACGCTTACTGCCAATCTGGATGTCTCACGTGAATTCCATATTCCAGAGAGATCGATCGAGAAGCATTCAATAAGGAAATCATCGCTGCTCTGACTCGCATTGCACCTCACAAAAAAACTTATGATCGTGGAAATAAGGTACAGGAGACGTGGCCTGTACAACTTGAGTGTGTTGGTCTGGGATTTCATTTATTACGGCGCTATCCGAGTATACTAACTTGTCTTGAATCACAGAAATTCTCGACATTCTCACAATGTTTCCCAGGCACATGCACACCAAGAAGGTAAAAACACGGTTTATAGTAATTGTATGTTTTCATCAAATAATGTAAAGTAGTCAAAAGCCGATGAATGTACCTATACACCACCACCGGTACAATAAAGTCCTGTTGTTTCGCGATAGAGGGCGTATAACTGATTCACGATCATGTCTCTACCAAAAGCCCATAGGAACCTCTTCTCTCACAACCGTTGGGTTTCTCTTTCTCTTCCACTTTTGTCTTGTGCTTCATTGTGGAGATTCCTATGATTCTATCATGCACTGAACAGTCAAAATGTGCCATTTCTAGATCGGAAAGCGTCTGAATCTGTGGGAAATGAGCATTTGGATTCAGGTTGAACAACGAGGGTCGAATCACATATAATCCACCCTGATCTGCAAGTACGTCTCGGAGCAGCTCTTTCAACTTCATGTCAGACATTGAATCATCGAAAAAGCAAGAGCCTCTGGCAGTGACTGAGGTTAGGGAAGTAAAAGATGCCGAGCATGTTCAAGGCGAAGATGGGCAACTGTATCCAGTACCTACCGATCAAGACTGGAAAGAATTACGCGAGGTTGCGGACGCCATCCCAAAATCAGGATTTCTTGTTATTTTGATTGAATTTTGCGAGCGCTTTACATACTATGGCTTGAGCGGTCCTTTCCAAAACTACATCCAACATCCAAACCCTGAATCATGTGAGTGTATTGTTTTGGGCATATTATGATGCGTACTTTTATACTAAACGCGAAAAATCTAGTCCCTGCTGATATTCCGGGTGCATTGGGCAAAGGACAGCAGGTGGCTACCGCACTCACCACCTTTTTCCAGTGAGTTGGGATTGTGTGCTCACGCATCTATGGATGTAGTACTAACAAAATACTACGTATGACTAGATTTTGGTGCTACATCACTCCTGTAAGACTGCCAAGTTCTGTGATAGATCCATCCATTACATTTTACACTGACATAGATGCTCTTATCGATTGATAGGTAATTGGTGGTATCATTGCAGATCAATATCTTGGCAAATACAACACCATTCTAGTGTTTGCTGGTATATACATGGTTGGTTTGGTTATATTGACTGCTTCTTCGGTGCCTGCTGCAATTGAGAACGGTGCTGCTTTTCCTGCATTTGTTGTTGCTTTGATCATTGTCGGTCTCGGCACAGGTGGTATCAAAGCCAACGTATCGCCTTTAGTGGCAGAGCAATACACGGTCCAAAAACCATTCGTACGGACGCAGAAAAAGACCAACTGGCTTGGTAGGAAGCAAGAAGAAACCGAAAGGGTAATTGTCACACCTCAAGCAACGTATCAGAAGCTGTTCAACGGTTTTTACTTTGGTAAGTGTGTGGATCCTTAGGCGGCGCCGGCGGCGCGGGTGGGCTGAATTTGAGTTTTACTTATGTGGTACAAAAGGTATCAACGTTGGTGGATTATCCGCTATTGCAACAACGTTCTTGGAAAAACAACAAGGCTTCGTATACGCATATCTACTGCCAACGTGCGTATTCATCCTTGGTATCATCGTCATTGTCTCCGGAAAGAAGTTCTACAAGCAGGCAAATCCACGTGGAAGCATCTTTGTTGAAGTAGGAAAAGTTGTCTCCATCGGTATTCGACATGGTCTCGAAAATGCCAAACCATCCAATATGAAAAATATCAATCCTGATATGGCAGCCAAGATCACGTGGGACGATACTTTTGTCGATGAGTTACGACGCACCTTCAAGGTACGAAGATGTGAATCCCTGTGTTATTGTTGCCATATAGCGCTTGGCATCTGTATTCTAACGTGTATTTTTTACAGGCATGTGTCGTTTTTTGCTGGTTCCCGATTTTCTGGTTATGCTATTCCCAAATGACCAATAACCTCGTTTCCATGACAGCGGTAAGCCATTTCATCTGTTCAAATATTTCTAGCACGTGATTGACTCTAACATCGGGATTCCATTTTACAGACAATGTTGACCGGCAATGTCCGTAAGTATTACACGTCAATGACATACGAGTATGCTTACAATATTGTTTATATAGCAAATGACATTATGCAAAACATCAATCCTCTCACGTTGATCATTGTTATCCCTATCATGGATAGAGTTTTCTATCCGCTTATGCGAAGAATAGGCGTACATATGAAGCCAATTAGACGCATTGCTATTGGGTTCTTTTTCGCAGCATTGGCCATGGCTGTAAGTTTTGATAAGATACGTATGTTCTCAAATCTTACCATGTGAATTTGTGCGTTGTAGTATTCGGCTATTGTACAGACTATAGTATATAACAGCCCACCTTATTATGAATACCCTTCAGAGAACGGCAAGAACTTTGTGTCGGCAGCCCTTGTCATTCCAGCCTACGTGCTTGTCGGTATTGGTGAAGTATTCGCATCCATCACAGGCCTTGAATATGCCTACAAAAAGGCACCAGAAATGATGAAGTCTCTCGTCATGTCCCTGTTCCTCCTGACAAATTGCTTCGGTGCTATTTTGGCCTTTGCCCTTGTTTCCGTCGCAGAGGACCCCAAGCTAAAATGGATGTATACCGGTATTGCTGCTGCCATGGGCGTATGTGCCATCCTATTCTATATTTGCCATCACAAAAACGACGACATCGACTTTGAAGAAGACGCTATCGGTCGAAATGGCGCAGAATCTGACGCATATCATGAAAAGGCAAGAAATGAAAAGATACAAGAATATGAAATCGATGAAACAAAGTAATTTATGATGAAATATGTGTACATCTGCCTGATTAATAAATATAATTACATGTACTTATATGAAATACAAATGGGGTACGATGATTGGCAATGAAGATTTGTTTTTATTGTAGTTAATGTTGACGCCGCCTTGATCCTTTGGATTTCCCTTTTGCTTTTTTGCCACGCGGTTTCGAGCTGGTCGAGTCGTCAATGGCTGAATTATCATCCTTGCCAGTAGTCTCATTTTCATTATCTATCCTTGGTTGAGATTCGTCAAATTCTAGCTGTGGATTGGTTGTATCTGATCCTGTTTGAGACATATGCCCTCCATCAGCTTGTGCTTCTTGTGCTTCTGTAGCTGTTGTTTTCTCATCCTCCTGATTGCGTGATTGGTTGTCATTGTCATTGTCATCATTACTCGTTAACATGTTGTTTGCCAGATCTTTGTCGTTGCTACTCGAGTCAACTGATACTGACGTATCGTCGTTCTCCTTGCCCTCTTCTTCCGGTTCGTGAGCACTGGCACTGTTATCGACATTTTCCTCCGTAGTATCATTTTCTGCCGTTGACCCAATCTGCTCGTCGGATTTTAAATCGAACAACGCTTCGAGATCTTTGTCGTTGATATCACTTTCATGCTGGATATCGACATAGATGCCGCTGAAAAGACAATCACGTAGAAATGGTACACAACAACGAACATACGCCAATACAAATGAACGCACCGATGTCATCTCGTGTGGTATTGTAGATTCAGCGTTGTCCACGTATTGCTTCAGCGCACTCCCGATTTCCAAAAAGCAGGCATCCAGGTGGCTAGATACAGGCTGAAGAAGACTGACGGCTGGAAGAAGTCGTAATGCATTGAAGGCTGACAAGATGGCATTGGTAAAAACAGCTAATGGTGGATAGTCAACGAGAAGCATTGGTGGCTGATGTGAATGAGTATTGCTGTGTTCGTTGTCTGCTATCTGTTGCTGTTGCTGGTATGTCGTATAGCGATTTGTCAGCATCCATGTATTAGGAGGAGCTTTATTGGTGGTGATGATAGTAACAAGCTCCTCAGTTGCTTTGTCGACTGTTTTCAGAATAAGCGGGCGCACCGTGTCTTCAAAGACGTGTACGTAGAGATGTCGAAAGTCGATACCAACACGGCCGAGTGACATACCACAGTACTGTAGCTGAGTGAGTAAGGATGCCAATGCAGAAGTATCCGTAATCTTTGGTAGTTCGGTGGTGAGTAGAGTGTGGATGGTGTTCAATAAATGAATCATGTAGTCAGATAGAATCAGGATACTTTGTTGCTCTTGTTGTGAAAAGATAGACATGTACTGCGTGGCGATCTCAAACATTTGCTCCCGCATCACATCGATGTATCGTTTAACATATTCGAATGCCTCTTCGTGCTCGTTGGATGATTTGCCACGTTTGATGCGTTCCAAGCGTTGAGTCAAATAATCGTGACGACATCTCAAGAACACCATACGTAGCTCGATCTCCGAATCGAATGCATCCATACGACGTAAATGGCCCATGACATTCATGGCTGCTGCCAACTTGATAGGTCTTTGTAAATGGGACACAAGCTGTAAGAGCATCAAATCAACAGATGCTTGTACTTGTCGTTGAATGCTTTGAACAATGGGTAGCGGATAGCGTACAAGCAGTAATCGAACATGAGAAGCAAGATCCATAGCCTCTGAGTAATATCCATTCCATACACATGTCTCCATGAGTTGAGGTATCTCCAACAAGTCCACAAGCACGTTTTGTTGTTCAATAACTCGTGTAATCTTGTTTCGTTCCTCGACAATCTCACCGGCGATATCGCTAAATGACTGACATGCTTCCTGCAATCCAGGCACGCTCGTAACAAATCCATCCAAATGACTCTGCAACTCGTCGAGCGTTGAAGAAACCTGATGTCGGCACGTATTCGCATGAATGAACGCTGGATAATCATGAAAAGCGAGTTGTTGCGCGTCCTTTTGTAAGCTTTCTCGTTCGACTCGTAAATCGGAAGGCTCATGCAACAGCTCATCTAGCGACAAGGACGTCAACCGCGTAAGGTAATCTCGCGTCCATTTTGAGTTGTGTACAGTGATACGCTGCTTATCTTCCCATGTTTCATCAAGTAGGTGTAGCAGTGCTTCATTCCCATCGAGATCTGTCATGGTCGTTATGTGTGCGTGTTGTCAAGGGTGACCCAACCAGTTGAAGAAAGCACATCAATGCTTCGGACCCTGGATATTGCTATAGCATTTTGGCCAATCCAATGCATACAGCTGAGCTTGAATGTGCGATCAACCAACCAACACGCGAACTTACTCTTTTTTTTCGCGACCATGCTCAAACGACCCGTGCCCAGAAGTCAGGACGACGACAGATCAGCGAAGCGTACAAAGACACAGACATCACTATGGAAAACAGCATTCGAACGCGGCAGGACATGCTTTGCTGATGCACTTTATGAGGACGCCATTGCTGAATTCTCGTCTGCGATCGACTGTAACCAGAATATTACACTGTATGATTGTCGTGCAGCAGCCTTTGAGAAAGTTGGCCAGTATGCCAAAGCATTGGAGGATGCTATGACCATGATAAAAATGGCTCCCGACCAATCGAAAGGATATCTTCGCGCAGGCAAAGTTCTTGTGATTCAGGAACGATTTTCCAAGGCGATCGCAGTGTACAACCGTGCTCTAAAATATGTCAACAAATCCGATTCTCGATATGCAATGTTGGAGACAATGCGGGAACGTGCAAAGACATCAATGAAGCAGCGTAGCAAGGAGAATGATTTCACAAAGATACTTCCATACGACATTCTTCACACCATCTTTGCTCAAGTATCGTTTGATCGACGTATCCAATGCATGGCAGTTTGTCAATCCTGGCGTAATTTCCTCAAATCTTGGTTTGGCATGTGGTGTCGTCTCCATTTCACATCAGCCATGTCAGTCTATGCGATCAAACAATATATGAGTTACACGACCGGCAGATATGTACGGCAGCTATGCATTACAGGCCAAAAGAAATCAAGAATGAACACCATATTGCAATTGGGTATTGATCGTGATTGCCATTATATTCAAAACCTTGGTAAGCCATCGTTTTGCTTCCTATTTCACAAAGCTAACTAGCCATCTTTTTAGAAATCGTGGATTGTCAAATTCCCGTAACACTGTTTTTGCGATTTTTACGATTGATGGGCAAGGAATTACGGTCCCTAAAGCTGGTTGATACGGGCTTATCTCTCAATGTTGTCGTCGAACATGTGTTCCCGTTGTGTCCTGGAATTACACAGCTCATTTACCACGACGCACATCCATCAGAAGGAATCCAGCTCGACAAACAGCTTGCCCTCACGCATCTAAGTCTTTCAGGTCCTTCCAATGAGATACAGAAACACATGATACGCCATTGTCCGCAATTGATTTGCTTATCACTCTATTCATCACAACATGACGACATTTTAACGCTGGCGTTGAGGGATTGTCCAAATCTCATCGAATTCAGCATTGCGAAGCGAACGGAGTATTGGGAGACTCGTGATGAGAACAAGCCATCAAAAGGATTACAGCAACTTGCATTTCCAAGCCATAGTGAGGTTTCAGAGAGATCATTGATTTCTGCCATCGAGGTGCATCATGGCACTTTGGAGGTGATCGACATTCGTGGGTGTTACAGCTGGTCGACTAGTGCAACAAGTCGACTGATATCACGTCCACTGAAGCGATTACGAGAACTTTATATTCAATCCACAGCGGCATTTTCGGAAACCCAGTTATGTGAATTGATAAGAAACACAACAACTCTTGAAACGGTGCACATGCAATCCATGCCATCGGTGACTAATGCGGTGTTAGAAGCGCTGGCTGAACAACCATTCCTGCGCAGGATCGATCTATCCAATTGTCCCAATGTTACTGGGTTGGGCATCCGCCAACTATTGCATGACAAGCGTATGATACGACGACTGGTGATCAATAACTGCAGCAATATTCGACCCGATGCTGTGTCTTTGGCTCGTGAAAAGCTCGGACGTAACGCAGTGGAATTCAAATTCGAATAGCCTTTGTGACTTGTATCCATGATTCAACCTTACACAAATCTGAGATCCTCCGTTGCTTTCTTTTTCCCTCCTTCCCCCCATTGTAACCTTGATAATATAAACAATGGTGGGATCATCCACTTCACATACTGAATCCACACCTCTCTTGAACGACGATACTTCAGCACATAAACACACATACAATGCTGACGATTCCGATCATATCAGTGTCACTTCATCCTCTTCTGCGTCCTCAACTGAGGCGGGCAGCCAAAACAAGGGAGAAGCTATTGTTGCTCGTCGACTCAAAGGTGCCCACTTGTTTGTGATATTAACAGGGTACTATAAACAACAAACATAAGCAATACATCATGTCTAACTTTGTAATATCATTATAGCCTATGGACGGGTGTTTTCTTATCGTCATTGGATGCAAGCATTGTGGCCACTATTTACCCACAGATTGGTACGGAGTTCAAGAGGTATTTGATGCTTGTGTTGAAATTCTGTGCCTGATATTTGTGATCTGATCCAACGCTCTTCGTATTCAGATCAAATGAAATTATATGGGTGGCTACATCTTATATGTTAAGTTATACTGCGTTGCAGCCTTTATGTAAGTGTCCTTTTCTGGATCAAATGATGAGGTCGTACAAAGCTTTTAATTCTCTCACATCAGATGGCCGAATCTCGGACGCTTTTGGTCGCAAGTCTGCGTTGTTATTCGCCGCCGTCATATTCTTTATTGGTTCATTCTTATGTGGTGCTGCGAATAGTTTGTGGTCGTTGGTAATCGCTCGTGGTATTGCAGGCATTGGAGGAGGTGGTTTGAATACCGTAAGTTATTATCAGCCGAAAATGAAGAAATTCACTGACTGACAAAGAAAAATTCAGATGAGCTCGGTGATTACGAGTGACATGGTACCACTCCGAGAACGCGGGAAATATCAAGGTTATGCAAACATTGCGTATGGTGTAAGTGAAAAAGAGCGCCTTGTATTGTCATCAAGTCTTGTTAACACATCATGATAGCTTGGATCAATTACTGGTGCACCATTGGGAGGATTTATTACTGACACAGTGGGATGGCGATATTGCTTTTATATCAACTTGCCTCTACTAGTGATCTCTTTGTATGTTGCGACATGTTTGCTGACAAATTACAATCTTGAGGAGCAAGATGATGATCTTTCAACGTGGGAACGCTGCAAAAATATTGATTATCTTGGTGCATGCACTATTGTCACTGCCGTTGTATGCTTCATGGTTGCCACCTCACTCGGAGGCAACTCCCTTCCATGGTCGGATCCAATTGTTGTGGGATGCTTGGTTGCTTTTCTGGTGATGACTATTGTATTTTGTGTGGTAGAGGCCAAAGTTGCATCCAATCCTCTGATGCCCTGGCACATCATCTCAAGTCGCACACCATTTTCATGCTCGTTGGTCAATTTTTTCGGCGTCATGGGCAGTTTTGGCATGACCTATACCACCCCTTTGTTCTTCCAGGTAACGTAGCTGGATGAAGGGTGACACGAATGTGGCATGGCTAATATCAATTAACTTAAAGGGTCTCTTGGGCTACTCCCCTTCGGAAGCTGGCTTATTCTTTTTGCCAAAAGTAGCTGCCATGTCTGCGGGATCATTAGCAGCAGGCTTCTACATGTCCCACACTGGTGAATATAAACGATTTATAATCACAGCATCTTCTCTTGCCTGTGTTTCCATGGTGTGTTATTCCTTGTGGCATCCTGGTAGTTCGTTCTTCTTCATTATTCCCACGTTGCTGCTTGATGGGTTCTCTTCAGGCTGTATCATAACAGCTGCTTTGGTGGCGATGCTTTCATGCGTCCCTCAGCATGGTAAGTGCCGGTGTCAGGTATTTTTGGACAAGATTCATTTGTGATTGACCAAGCATCATACACTGTAGAAATGGCTACTATCACATCTATGTCATATCTCTTCCGTTCTACAGGTGGTGTTATCGGTATTTCTGGAACATCGGCTATATTCCAAGGAGTGGTAAAGGACATTCTCGTTGAAAAGATCAAAGGACCTGATGCAGAAAAGGTATTTATTGTTCACGTGAACTGCTGACTACCTATGATCATGATTTTAACCGAAGTACGGCTAGATTATTGATATCGCTCGCAAATCCATGACTGAGATTCGTGATTTGTTACCCGATGATGCTTTGAATACTGTACTTGACGCATACCAGACTGCCATCAAGGATGCCTTTTTATTCTGCGTTGGTGTTTCGATTCTGGGGTTGTTGTCGAGCGTCTTTATAAGACAATACCAGCTGGACAACAAAGTTAGAAAATAGAATGATACCTCTTTTTAGCAATAACAATGGGAATTATCGATTCATGAAAGGGTTTTGGGAAGCTTTGGGAGAAGGTGAACGTGTGTATGTGTATCTTATGGAAAGCACGTGATGTGTTTTAAGTTTAGTGGCTATGAATGCGTATATGCTGCCATTCGAAAGAGGACTCATACAGTTGTTTGCTTGTCTACTATTGGCATGGGATTAACATGACCGTAACAATTCTTGATAATGTATTACTTCCTATCTAAGAGATGCTTATAGGTGAGTCCACCAACACCACGTTTCAACTCGCGATCGCAACAACATTCAATAATATCAGACATTGGCACTGGTGTATATACGCGGTAAACGTGGAAATAGTCTAAGATGACGTGACATCACACAATGTCGCTTATTCTATCAAATTGTTGAAGGGGATTACAGTGTACATAAAACACAGTCTAAGATTGGGAATGTCGGTCTACTATTGAACTACATGGTGGTGGTAGGTGAAGATGTTGTGAGTAGAAGCTACCATATCAACTTTGTAAGGGTCCATCGGATAAGCTTGGGGTGTGGGTGGATTGTATTCTCCTGACGAGTTGGAGGAACAAGCTGAACTGGACGAAGGCGGTGGGGATTGTAATAAACTTGCTTCCAACAAAGGACGTGGATGACAATCGTTATATACTTTTGCAGCAATGTCATAATCATCGAGATCACCCCATCCATCGACATAATCACACAAGCTATGTACCAACGATTGGCTGAGCGGAAGACTCTTGAAACCGGATGATATCAATGGTGCTGATTTTTTGTTCCGTGGCTTGCTAGTGGCATGAGCAGCAAGGGACAGAGATTGTGATTGTGATACTTGGTTGGTCTTTGCACCAAAAGAAAAGGTAGCACGACTATCTTTAAAGAATAATAAATCCTTTATGCGAATACGTAGCTCAGGAAGCGAGATACGTCTGGATGGGTCAAGGCAAAAGATGCGTGATAGAAGCACTGCAAAATCTTCAGAGATACGAGGTAGAGTTGCCACGAAGAACGACGGCTTGGGCCTTTTCATATACCGCTGGAAGGTAGGATCTATAAAGGACGCCTGGCGCCAAGGATTACGGCCGGTTGCCATATTAACCAAGATTACACCCAAGCTCCAAACATCGTTCTGCCTCGTGCTATATCCCTTGTTGATGGTATGGCCTTGACACTCGGGTGAAAAATAAAAGGTTGATCCGCAACCAAATCCAGCCGATACAAGTTGGGTTGTAGCCAGGCCAAAATCAGCAAGCTTGACACGCCATTGTGGAAACACAAGAATATTTTCAGGCTTGAGATCACGATGAGCAACGCCTTGTTCATGACAATGTTGTACAGCATCGATGAGTTGAAGGAATATGTATCGTATCGCTTCCTCATTGCCCATAATGCCTTGTTGTCGGGTGATGGCAGTGAAAAGATCCCCTCCAGGAGCATACTCAAGTACGAGATAAATGCGATTATCTCTTTCTTCATGGACCACCTTTTCCAGTTTCAGAATACCTGAGTGCCCAGACACACGGCAATGTAATTGGATTTCGTTATCGTTTGAAGTGTGCCGTGTGATTAATTTTATCGCATATCGTCGGCTGCTGGGAACATGCACTCCAAGGTATACAACGCCGTATGCACCGATGCCGAGAACAGACACCAGTTGAATAGACTTTTTATCTATAAAGGTGTTCACTAGATTATATGGATCGAGTGGATGAGTCATGATGCTTAGAGAAAATAATTAACGAAAGGCTTGATCTTGAGCTCTTTATAAATTGTGGTATCGTCGCTTAGCATTGCAAACTTATCGCTGAAAACAAGAGCGCGTGGACTCCCTTTGGACTCCTGGAATATCCTTGATGGTGAACCTCCCTGGAAAATAACGTGTCCCTTATTGTTCCGATCCAGCGAGTAAATTTTTCTCAAGCCAAGTCGATCGATAATTAATGGCAGGAACTTATCATGCATATATAGGTACGGAACAACCTATAACCTATGCATTGCTCATAAGCAGCTATAATATAGGTTTTTGTAATACAGAACTACTCAAGTGATGGCATGGATTCACCACGCGATATTGGTTTTTACCCCCTCCCTTTTTGCATGTTCCTTGGTTCTCCTCAATTCGTGGCATCAAAGACCTACACGCACAAACCCATTCGACTGCTGTATTTCCTTTCTATTCCATGGTGCATCTCCTATCAAGAACTTTATTCTTATTGTACCCATAGGTAACATTACAAGAGACAGAATGCTTTGTGAGTGATAAACTATTATTGCTACAGCGCTTTAGTCATTCAGCATTTATAGCATTGTTTAAAAAGTTACAAGCATCATATCTCGACAATTGAATCTAAAGATAAGTCATCCAGAGTAAGAGATGAAGTGGCGAGAGCATAGCTATGACCACGTTTTGTTTGTGGTGGAAGGGGCATTAGCATAGCTTTATGGAGCAAGCTGGTGGAAATAGACAACGCAACGTGCTTCTACAACGTGATGGATGTTCCTTATCCACGTAAGGGGTATCCTTGCATCGTGTCGCAGCACGCTTAGCATGCAGGGTATCTGTCACTTTGCTTGATGGTATCTTGAGGGACATTAGACTATGCGATGCGTCCCCATGCATGCCGGGTTCCCTTTAATAATGTGAGTCAAGAATGCTATTGCGGTGTCACGATCCATGGAATAGATACAAGCTCAAACATCATTTACAAAACAGAACATTGTTTACACAAACATAATATATTTACAAAAGTCTACCAGTATTGTTGCTTTTCTTGACCATTCATGGCAGTGTTGTTTGATGTTTGTTGCTGTTGCAAATAGATATTCCATTCCTCCAAATCAAACGAAGTCGGAATACCCCAAAACGCAGTACCAAGGGGATCGTATGCACCTGGCTGTTGTTGATCTTGTTGTTGCTGTAGTGGTGGTTGTTGCGCAGACAAAGGTATTGTTTGTGATTGTTGTGGTTCAGTTGTTTGGGGGTTAAAGCTGCGAGGAGGTGATTCAACAGGACGTGGGGGTGATTGACCATCAAGAGCAGAATAATAGTTGCTGTATTTCTCATCCATGCCTTCGTGTATGTGTTGTTCAGATTCCATGATGGGTGAATTAGGCACTGCAATGGAGGCGGGCGCCACTTGTAACTTTGACTCTGAAGCTTTCCTGCTATAGCTATCATCAATGCCACTGAGATTGATTTCACGAAGACCAGCAAGTTCGCCAAGGATATTGCAATGTCGAGCTGATGTAATCCACGTTTTTTCCATCTCATCCATAGCTCGCATCAGCTTGTTGATACTAATCTTGGCCTCAAATGCAAACATGCTATCCGTGGATTGTGCATTGTAGATAAAGATAACACCAGCCGTGAACATGAAATAGAGCGTATAATTGTTGACGCTTGTGAGACGTCCTTCAGCAAGCAATGATTCTGCAATATCGAGGATCTTGTTGGCAGCAAATGTACAAATCGATGCAGAGGGATAAACAGATGGTGCAATGTTTTGTGTTGAACCTGGAATGAATGGTCGATGCAATAATATCAGTGTTGTGTAAAAGAGCATGTGCAGCTGACAAGTCTCCAACGCCGGCGCTGGTGCAGTTTCTGCTAATCGAGTGTTGGGAGGACGATAGCGTAGTGAAGGTGGTAATTTGGCCATCCACTGGTTGAGTGCTCGATCCAATGTTGAAATAACGCTATCCGGAGTAGCCATCACTGAGAGTTGTTTTCTTCCTTTGACCATGTACAAATCACGCAATATATCTCCCAAAATCTCGCAAAGTCGAATCAATTGAGTAAAGTTCTCCATAATGCGTGGTGTTCGACCGATATCGTCTTCGTCATTCTCAGTCGGATATGGTGTATCATAATCACGCTCATCGATCATTGGTGAACGGCCATGCATTGCACATGTAAGTCGATCAATGACAAAGCTATTTGGGAATGACGTTAATAATGAATTTTACATGTTGGATCATTCCAAACTTACCAGCAAAAGAATGTTCGTTTACGTTCTTGTTTCTCCTCTTCAGATAAATTCCATGTGTCACAATTCCTGTGCAATCCCAGATTTTGTGCCATGCGGAATGCCTAATTGGATCTCAGTAAGCTTATATGCAAAACACCATTCATCCACTTACCATGCCACTATAGATCCATCCTCGAGTAGGTCTTAATGCACCATTTTGATGACTGCTCATAAGTAACAGGGATTGCACCGTCGATATGCGAAAGTTATTGAATTCAAGGTCAAGAAGTAGCCGAGCACGTTCGAAAAAGACTTCGCCTGCTGTATCGGGTTGATCAGGATCTGTACGCACACGAGAGTCGGATGAGACACGTGATGCAACTGCATATATTGCATTTAACAGCAAAGGTGATGGCGGGTTACTCTTGTCGTTGAGCGAGCGCATGAACTTTTTCTTGTGTAGCAACGGTATGAGGGGATAGAAATACTTGAAATACAAATCAAGCAGATGATTGGAAAGATCTTCAGGGGGCATCTCAAAAGGATCCACTCTAATCCCACCAGCAGCTGCTTCTTGTCCACCAGAGCTAAATTGAAATGAACCATTGTGGAAGTTCTTGCTGCCTTGAAGCATATAGAATCCCGATGATCTGCCATAATATCGCAATTGGCCACTTTCATCAATAGATACATTGCACATGTTGTCGTTAACTGAATCCACTGTTGCCATCTTGCCAGGATCATTGTGATGTCGGTGCATCTCCTCCACGTTGCGCATATCAGCCGGCTCCTCAAAACCAGCAATCATTGCCCGTTGCATAGGTCGAGGTCGTACAAGTTCTCCATATGCCGTTTCTAAGGGTGCATTCAATTCGTTCATAACAGCTTGAAATCTTGGATCGCCCTCTTGCACTATACTGCCTAATAGTGCTTCCAATCGATGTAATCGTCCTTCAATGGCTTCAATGTATCCTTTGGGAGGCCCACGCTATAATAGTTCTTTAGTAACCTATCCCAAAAACATTATCTACCTCTCTTTACCTTTCGAGTAGACTCCTTGTACGTGCATTGAATCTGCAAAGCGACACAATTGCCACACAGAGGCAACGCCCCGTCACATTTCACTTTTTTTCGTCTGCATTGTTCACTAAAGGACGATCAGAAACTGTGGCTATTTCGTTGAAAGGGTCTGTGACTCACCAAGCTTTGCTGACACGTTGTCGTTTAGAACCAGAAGGATCGTCAGGCATTTGGGGTCGTAGTTTTATGGGAAAGAGCGTAAAGAAAGAGTTGCGGACTAACTTACATCCTGGAACTGGAGTCAGCTGCACCTCCAAAATCCAAGGCGCTTTCTTATTGGTGGAAACAACCCCCTCAAAGCCGTCTCACGGTTTCGAATGCTGAAACTCCCATAATCTACTGTAGGCAGATGTTAATAAAAACTTCCTTGATAAATCAGCTAAGAGAATTTGTGTGTGGAAGTGGTGGATCGCAATCCAAGTCTACTAGCTAATATCGGTATTCTGAAGCATACCAAAATACAGATGATGATGTTTCTATCTTATTATTCATGGGACAGATTTTCTATGAAATGAAGGAAAGAAATTTATGAAAACATGATAGTACACTAGTAATGATAAATGTCTGGTTGGGATGAATATGATATGATACATTGGGCATCCTACTATGAGACTATGCCGGATTTCCGTAGGTAGGAGAGGTGAATGTGATCTGTTAGCACGTCATATAGAAGCACGTGACTTTTGGGTGATGATCGAAATTGGGCCTCAGTTACTTTCGCTTCTTCACTTAACCCACTGCCAGTGTCAAAACGCTTCTACCACCATGAGTACGTGTCCATGTCAAATCTACTTTAGACGATAAAGCAATTCTCATCAGCACCGAGTTGCCACCGAGATATCTTTTGTCGTCAACATAAAGTGCCACTGTCATTGAGACTTACTATCGTTTCATGCCACTAGATCAATCGGAAAGCGTCACTCTTAAGCTCAGTGATTTGACAAGACCAAACGGTACGATACGCTGGGTATATCTATTCATGATGAACTTGGGCTTATAAGACTCCATAGATAACCCCCAGTGGCCTGGCAATCCAAGTATGGTCTTAATTTTCATGCCATCTTGCTTCTTCCACTAACATTGCTGTAGCCCCTACGGTTCGTTTGGCTGACCTTACATCAGGTATCATCGAACACTTTTCACACATGCAAAGGTATTTTGATTAATATGATCTTCTTGATATAGAACATGGACGTGGATTGTTGGACAGCAGCTTTCCTGTCAATGTCGTAGTTGGAGGTGTGCGTCAGAGATCATCGCCGCTGGATTCGGTAAAATCATTTGAAGAACTTGGCCTGTAAGTATTCTGAATAGGGTTGATGATGGATGATTAAGGGTCTATTGTTTAAATAGTAAGAACGAACTCCTCCAAGGTCTTTATGGCATGGGCTTTTCCAAACCTTCAAAGATTCAAGAAACTGCTCTTCCATTGCTTTTACAAGAGCCGTAAGTGGATAGTATATAGTCAAACATTCTCGACTGAAATATCTATTCTAGCCCAAAAAACATGATTGGTCAATCCCAGAGTGGAACAGGTACAGCAAGTTAAGGAAAAGGGGATGTAGCTGGATATGGGTCTAATTAAGCAAACTAGGCAAAACGGCTGCTTTTTCTTTAAACATTCTCAACCGCATTGATCCCCATATTTTCAAACCACAGGTAGGATTGATGTTACATGATCGATAGCAAAAGATGATTTCACTCACACCCTACTATGCATCCTAGGCCATCATCCTGTCGCCATCACGCGAACTCGCTAGTCAGACCGTGAATGTGATTCAGGAAATGGGGAAATATACCAACATCACAACATGTCTTGTTGTCAAGGGTGGTAGCCACAGGGGAAGAACCATCAATGAGCACGTGATCGTCGGGACTCCAGGATCGGTGATGGACTCAATCCGCAGACGGCAATTAACCACTAATGGCATCAAGGTCTTTGTGCTCGATGAAGCAGACAATATGCTTGATCAGGATGGATTAGGAGACCAAAGCATTCGGATCAAAGGGTAACTTGATGGGACGCATACAATGGAATTAGGGTCATTGAAATTGTTCCTTTCTTTTAGAATGCTTGAGAGCCAGCCCCAAATTGTCCTATTTTCTGCTACCTTTCCTGATAACGTCCGTCGCTTTGCACCGCGTTTCGCTCCTGATGCCTATGAGATTTCTCTTCGCAGGGAGGAGTTGAGCGTCGACTCCATCAAGCAATTTTACATGGATTGTCGGGATGAAGAGCACAAATATGAAGTGCTTTGTAACTTATATGATCTCTTGACCGTAAGCCAAAGCATTATCTTTTGTCGAGTAAGTGTTCTACATGTCACCGAAACAACACAATAACTGATTTCCACTTTCAATAAGCGTCGTGATACTGCGGATGAGATTGCGAGAAGAATGTCGGAACAAGGACATGCTGTGCTTTCATTACATGGCATGATGTCTCCTGAGGAGCGTGATCAAGTGATGGACCATTTTCGACGTGGCGAATCCAAGGTCCTCATTACTACCAATGTGGTGTCTCGTGGTATTGATATCATGCAAGTCAGCCTTGTTGTCAATTATGATATGCCGTTGGATGTCAACCACAACCCCGATCCTGAAACATATTTGCATCGTGTGGGAAGAACAGGTCGTTTTGGTCGTACAGGTGTCAGCATCAACTTTGTCCATGATCGTACGAGTTGGCAACACATGCGGGCTATCGAGGAACACTTTCAGAAACAAATCACCATGGTGCCAACGGATGATTGGGAGGAGGTAGAGAAAATATTAAAACCAGTGTTGTAATTCTAGTGTCATCCTATTCTTCCCATCAAAACAAAAAGTTCATTGTATATTGCACCTTTATAAACCATCAAGCTTGTGGTCTAATATCAAGTGAACAATCAATTTCAAATGCTAATCCAAGCGTGAAATTTTATTGGCTGATGTTGATACTGCGGTGAGAGGAGCGTCCTCATTCATCCTCTTCTCCAACTTTTTCTTTTCTTACTGCACTCAACGATCATGGCACGCAAACGAGATTTAGAGGCAACAACGACTGATCATACCGATACCACACTCAACGAAGCCAATCCCAGCAAAAAACGCAAACACAACAATCTCGATTCAACTGTTTTGAAGACCAAAAAGAAGCACAAAAAGCATAAAGAGCACAAACACAAGAAGGACAAAGAACGCAAGAAGGAGCACAAGAAGGAGCACAAGAAAGAACACAAAAAGAAGAATAAGAAGGAAAAGAAGAAGAAAAAGAGCAAATCGAGCGAGAAAGATGTTACCTACAACAAAGTCGAGACGTCAACGACAACCAGAGGCACCACGACGGCAACCAAATCATCATCATCAACAAAAAAAGATCGTCCCAAGGCTAAGCTTTTCAACAGTCGTCTTCGACATATCCCGACTCGTGATTCTGATGATGAGAACGTGGATAAAGTATCGCTATACAGAACGAGAATTATCGCCGAGATTCCCAAGGTTCAGCGTGACTTTTTCATTTCAGACTCGGATTCTGACTCTGACGAAGATACCGAATTGAACATCGGCGTTGAACCAGAATTGGAATGGCATAAGCGTTACCTTGGCATAACAGAGGTCAGGGAGAAACGGCTTGAATGGACGACAGTGGAGAATGGCATCTGGAATGTGCAGGAACGAATTCGACTAGAAAAACGGGTGAAGAGAGTCTCAAGGGTAAATGAAAATGGTGTGGATAACAACAACATGATATTGATTGACGGAGATCTTTAGAGCATGGGTATGGATCTGAAAGCCTTTCGAGAGCACGTGCTTTTTGAGCGACCTAGCGAGCATTTAAAGATGTGGTGGGAGATAGGTAAATATATGCAGTAACCGGATACAATTTGGGATGCGAAAACTAAAAAGTAACATCATTCTAAACCCACAGCAAAACCGTTTCCTAAACGAGATTTGAATGCAATTGTGGACAAAGTACGCACAGCGTATGCTGCCAACAAGTATGCTGGAAGGTGGACCAAAGAGGAAGATGAAAAATTAAGGGAGTACGTGTTAAGTGAGACAAGGTTTGAAAAAAGGCTCATGCTAACATGAATCAGGTTGATGAGGGACGGAGAACGTTATTCAAGCATGGTAGCCCATTTTCCCAAACGTGATCGAAGCGCTATCCAATTCAGGTGGTATCAATTGGAGACCCAAGATCAAGCAGCTGGTAAGCATGAACACTATTTTATTTCAGCATCAGAGAATTAATGTTTTTATGTATATACAGCAAATCTCGTGAAAAGCGGCAGATGGTCGGATGATGAAGTAAAGCAGCTTTATAATGCTGTGAAGAAGTATGAAATGGAGCACCCTGATAAGCGGATCGATTGGAAAGTTATAGCGGCAGAGCTCGGTGGAATGCGATCAGTAACTCAATTGCGTCACAAGTGGTAAGTCGTCTTTAACCCCACTCATTGAGGTTGATCTTCTGATTTGATTGCATTAGGGGTAAAGTGTGTGAAATGCTGGAGAAATCTCAGGGAAATATAAAGTCTCAGCCGTTTACTATCAAAGATAAACTCGATCTCTTTGAAAGGTATGTATCTATATTTGGGGGTTTGCCAGAGTAGTATTCTCAACTATGATCCTATTATAGAATGCAAGCCAAAGGCTGGAAGAAAGAGGAGGATATCAAATTCGTTGAGCTTGCAACAGCAAAAATGTAAGTTCCCATATACGATTCTATCATCTTGTCATCTTACCAGGTTTTTTTTTGGGTGTGGTGGCGGCTTTAGGACGAAGTTGCAAGCAAGAGGTATTTATCTCGCTAACCGGTTGTCGATACCAGGGTTTAAAACGCTTCCTTATCCAGGTATCTATAGTACCATCGCTGGATAAAACATCAAGATATGCTAACGTTGGAAATCATAGAAATCATTTCGAAGCTAGTTGAAACGAGGCGAGCCATGGTTGCAAGCATGGAAGAATAATCATTACAAGAAGCCAGGTTATTGACAACAAAACATTCTTTCAGAATCCCACTATCATTAGCTTATTAGGAAATACTTCCCTTGATATGATCACCTTCTATAACCAGGATATGTACTTGCCTTGCGCTTTCTTTAAAACATCGGTGTTTGAAGCTTCCTATCTTTGCGCTAATACCAATTACCACGTTTTTGACGATTGCAATTGGGCCCATCTTTCCTCAGAGAGTGCCAGAGCATTTTATGTCACTGCTGATGGCGTGGATAAAGATATTACTTTTGGGATACCGGGAACTAAACCACGGGGACCTGAGGATTGTATTAATTACACATGGCCGAGTGCCAGCTGAGCAACATAATGCGCAAGTATTCATTGGAGCGCCCCAACACTAAATTTGGATGTGGGCTCCCCCTTATTTCTTCTTCTTTATACCATGTCCTCCTCCAACGCATCTACCAACAATGACAATATACCAAAAATGACACTTCGTGATCCGTCAAGTAAGCAAGAAGAATGCAATGTCTTTATTACAGCATCCCAATTTCCTTTCTAGATCAGACGTTAGCTGTTCCAGAGTTTCCTGCCCGAAACGGCCCACAACGACTTGTAGCAGCTGCAACGAAACAACCACGAGGAAGGCAAAAAGTGATATTGGAACCCGGTCACTCACCGCTTGATTGGGCTCGTCTGAAAAGTTCTGGCAAGGATCTTAGGGTACGAAGATCATTTATCATTGAGCTAAGACATGTTACTCATTTGACATGTTTGCAGGGTGTAACGCAGCTTGGACGATATACATTAGAAGATATCAAGCAACACAAGACTGAAGATGATGCATGGACTGCAATCCAGGGCAAAGTGTACAATATAACTCCTTACCTTAAATTCCATCCAGGTGGTGTTAAGGATCTCATGCGTATTGCTGGTCGTGATGGCACAAAGCTCTTCAGTAAGTAAAGGCTCTTCCTCAATATTGATTTGTACTAACGCCATCTCGCAGTGCTTACACACGCTTGGGTCAATGCCGAGTTCATGTTGGATGCATGTCTTGTAGGATTCTTGGTTCCAGGTCGTTAAAAAAGAATACAATATTATCGTGTAGTATCTGTATTTCCACCACCTCCATAGAATAAACGAATCGAGATACTACATCTAAGAGATGTTCATGGGATAAATGTGTAATTGTTGGGAGGGGCCATGCATAAATGGATGGGATGCGTGAATTGCGCTTCTATTGGCGACTTGGCTTTCTTTTTCCTTCATATTTCCATCATGAATCTTATGCATACTTTCTGTACCGAAGTTCTTCGAGCACACAATAACCAAGACTCAGAATACATCCAACGTTTATTCGATCTGCAACAAGATGACCCTGATCACGTTCAATTGCGAAACACGCTCTCACAAGTACGTGGATCCGACAGCTGTATAATGCGATCAACCTCGTTCACCTACTCAACCTCCATCAACGTGAATAGATCCCAGGCTCCGATTGGGAAAGGGTAGTCAACCAATGTCTCAAAGATACGAGTAATGCCCTTGTGAATGCAGTTGTCTGCTATTTCAAGGCGGTTACGGCAGTCAATACGCCTGTTTCGCAACTTTATGATGCCGTTGAAGCGTTTTACAGGTGTGTGTATCCATGTCTCTTTAGCATATAGATCACCAACTAATATAGGAACATAGTGCACTGGTGCCGGTATTCAGCTCATCTGAAGGCGTCTATCTCATGGATTATATCAAATCTTTCTCCTCCCAGCTAGTTGCATTGGCATTTCTTGTGAGTCGTTGTTGTCATGGTAACAAGTTCTTTCGACGTGACTGACATGATTATCCCCATTTTAAAGGTTGATAAGGAACAAAGATTAAGGGGAAAATCAAGAAAATCAAATGGGGCTGCAAGACTCTTATCCAAGGTGTTCAATATCATGCTTGCGGATAGGTAGTGTATTGGTAGATGGTGGCTGGATCGAGTGAAAATGAAAAGCACTCATCCCATATCTTGGTCTTAGGGCGCCATTTTCAGAATCGAAGCGGCAAGGTATCATTCATATTACCAATCTTGCTTTCAAGATCTATACGAAGGTTTGTAACGATCATTTTTTGACCTAATGAACTCTAACATAATCAGCGAATAGCTTGACAATGTCCGATTGTGCCAAACCTTCATATCCAACTTGAGAACGGGTGGTGTGCACGTTACAGATTACTCGATGGCAGAGCAAGTGACATATCGGTATTATATGGGACGCTTCCAATTCTACCAGAATAACTTGAAAAAGGTTGGGGATCTATCCGAAGATAAAAGTTCTATGCGCTTACTGGCTATTTTAGGCAGACGAGCACTTTAGCTTTGCATTTCGACATTGTCCTAGCAAAATGTGGCACAACAAAAGGTAAGGGGATAAAGGAATATAATGCAAGAGATCTTTGTCTCATCAACCTACCTTAGATTGATTTTGGAATTCCTTATACCGACACGAATGATCTTGGGTCGCATGCCGTCCGATGAGCTGCTTCATGAATATCAACTTGCCGATCCATACATGGGTTTAAAATACGCACTTATCAAAGGCGATGTCTACAGCTATATGGGAATCCTGGATCAAAATGTTGAGTACTTCACGCGAACCTTTTCATATCTTGTACTGCGAGGACGTGGTTTGGTACTTGTATGGAGAAGTCTCTTGCGACGAGCGTAAGTATACATGAAAGAGGGCCATACATATCATTCACCTAATGAAATATTGTAATCAAGGTTTATCCTGACACGTTCATCATCCGATGATCTCAAAATGTCGTACAAGACATGCTATGATGCATTACGAATGTCAAGCAGAGATGCAAATATTGACCTATACGATGTCGAGTGCATGTTGGTGTCATTGATTAGTCAGGTAATCCTACTTGATACTTTGAATACAAGGATCTATTAACATTGATCGTTCTTTCAACTAGGGGTATATTCGAGGATATCTGCACCATCAGCAGCAGCGTTTAATATGCAGCAAGGCCAATCCGTTCCCCATGATATCCCAAGTACGCTTATACAAGGAACATTACAATGATGATCTCATGCAACACCATCTCCAAACGGATCAACCTGGAGTACCCCAAGAAATTCTCGATATTATTGAAGATGACAGCGGCTACAATGATGAACAAGAGGAAGAATATGGCATTGAACAAATGGATGACAGCATGATGTATTAAGCCAATCAATGTATTATACCCTGCATCTACACCAAATCTCATTGCGTACATAGTCGAACAATGCCAGCGATAAAGTAGAACCCCCCCTTCACATCGTATGTTTTCTCAAATGTCCCCTTACCTCGTATTGTTTACTACGTTAGAGGAGAGCATACGTAGAATAGTTCATAGCTCTGAGATTCTAAATATAAACAGTTTCTTCTCTTTGATCCCGCAGACTTTCATCTAACCCCATCGAAGCGCAGCTATGTAGTACACTGACCCAATCTATGTTTATGCACACTATCCCCGCATTTGAACTTGGGACATCATCCACTTTACGATCGCCAATGCTTTCAATCATGTTGTTGAAAATTCTTGTATTGAGTAGGATAGAAGAGAGAGAGAGAGAAAGAGAGAAAGAGAGAGAGAGAAGATAATAAGCTCAGTTTTTGCTTTGATCGAGATATTGTTGTGCAACTGTCAAAGATCGATAGCATTGTAAGTGGCAAGCAATTCTGATATCCCCTAATCCATTTACCATTATAATATGATCCAGCCATGCTTGTTGCAGGCTGAGGTGCCGATTGTTGTTGAGTGCCCTGGGGTTGTTGTGTTTGTTGCTGCATAAACAATTGTTGTTGTTGATCCGATTGCGTGCCTTGTTCTTCATCTTTTTCTTTTCCAGAAGAGGACGCTCGCTCCAGCTTGGTAGTCTAAATAGACATGTATACTCGCTTCAATACACTCATGTTTCCTAATCGTTTTCCATCCATATTGTACCTCTCGATATTTCTGAAGATAGATCTTGAGTGTCTCAGCATAGTTTTCGAATCCTAACGATTGCATAGCCCAAAGGATATCTTCACCATTGATAGTTTTTCTCTTTTCTTGTAAGCAACGATCGCTTGCCGTGAACGAGGGAAAAAAGATTAGGTTAAAGATTGATGATGAATCGAAATAAATGCAGTATCGTTGACATAAGATCAAAAGGATATTCGCTAGTGATAAAGGAGATAAACTCGGAAACGCATTCTTGAACGCATTCTTTGGCTTCCTTTGCTATTTTGGCGTTCTCAGGTAGAGATTTCTTCATAATGCGCGCGACACTACAAGGTGTGGATGTTATGGATACGGTTTGGCATTGCCAAAGAATGAAGTTACTTACTTTGCAATTGGCAAGTAGCGATCTTGCTCTTTGAGATCAAGTTCACCTTCGTCGCCTGACTGATTTGCTGAATTTGACATGATTCACTGTTGGAAGAAGACGGGTTGTCTTGCTTTCGCGTTCTAGTGCAACGCTTTATTGTCGGTTTCGGAAATTGTATCTGCGCACACACGAATTTCAATGTGACATTGCATCCATAGCAACATTGCAGAGTAGTCAACCACACTGCTTTAGTCCTCCATCAAACGTACCTATCTCTAAATACAATACAATGAGCTTGGGCTTTGTGTAGCATGGGCTTCTTCCTCCTTTCAATTCCCATTTTGGAGATGATGCCATAAAGAACCGGATTGCTTGTTGATGGAGTAACCACAATGATGATGGCGCCATGGACCAACAAGAAAGTGATGTGAATGATGATTGTGGTGAAGAAGTTGCTCAAGTACAAGGCGATGTGCAAGGATATCTGCTCAAGATGCAAAGCAAGTGGTTGATGATGTGAAGGGATATGGTGCGCTACACCAATACAAGAACAAGTCCTCTCGATGCTTTCTTTGTTTTGCGTGGTAAGCTTGGTCCAAGTATGCTATATTTGCCACGTATGGATACCACTCATACTGATGAAACACTTTCCAGGTTACTTGGAGCGTGTTGGCATAGCAACTGTTGTCGTCACCCTACGCTGATGGATCCAACAGTATTACGTTACGTTCACGATAGGAGGATCAAACAATGCAGCAGATACGGGGATCAACAATGAGAATGTAATAGCTTCGGTTGACCAGCTTGTTCAATTCCAAGAAGAAAAAGAACGACACCATGAGTACTTCATCCAACACTGCAAATACTATCATGTGCAATTCAATCGCAAACATCATCACCTATCGTACTATGAGCTCAACATCCTGCGATACAACAACTCGCTCACCATGACAACAACAACTCAAATCTCCCACCAATACCTCCTCGTATTCAACAACGGTTACCACTACCACCTATCATTGCAACTCCCAGCATGCGGCATGATACATCAAACGAGTCAACTTTAGCACCAATGCCAAATTACTAATATCATCATACCACAAACTTTACGTCACAACATTTTTAGAATTAGCATTCCCCAGCATACAATCATGACCAGTAGCACCCTTAATGGTATCCCTATTAAACGAGGATGGGAATTGATATCCGTGAATATTTCATAGAGAGAAGATATAAAATACGTTGAGAATCAATCACTCTTATTCAACTGCTGATATCAGCTACAACTACAGCATGTCTTATATATGTTTCTATGGTCTCGGTGATGTTGTTATATAAGGATGAGATTTAATGAGGATAACGGTGGATACACAATATGATAGATTGATTTGATGGGGTTCGTTGTGTGATTGAACTTTGGGTATATGCGTGTGAATGTTACTGTACTAATAGTGGCCTCTTGTGGAATAAGCTTGGTCGTTGTGATACCTTGTTTGTCATCTTGTTCATCATGATGATTATTGCATGTATTAGTACTTGAAGTTACGACAATGAGGATGCGATGGGAGCAGTGAACAGAGTTGATGGTGCTCGTTGTGGATAGAGCTTTGAGTATGTGCTAGAGTGGTGTCCTTATGTGGAATAGGCTTGGTCGACGTGGTAACTTGATACATTGCTTGTATAGGTACTTCAAACACGAGACAGCTCCAGGTGAATATGACAGGATCCATCGCTAGATTGAGATTGCTGCGGCAAAAGTAACGATCCCGGCGTCAAGACGATTCAGCGGAAGTCTACAAGGGATTTGCCTTTAGTTATGTACCAGTTGCTATGATACCAGTAATAGTAGTAATACTTGCACAATACAAACGACCGTTCCATCTTCCAACTTGGAAAGTTAAAGCACACTGGGTCATGGGTTGGATGGTCCTCCCATCCCGCTGGGCCAAACGGCGATGCAGCAACCCTAACAAAGCTACTTGTTTCCACCGTTGCTTGAGGAAGCCGATTGGGGAAGTCCTGAAATACCTCCCGGGCTTCACGATGTAAGCAAGAGCTCCAAATGTGTAAAACTTCCAACGTTGATAAGCAGCTGCGGCTTCCCTCTAAACACTTTTAAACGATTCGGCCGACCAGTGACGTGGCGCTCTTTGTAATTCCGCTCGGACGTGCTGAAGGAGTATTTGAAAGTCCAAGATCACCTGACTTGACGGTTTGAGCTGAAGGACGATTCCTCTAAAATAGATGCCCTGATTTCCCACACACACACGCACACAACCCTTCTCTTTTACACAAAGCTTCATATTCAAAGAAACACACACACTTCACACTCAAAGTGAGTATTCAATAGCAACCCTATATTCTTAGCACACGTATACTTATCACAATGACACGAATAAAGCCGTCACTTTTGAAGTATTAAAGAAGCAGAGTATCTCAGTGCATCTCGTATCTCATTTGGCTTCAACCCTCATTGAGTATCACTTACTCTCATACGTCTCCTATTACACCACCATACACGACACCTCACCCATCCATCAGTTTTGATCTGATTATTCAACGTGTGCATTCATATGGTCAAAGTTGGAATGGAAATCCAAAGATCTTACAAGACTACCTGTATCTGTATTGAAGGCTGTGGAAATTGGATTGGCTCCCACCAACTTTTGTATTTTCAAATACAAATCACTGTAGAAGAAAAACAAACCCCGTTGAGGTAGTCCTTGAAGGTCACTTGCTTTCAACACGATAATGGCATTCCGTTTTGCATCGATTGCGCGTCGCTCTTTTACTCGTAACTACTCTTCAGCAACTAGCAAACAGGCTGGAAAAGCTTTTCCTGAAGAAAGTATGATTGTCATATACGATTCCATTGTACGCATTCTCGCCCTGACGCATATTCCTGTTATCAGACTTTGATAGCAAAATTTGGCGCAATACTGCTCTTGCTGTCATTGCAGGTGTTGCTTGGTATCGAATTGATCAACATATCACTGAGCTTGGGGAGGTAACTTACAATGAATGGCAAAGTCAAGCCAAACATTGACATGGTGTCCTTTATTAGGAGAAGCACCCTTTCACCAAATGGATTGAATATCACATGAGCACGAGTGCCGAGAAGGACCAGCAAACTACTGAAGCATTGGAGCAGGCATCTCGACTTGCAGAGTACAAGTAGGTATTGTCTCATGTATTTAAATATCCGTATACTCATGTTGGCTCAATATAGGCTTATTTCCCAAGATGCTCAACGTGCTCCTATTTACCGGATGCGATATCCAGAGTGAGTCTTTATTATTTTATGTCTTGTATACCAGAGAGAAAATGTATCTAATCCAATCCCATTTGCAAGGTCTTTTGAACGTGCAAGCCCTCGCGGATTGATCACTGGGCAACAGGCGGACCTCTCTAATATCACTGTTCGCAGAGATTAAGCTAGTTTAGATAGGTTGATCTCTATGGATACTAATACACATACTCCATGTTGTCATCGTTGTTTTCTTTAACAAGATTGAAGGGTAACTCTTAATAATGATTGCCAAACGCAAAGACATTTGCTGGATGATAATTGCCTTTCTCGGCTAAAGATAAAGTTGTCATCAAGAATCTCTCGGCAGTAGTCATCTTTGCTTTTATTGCCTTTTACTTATGGTGCGTTGGACTATCACTGGTCTACAACAAGGCGTTGTTCATGCCATTCAAGGCATTAAGCTGGTTGCTAGGAATCCCAACATTCGTCGCCACAAGTTCTTGAGGATCATTCTATACCTGTCACTCATCTCCTTTGTTCTTCTCATCGTCTCGCGATTGGTGATCACCCTTCCGATCTATTTACTGCAACTACTCTTGAGCATTGTGCGTTCCAACGACTCCCTTGCGACTGAAAAGTTCCTAGGTCAGGTTGAAAGCAAGCTGCAAGATGTCATTACTGCACTTCCGTTCCTGGCACTCTTATTCATGCGTTACGCTTATCCAAAACCACTCGACGAATTATTTATGGAATCCTTGCGATACATCGACTCACTTCATCCCGATCGTCCACCGTATGCATCAGCACTCGCTAAGCGTAAATACCGAGAGGAATACTGGGCCAACATGAAGGGATACTTTAAGCGCATGGGCAAGAACGTGAAACTCGGGCTTGCAATTTATCTTTTATCGTTGCTACCAATTGTAGGTCCGTATGTTTTTCCTGCTGCAGGTAAGTCAACGTTATATAGCTACGAACATGTATCTATATATACTGATACCATCATCCATTCAGGTGCATACACGACTTTTCGGTCATTGGGTCAGACACAGGGAGCTGTAGTTGGTGTCTGTTTTTTGTTCATGCCACGCTGGGCGACGATATCACTGATCCGAGCATTGATTGGTATGCGAGCATTAATGCGTGAGCTCTTGGAGCCATACTTTGCCCGGATGTCTATGAGTCACAAGGAAAAGCGCCGATGGTTCAGTGGAAGAAAAGATGTCCTATTTGGGTTTTCCGCTATTGCTTACATTCTAACTCGCATCCCTATCTTTGGTTTGGTGGGCTTTGGCATCGCTCAGGCGGCTTCCGCTTACATGTTAACCATTGTCACTGAACCTCCCACACCTCCTAATGAATCGTCAAGCCCTCAAGCAATCACAAAAACTCCCGTGGACATCCCTCACCACCCAACACACAATGATTCTTTGAAATCTCGATCACGTAGTTCTTTGTCACAATAAATAGACTTGTATTTCCTGTAAGCTGTCTTCATAATAACGGCGTACATGGACACTCACCGACGTGGCTGTTGATCGTTCTTGTTATTGTGTTCGCTTCAAGCAGCAGATCTCTTCCTTCTTTGTTCATTTCGACATTAATACAGATGCGCGTATGCAAAATGGAAATTGCCCAAAACCATTCTTTGACTAACCCAATCAAGGTTTTATTTCTGACATCAATGCAGATAATATGGATAAAGCATTTTCAGGTCTAATAGAGGAAAGCTGGTGGTTCATATGCTTACTTTTAGAGCTATCCATGACCTTCCAATTGGGAGATGCTTGCTGCTTAAGCCAGTTAAAGTCATCCACGTTATCAAAGTAATTCCTTGTCTAATGTTCAACAAGATATTTAGATACGTGATCCGCAAGGTGTATGTCCATTTTATTTACCTCGACAGATATGGCTGAGTATTCGGTGACGCGTATGTTGGAAGAGTCCTCGATAATGGGGCGGCTGCTTACATTGTATATAACATCGACACCTTGTGCATTGTGCATACGAAACTACATATGATTTCAAGTGAATCCATGAACAAAGCACATAGGTGGGATAAAAAATTACCTGATGGCATCCTACTGCGACTATAGACAATGACATCCCGTAAATCAACACAGAGCCCTGAATCATCCCACATACAATGATACACTCCTTAAGATCTTCGACATGCAACGATGAAATATTGAGATTATCAAGCAGCACGACGCATCTCCTCAATTTAGACAATAGAACGTTGACTGCTGTCGTTGTTGAATTTTCCACTTGAATCACTGTGTCCACCTTATCCTTGAAGGAAAGTACATTGTCCTTTCGAGTAGAGGGTGCATTGGTATCAAGAATAGTCGTTGTTGGTTTGCTGTTGTGCTGTACACCAGGATTGTTGGATGGCTCTTTCTTTGCTTTGCGTGATTTGAATGAAAACTTTGCTTTGGGTGTCAGGTTGGCCTTTGCAGACTCGAGACTTGCACTTAGAGCTTTGAGTTGCTACTTGAATTCATAAAAGATTAATAGGTTGGCTCTGCATAAAATTGCGTATCCTAACGAACCTCCAAATACTGACGCTCATCGTAAGACGGGACGAAATCAAGGGCTTGCGTAAGCGTCTTTTCTAACTGGTTGATCTGCTTCAAGATGCTATCGAAACATCCTGGAAGGTCGTTCTTTGGTTTGGCTCCTAGCTGCTGGATCTGATCCTCAATGGCTACAACTGCGTATCAATGCCAATCCAACTCGTTGAATCCCATCCCTCTTCATTTCTTTACATTGCCGCTCAGCCTTGAAATCTTGCCAAAAGTTATTCGAAGCTTCGGTTGCTGTTTGACTCATGCTGCTACAACAAGAGATGCACCCTCCATCGCGTCAAGGACCGCCGGGATTAAGGAAATAGATAATATCACGTGATCCAGATCAGCTGGTTGCCATGGCACCCTGGTGCCACGCGACCCACAATATTGCGAGCATCGCATGACAATGTTCTTTAATGAAGGCACCCCTACCAATTTGTTGATTTATTCTTTTCAAATGCTTCCTTCAATATCGTTTGGCCACAAAATAGATTAAAAGAGAATCTTTTATTATAGCTGATGATAAACCGGAAGAATCAATCTCGTCTGGCATTGGTTCTTGTATTCTGTACTGATAGAGAGAGCAGGGACCATCAGCATTAAAGGCATAAATCCGACATAATGACACCGTATTCATGTATCTTACCAAGTAGCGAATGAACAAAGGCGAATTGTGCTCGCATTAGGAATTGTTTTCTATTTACGTGTGAGCAGCTTTCAAGCTATCCAAGTGTTGTTGCGCTTACCATTCATCGCATACAGCAAAGTCCTTTTCATTATCACCACAGCACTCCTTGTATTTATTCTTTTTGTCTTTATCGAGATCGCATTTGCCATGTTCGATTATGAACGTTCCACCGACGCCATTTTCACCGTTGCAGCATTCGATAGAATCCTTTTCTCGTTCAGGACATTGGCACTGTAGAGCTGACACCATAGAAAGAGCACCAAAAACTAACATGGTCGTAAGGTGAATCGTGAGCATCATGATGATAAGCACTTTTGAAAGAAAAAGAATAACAAAGAAGCAATACGGTACAGGAGATCTCGGCCAGGAACCTTTATAAACTCAAACCAGGTTACTCCTACTTGTGCCAGTAATAAGGAGTCATCGATAATCGTCGTATTTGCCTACTTGCAACATTAAAACGTCAAGCATATGTCCTCGAGAAGAGCACAAAGTAGTATCCGTCATATGCAAACCCCTAAAGACCAAACCGTGCGGTTAGCAGCAACAAATAGGGAGCATGTAGATTTGAATCTTTATACGCTCCTGTTTCTTTGTTGTAACTACTCCGTCATCCCCTAATCCACAACGGCTGGCTCCTTTGCTGGGGAGGAGAAGCTAATAATGGAGTCATGTATTCTTATTTCAACAAAAGTGTGGCACAATGACATGAATATCATGGTAAATAAATGGTTTTTATATGTGTCATGTAGTTGTGGTGATAGTAATGTGCTTAGATGAGTAAAGAATATTCTCGCTCCACCTGGCGAACGAATTCATGCATAAATTTTGTACGTTGCTCAGCCATTTTTTGTGCCATTGGGGTGCGCATCATCTTAGATAGGTGGAATAGTTTCTCTATTGAAAGTTGAAAAGGAAAAGGTATTGATTTCATTGCTCCCATCATCATCCCTCATACATAGCGTGGTATCTACTTACCATGGAAATGATCGATGGCACTCGATGTGTCTTGCTGGTTGTTGTTATCTTCGGGTTGATGTAACACAATTCCTTTTGCTCCACTGAACGCTGCACATCTCAAGATGCCTATAGAATTGCTAATGAATAAAAGGAGGACATTGCATTAATGATATAGATCCACTTGCCAAATGCCCCGATTGCATCTAATTTGTCGGCGTCCATCACACTGTTATAGAATGGGTGAGCTGCAAGTTCGGTACTGTATGATGCATGTGTGTGATGCTTACGCATGAAGCTCCAGGCATGTGTCACGCCATGCAGCAAGTGTGTCCTCCTTCTTCCATCTCAATTCTTTACGATATCCAACGTGGTCCACAATCTGCGCCACCAATCCTGCCTTGTCATAGCCATGACGCGTGAGGAACATGAGTACGCCTTCATGGTCATCGACTTTATACTTGGCATCCCCAATATCGTGACAAAGAGCTGCAAGTTCAATCATTGTCAAGTCCACCTTGTTTCTCAAGGATTCCTGCCGCCCAAGCTGCAGAGCTAACACATGCCAACGACAATAACCCACCTGTGAATATCAAGTCTTCCCTTTACATATAGTGAGTTTGCTTAACGTACCCATGCGCACCACGCGGTCAACATGCTCCATGTCATGAGAAGGATCAAGGCGTGCCATGTACTCACGCACCATATTTCTTGTACTCGTGATTATGCTTGATGCCATGAGTGAACTGTCGGTGAAAGGCTCCAAGGTTGGCACATTCTGGGATACGCAGCATTTGGTGAAACGGGATTTGGAACACGTGACACACCCGATCATGATCCCTCATTTGAGAAAAAAAAGTTGCCATAGAATGTAGTTCATTTTGAAGTTGTATTGTTTACAAAAAGTCTAAGCCTAAACCAAATTGAAGACCACGCTTTACAAAATCGTTCCTGCTTGCAGTCAAAGGAATGCAGTAATTAAGCTCCAAACGAGCAATACTATGACGATAAATGAAACCCAAGCCTACAGCAGTACTAGGTGCCTTAATCAACGATCGAGCATTATCCTTGACATTTGTACCTAGAACCACTTTTTCGTTAATACCCTTATCTCATATAAACATTCTTTCTTATTACCCATATTCCATGGCACAAGTGTACCAGCATTAATGAAAGCATGTAGTCGTAAAGGCTTGCTCTCCCATCGTGGTACTGGTGCAATGGCACTAAGACCAACCGCCCAAAAAGCATCACCACCCAAGGCATCACCTATTTTTGTTTCACTCGCGTTACTTCATCATGCCAAATCCTTCTTTTTCCAATACCATAAACACTTACGATAATCTCGAGGTCCAATACCAGATGTCTTGAAACCACGAACGGATGACGGACCACCAAGCATGAACTTGTCTGATACTGTCACAGCATTTTCTCCATAGGTAGCCATCCATCCAGCACGCAATCCTAAGCTGAATACCAATCCAGGATGCCAGCCTAGCAGCTCGCCTGTTTCCTTATCCTTGAGAAGTTGGCCGCCACCAACCTGATGACAATATTGTGCTTGAAGATCGGTCTTGAAAAACTTTGCGTTGCCAATGCCGAGTACTCCTGCTAGTTCTTGCGAACATCTTACATAGTAACCATTGGAGGGCAATAAAAAGTCATCACGGCGATCCTGGATAAACACGTGATTCAGTGATGATTTGAGAGAGTGGCCAGCTTGGTTACGAATGCTGAGAGACGCTGTATCTGCGATACGATCTATGGACCTCCAGGTAGTATCATAACTCAATTCATGGTATCCAAAACGTGTGGCAAGCTGTAAAAGAGGGGTTGTCAGCATAAAACGTCCAAACCTTATAAAAGCCATCAATGGTCCCACATGCCTTATATCGTAAGCCAACACCTCGTGCTAGTTCCTCGTAAGAGCTCGTAAGCTGGTTGTTTTGGAGAACACTGTGTGCATTGATATCCACTTGTGCGTCAGGTGAACCATTCACAGGTTTTGAAAGAACAAACTAAATCATAACATCAAATGAGCCTTCAATGCACACGTATCGAGTTTTTCATATAGATCACCATACCTGGAATGCCGAGCTATTGCGAGTACCAAATGATGCGGAGGATTCAAGCATTTCTGCACCACCGAAGATGTTGCGCAACGTTAAAGAGCCACTCTAAGAAATGAGTCTTAGCGATGATGATAATGGTGGATGTTTGATATTGAGATAATTTTACCATGCTGCCTTCATTGTTTCCAATTTCTGTGCCTGTTTTGATGAATAGCCGGCTTCGTTCTTTGAGACGATATATCACGTTGATGGATCCTGGTGCTGCTAATGGATCACTGTCCGATGCTCTATCCAGTAGTAGTTGTACATCATCAAAGATTTGGAAGCGTTGTAGTTGGTGTGCTGTTTCTTGTGATCGATTGATGACATCTGCCACTGTTTTTCCTTCTAGAACAGGCTCAACGATCTTCTCCAAAAAGCTGCGACGAGTCGTCTTGGCACCAAGAAATGTCACCGCATTGATATGGACACCGGAAGCAGCAGTTGCTTGCAACTAGAGCCGAAACAAGCCAACTAAAAGTTAACTGACCACACACATACACACACGCACACACGCAAGTTCAACGCGTTGCAGTAAGTACCAGATCAAACAATGCGCGTGCTGCTGCCGATTCTTGTCTTGTTGGTTCCGAATTCTAGGAGAAAGTAGGTTCGTAATCGAGGAGAGTCAAACTACCATGAAGCACACGTACATTGGGTTCCATTGTCAAGACGCTTGTTGTGCACTTTAGTCCCAGAAAGAAATGGATTTGGACTTACTTCAACCCAAGAAAATGACTGAACCCCGACGGGATACGATTTATCCATTTCTTCAAAGCAAGGGATAATCAACATGTTTTCCAATGCACTGCATTCAAGAGCCTTTTTGATGATACTCGTAGATGATAACCCCACTTGTTTTATTGATACCATTTTACATGTAGCTGGCAATATGACATCTTTTCGTTATTGGACATTGATATAAACAAGGATGACGACATGTGTTGTGTGCCAAAGTTTGTCTGATGTTCTCATCTTGCATGAATTCCCATGTTGTCATGGACAATGTGTTCTTCTATTACCAACGAGAGACGTCCCTTAGAGAATTAAATGGATGTTTGTGGACACCGGCATGGTCGTACGGCGTTTAAAGCAGGGAATCAATCGGTTCTTGGGGCTTTATAGCTCTCCTTGCTCACTGCCATGTATCAGCATGAATACCAACAATGATCTTTTACGTTCACGTTACCTCGGCTTCTGGCTAACGGTCTCCCAACGTAAACTGCAAGCCGGTATCACCTTTCCACATTCGACTGAACCTCTAAAAGGTCAACTGATCGCGATCGACAGCCAAAGCAACCGAATTAGAGTAGACAATCTGAACACGCCCACTGGCAATCTTCCCCATACTGCCTTAAGGATTACTGACATTGACACTATTGAATTCCCTATGTTGTCTTCCACCTGAAATATATACCTATTTGGATATGTGTTTTGTTGATTATCTTGGATACGCGGTTGCCATGTACTAGTGAACCAGGTTGATAGCCCGAAAGTGATAAGAACATTCTCCAAAGTCGATGGGTGATAAAGAGTGATTCTTCAAGCAGGGAAATGGTAGCAATGTTGAAAGCTACGTTGAATGGGGATGTGAGTGGTTGTGTTTGTTCCAATGATGGATGAAACTTGAAGCTGAGCAGGTTACGCGTGATAGTAGGGCCGCAGTAGATTACAGTGATACCATAATATCGTTCTTAGGCTCTTGACGTATGACTATGATTCGGTTGTGACACGTCAAAGTATCCATTTGCATGTATAGCCATGACACACAATCGATAAGCTACACAAAGAGTGGTGGTTGTGGTGGTGGGTTGGGTGTAGTATGTGAAGATAGCCGTGTAGAATGCATGAAAGCTTCAGGATCACGTAGTCAATTGTAATGGAATATATCGACAAATGATACAGTGTTATTTGGACAAGCGTAATAATCAGGTCCTTACAAAGGTATAAGCTATAATACAGCACTATTGTTGAACACAAAGGTCACTAAAAATACTAATAATATAATAAAAGGAGAGACGATGGCTAATGAGCGTGGGCATAGTTGTCTATGTATATCCCTAGTTGGCATGCTCAATGTGAGTCTTCTCATGCTTCATTTCATCAGAGAATGAGTTGCCTTCGGTCGAACCAGTCGACTCGTGGTTTTCAACGTCGCCGCCGGAAGCCTTCTTTTCATCAAGATCTCTACCGGTTGTTTCGGGCATGAAGATCAAGAAGAAGACAAAGAGGATAAAGTTGACAACAGCAAATACGATAAAGCTGTAGTTGCCGAGATTTGCTTGTTGTTGTGGCCAAAGAGTGTTGATGAGGAAGTTGAAGAACCAGTTGGAAGCACCACCCAATGCGGAACCAGGAGGAAGCGCCTTAAGGGGCATAAGTTCTGGAGCAATGATCCATGGGATAGTACCACAGCCCATAGCATACACAAAGGTATATGCAACAGCACCAGTGATGACAAGAGGTCCGAGATCATCTCGAGTCTCGCCGAGGACAGCACCAATGACGATGAACATACAGAAAATAGACATGCCCAAAGAAGAAATCAACATGTAACCTTTACGGCCGACCTTGTTCAGAGTGAAAATGGTAATAAACGTAGCGACAATCTTGCCGGTGGCATTAACAAGTGAAATGTCTTGAGCAAGCTGGTTGTCACCATCAAGCACAGTGGTAAGGAAACTGGCAGCATAGACTAGTGAAATCACCATGATCAGCTTACACAGCATATATAAACCCCATGATGATAATAACACGTACCTGACAAGGGTCCAATACCACCGACTTGGTTGGAAGCTTGAATCATGATAACAAGGAAAGCATTCCAGCTGACTTGCTTATCCTTACACATAATGACTTCAAGCATGGTCATCTTTCGGACACCCGATTCAATTTCACGTTGGCGTGCGTCGACCAAATCTTGGAACTCTTCACTAATATCAGCACCCTTGCGGAATCGTTGCAAGGCCTCTTTGGCTTCGTCGTACTTTCCATCAGCGCACAAGCGTCGAGGAGACTCAGCACAAAGGAAGATCAAGATCACCATCTGAATAGCAGCAATGACAGTGGGAATAGCCCATCCAAGACGCCATACAGGAGCAAATTGCATATATCGACCAGCGACAAAAGATAAAAGAATACCCATATTGAGCAGGAATTCAAACACACTACCAAGTGCACCACGGCATCGCTTGGTCGAAATTTCGGAGATGTAAATGGCAACAGAAGAACCAGCTCCACCAGAAGCAAGACCAACAAAAGCACGTCCAACTGCGTACTACATTGAATCATGAGGCTGTGAGCTAAGCAAGTCAAACAACATTCACTTGAAAAGTAGTAGTACCATGACAACATGTGCTGATGCGGCGGAGAGGACACCACCAACGATATACAAGGCGCAAGAAATGATGATGTTTTGGCGACGAGTGAACCATACGTTAAGGTAGGTAGTTGCTAAAGCACCTGCGAGACCACCAAGGGCAAAAGCACCAACCGTGTAGCCCTACATTTTGCTGTTAGTTGTTGACGCTCATTATAGAATCCTTGTATGCTAGTATAATGATTTACCCTGTAAAATATAAAGTCTGATTAGCCTCTTCATGTCAATCCGGCAAAGACAAAGTCAAAGCTTACCAAGTAAAGCTGCTCATAGGCAAACACGAAGGAAGACCAGCGATAGTATACTCTCCCTCAGGACATTCGGTAATGACTTTGGAAGGCATGTTGGGAACACCTATAGGTCATCATGATAATGGTAAAGATCATTGATCAGGAACGATGGCTGAATTGAGGATTGCATCAATGCTGCTGCTGCTGTAACATACCAATATGCCATCCGACATTGAAACCCGAAATGGCTGCTATGAAAGCACAAAAGCATACATAGAGTGGAAAGCCGAGATCCGCAGATTTTGTCGCCATTGGTATACAAGTAAGGTGTTGAATATAGTTATTGTGAGGCGAACAATGAATCCGAGTATCCAGGTTGAAAAAAAGTCTTTTCTTTTATACACTTTGAAACCTTCGTACACCGCGCCTTGCATCACTGCACTCCGATTTCTAGTGTGACATGTGATCCATTGCTTCACCAAGTGTAGCTTTGCTACAAGAATTATTGGAACGTATCTTGATCTATTACAATCACCTATTTGAAGCCATGAACTCCGAAATTTTTCCACATAATCGTGGATTTCTAGCGTCAGCGCCGAATAAAAGGCAGCTATCAGTGCTATCAACTTGCTATTGAGCCGTGATTCGTAGTTGGTATTCATTTGTTTCATTGGTGTCAAAGAGAAATTGCTTGTTGAATGTCGTGTGAAATATACCAATATCTTTCAAGATAAGTGTTGTGTCACGCCAATCCACAAGATATGATGTATGTGTCACGCCAATCCAGATATATTGCGGGGTGGGAAAGGTTTGATGATACAACTACTACAGATAATAGATAAGGAAGGCTGCCGATAATAACACAATAACAGCTTAAGGGGGATGGCCAATAACATGCAAAGAGCCAGCATCACGGACACCCCGTGAGAAAGCTTCCCCGCATGTATGCAATGTAAGTCAAGAAACGGTGGTTACTAAACACAAGCCTTAGGTGTCATTGGCTGGAAGGGCATTTTCTTGACGTTCGACTTGTCTACATTGATCACACACGCGTATAGTGTAGTATATCGAGGTGACGGGAAATATAATCTACTGAATGCGGAAATGGTGACTGGATAACTAGCATCGCAAGAATGCACCGGACCTGGCCTTTCGACATATCCCACCACCCCAACCTTCCAAATATGCGTGTTACAGCGCATTGAATTGTTGAGCTATCTGAAAAAGACATCATTCTTTACGAAGATAACGATTATACTCCTACACTTTTACTCGAAATGCACCCCGATGAAGAATTTTTCGTTATCCATGAACGCATGAAGTTCACCACCCATAAGCCGTTGCCATGTCGCTTTGCTGACGCTGGCATACCGCCTTCTTCTATCGTCCTTGTTACCGTTCTCGCCATCATTACCGCCACAGCTGCCAATAATAATACATGCTGTGCTCTTTTTTTATGATTTGTTTTGCTCTGAAAGAAGCTCTCTTTACTTTACACTAATCGACAACATGACATCTTTGACATACACCTCACGCACGCACTGTCAACGGTTTTCGATATTCACTAGTAATAGTAGTATATTTATGCTACTGTCACCCGTATTTGGTAGGCTTGTAACAATAATCCACATGTGGCTGGCATAGATGTATGTGTGGGGTACCCATACATCATGTTTGGTGTTTCTTGAGTTTCTTTTTTACGTTTTCGCCTCCTTCTTATCCTTCTATGACTTTACTTCCTGATACAGGCTAATTTGCCAATAGATTGTTGCATATACTCACAAAGCCTATATCACAAGAATTATATCACCATAACCTTACCTATCAAAATCAATCGCCCTATATCATAGATATCTCTGCGACGGAAAAGCTCGTCCTGAATATAAAAGTTTAATATATTTGGTCAGTGCGTGGGGCATGGTAACACTGATGTTGAATGTCAACCATGGATTACTCAACTTTAATTTGGTTCCATTCCCAAGGCACACGCTTAGTAAAGAAAAGGAAAGTAGTTGTAGTAATGACATTCAGGTTGGGTTGGGGGATAGCACGTATACCAAGGCAACGTTCCCCGTTGTTGGAATTGAGGTCAGCAGTAGCTTTCGCATCACCACAAACCTCTCTATTTTCCGAATAGTACATCAAGGCTTTCTCACTGTGATTCGGTGTTGAGAAAGCCTGTTACGATCCTTTGAAATGTTTGAGTGTCCATGCGAACGCCAAAATACTTACACTCACACGTGCAGGATGCATGCTCTTTGTCGGAAAGGATGAGAAACCTGCCGTCGGTAAGACGGTAAAAATGTGTTGCGGAAACCCAAACATGGAAAGTATGAGCTCTCCGATGCAAATTATTACGCTGTGCTGATCATTGGAAAATACTCGTCATTGTTTCCACGATACCAGTTTTTATGTATATTTCCTACGCTACAAGAGTGTGGGGAAATCACTATGATTTGTATATGCTATAGCTTAGCCCACCCATATATTTCTGAGCCGATCAACCGAAAGACCATTCCAAGAGAGCTGCTGGGATGATATGACCTTCTCAGACGTCTATTCGTAACACCAAGCATTACATGTGAAACAAGATGATCATAAATGGTAATATGGACAGTAAATCAAGAATCAAAATGACGCATAAGCAGATTGATAAATAGGACAATAGTACAATACTCCTGCATTGTCATGTCATTTCTTATTTTCAACAAATATAGATAACATTGTAGTGTAGGCTCCCACAACAAGGTTGAAATTGACTATGTATGTAATCACAGAGATAGCGATACTACCTGAAGAGATGTGTGACAATACTATGGATCGTACCCCCTTTGCTTCGTTATTTTGGATCTTCTCAATGCTTGATATGGCATGTTTGAGTTCACATCAACGTGAGGGAATTTCAGGTTGGCGGCACTGCATTCCACTTTATGGAGCCCCGTCACGTGAGCGGCATGTTGTTTATGATGTACCTGACGCTGTTCTGACAAGGATGGCCACGCAAAGGCTTTGCCGTCATCCTCACCCCTACGGTGCACCACGCCGGATAATGGGGGATGCCATTGCGTCTTCTATGGCATCGTCTAATAAAGGTGCTGCTCGAGCCAACATGTTCGGTCTGATAAAAGGACAAAATAGCCAACCCACGCCCACAGAGGCCAACCCATAAGAGCAAAAAGCAATACATGATCCCATATCTACCACAAGGACGCCGAGTGACAGGCTGACTTCCAACGGCTAAGGCAGTAATCATCAAATGCAATTGATAGGGCCATGATAGGGCTGACCACACTGTCGCATATGAATCATAGCTGCCAACGATGCCTTACACAAAAGAGCAAAGTACCATCAATCCCACCGATAAAAGATACTCCTTTGAAGCTCCACCAATAAAAGAGATAGTTAATTTTCTAGCCCACTGGAGTAGTACTTGACAACCACAGCCATAAGATGATAGAAGTTGTTGCAGATTCACACAAAAGGAATTTTTAATACTTGGTAACGAGAACTATCGAACGATGTAATAAGACCTGCTGATACCGAAAGATGCCAAAGACGATGCTGCTTGATCCTAACATGGTTCACCTATAATAGATGCACCGTAAACAATTCTCCAAACATGTAGAAACAATACTTAGCAGTGATAGCTGTAATCCTGGGAACTTCAATGCAAGATGATCCATCTAGAAAGACACATGTCAGCAAGAATACTTCCGTCTCAAAGACATTGGAATGATACGTATTTGACTCTCTCAATCAGGGTGCAACCAGCAATAATAGCAATAAATAAAGCCACAATGCCAAAGAAGTCCAAGTTACATGTGCTGTCTACTAGCCCCTTCCCGGAGGAAGCATGGCGCCAAAACACCAGATTTAACAGTGACCCATATGTCATGAGCCCCTCACCAGCCGACTTTGACACCACCTGAGCCGTGGATCCGCATGTTGCAACTGCGAACAGAGGATGCGTATTTAAATTGGTCTTGCCATAGCACCGTGAGCACATGTTTCCACAAGAGGTGGTAAGGGCAGCATGGTTTCCCCAAGACAGCACACAGTACAATAACATCCTTGACGTGCCAAGTGATATAGCCGAGGAAAAGCCTTCTTGATCCTGTCGTTGCACATCTTCCATCGTAAGTTCCCTTGCATGCGCCACATCCCATAATGGATACTCTTACCTTGTGAATGCCTCACAGTAACATCCTTCCTTCAAATAAGAACCGTATCTCCATGCCATCCATATCTCCATGCCAACCATATCATGATGCCGATGCTAACCCATTGTAAAGCTCGTTAATTCAGAGCACTTGTATTGTAGATCCAATGCTATACATACCAATAATGAATCTTCCCGCCAGCAATAATAGCAATAATAAAAGCGCACTGCCAAGGAATGTAGTATCCGTACTGCCTTCTAGCCTCCCGTAGGAACGTGGCGTCAAAACACCGGTTTTAACGGTGACATGAAGTCCCTCCCCAGCCGACTTTAACACCACTAGCCGTGGGTCCAGCCATGTTGCCAAGAAAGACACCCATCGTCTTCCAAGTCGAGTAAAGTATAGCAGTGCAATGATGGGAAGCATATACTTGGTAGTCCAGCGTACGAACAGAGGATGCATTTTTAAACCGAAGTCGCACCGTGAGTCGCACTGATTTCCGCTAACACAATCATGGCCTTCCCCCCTAGACAGTACACTCCATCCCTTGACTTGCAGCCGTGATAATAGCCTTCTTGATCCTGTCGTTGCACATCTTCCATCGTAAGTGCATTTGCATGCGACACATCACACAATGAACACTCTTACCTTGTGGTGCTTCTGAATAGCATTCTTCCTCCAAATAAGAGCCGTATCTCCATGCCAACCATATCTCCATGCCATCCATATCATGCCGCTGCTATTCCATTGTAAAGCTCGTTAATTGATAGCACTTGTATTGTAGATCCAATGCTGTACATACCAATGAATTTTGCCTCCAGCAATAATTGCAATAAATAAAGCCACAATGCAAAGAATGCCAAGGTACCTGTACTGCCTACTAGCCCCTTCCCGAAGGAAGCATGATGCCAAAACACCGGATTTAACGGTGACCTGAGCCCCTCACCAGCCGACTTTGACACCACCTGAGCCGTGGATCCGCATGTTGCAACTGCGAACAGAGGATGCGTATTTAAATTGGTCTTGCCATAGCACCGTGAGCACATGTTTCCACAAGAGGTGGTAAGGGCAGCATGGTTTCCCCAAGACAGCACACAGTACAATAACATCCTTGACGTGCCAGTGACATAGCCGAAGAAAAGCCTTCTTGATCCTGTCGTTGCACATCTTCCATCGTAAGTGCACTTGCATGCGCCACACCCCATAATGGATACTCTTACCTTGTGATGCCTCACAATAACATCCTTCCTTCAAATAAGAACCGTATCTCCATGCCATCCATATCTCCATGCCAACCATATCATGATGCCGCTGCTATTCCATTGTAAAAGCTCGTTAATCCAGAGCACTTGTATTGTAGATCCAATGCTATACATACCAATGAATCTTGCCGCCGGCAATAATAGCAATAATAAAAGCGCACTGCCAAGGAATGTAGTATCCGTACTGCCTTCTAGCCTCCCGTAGGAACGTGGCGTCAAAACACCGGTTTTAACGGTGACATGAAGCCCCTCCCCAGCCGACTTTGACAACCACTAGCCGTGGGTCCAGCCATGTTGCCAAGAAGACAACCCATCGTCTTCAAGTCGAGTAAAGTATAGCCGTGCAATGATGGGAAGCATATACTTTGTTCTCCACGAAAGGTCAGAGGGTGCATTTTTAAACCGAAGTCGCACCGTGAGCCCAACGTAATATCCGCGTACCACAACATGGCCTTCCCCCTTAAGACAGTACACTCCATCCCTTGACGTGCACCCGTGATAATAGTAATATCGCCGAAAGAGAGCCTATTGCTTTCATCAGTGCACTTGAAGGTGACAAATCCAAAAATGACCACTTTACCTTGAGGTGTTCCCAATACCATTCCATCGTTGCTTGCAAATAACCTTGTATCCATCCGATCCAGTATGTGCTGCTGCTGTTTCGTTGTAAGGCTCATTAATTAAGTGGTCCTACATTGTAGATCCAACACCATACATACCATTGAACCAACGTACAGCGTTCTTGCTTTGAGATCAATATCTTGTTACTGTCCACAGGTACCATCATCCAACAAATCGATCTACCATGAACACAATGTGAGATACCAAGGAAAACAACGCATTTTCTTGCCAACATACCCAAAGAGGCAGTGTAAAGAAGTGTTGTTGTGGACAACTTGGGAATGAATACACGCGACGCCTCCATTAGATCTTGTAAACGAGAGAACAGCAATCTACACACGAGCTTCAGCACCACAATGTCAAACTTGAATTGTAAAAGAGCTGCAGCGATTGCCGTACCTGTTGTACGGGATTGGAAGTTTGAAACATGGGTAGATTGCGCGCGTGCTTGTTGTAGTTGAAAGGGACGCCATTGACCACCGGTTCACCCATCTACGTCTTGCATTCAAGAGCATGACAGGAGTTAATGCGCTGTAGTTCGTTAATGGAGTGTGTCTCACCTTGCTTTTGTAAATGGGAGTGGAGAAAGGTGGGATGGACTCTTTTTGGTTCCTCTCATCGTCCTTGATACAGCCACCCAGCTACCCACGGTTCCTCTTGTGAATATGCTCACCTGTATACCTCGATCAGTATGGATGAACTTCTAGTCCCTCTTACGTATCTCTATGGCAAAAGTGACACCAGCCTTGGTTATATGCAGCCAAACTCCTGAACTTCGAACATCCAATGTGTAATCCTGCATCAAATGTGGACGTATAAATACTCAAACTATAAAGCAATTGTCTCTGCCATCATGGATAGCTTTCTCATCAATCGATGTTTGTGTATGAAGAACTAACATTGCCCAAGATTATCATCACCATCCGTTTGTGCAACCTGTCAACAACATGTGTAACCTATTCATCTTCTCCGTCAGTCCGACTCCTCTTACACTGCATGACAACGTATATCCTAAATGAATTAATAGATGACAGGAGAATAAAAGCTACACTTTCTTAAAAGCCACCATTTGGGAAATGTGATTTTGGATCATCTGCTCTCATCCATGCAAATTGAAGGTCGACCAACATGCAATGACAATCCATGATCGTTGGTGCTAGGTCTTCAAACGCAATAATAGTATCTAAGGTTCTTGCGTATGTCTAACGCCAAGGAGCTATTCAAATAACTGCATAGGGTTCTATTGTTTACAGCATGAATAAAAAGTTGTTCAATGATAAACATTGAACGCGATTGTCCAAGTACTATCTACTCATATGAATGGGTGGCAGCACCCCCAGCCCCCCACAATCTCCAAAAAAAGTGTCCTTTAGCTTAATGGATCATTAAAGTAGGTAAATGCGTAACTCATTGGAGTCGCTCGAATTCGCAGTAACTAAAATGGCTTCAAGAAAAAGTCTATATAAGCATTTATTTAACAGCAGGAAATATGTACAATGATTGAAAATGGGATATACAAAGAACCAATCACGTCAGATAAGTATACTGAATACGTAGGTAAACCTGAAGACAAGAGAGAGCAAGCAATGTCTTTATCGGAAGGCAACATGGACGTGGCAACTCGAAACGCTGTGTATCATTGTATATAGATGGGAACGTTACATACGTGTCCTCTTGCAGGATAAGGTATGGTAGCTGTGGTACCTTGGGTTGTCATCTTGTACTTGGTGATGATATTGGTACTTGAAATACGACATCGCCTCTTGAAATTGCTATTTCATCCTCTTCTTTCTTTTGCTTTTTTAGCATCACGAGATTTTTGCAGATTTGCCAGCCTGGCTAGATGGTGCCGATCATCAATTGGTGGATATGACACATTGTCATTGTTGTATTCTTGTATTTGCTTATGGATACGATACGTAGAAACGTAGAATAGATGTTTCCACCACACATTCGAACGTTCCCTAGAAGCACACGACGTATCAACAGCAACAATAAGAATCGCGATCAGCTTGATGCGCCCTTTTGTTTCTCTTTTGACTACTTGATCCTGCAGCATTGCTTGGTTCTTCTTGAATGATGAGATTGACAGGGTTTTCCTTTGGCGCCACCAGCCCTGTCACTGCCTGTAGTCTCCTTGAAAATCCTGCTTGTTGTCAACCAATGCTAGCTTTTTCGTTGCCTTCAAGGTCCATTACTTCAAATGGGTGTTGAATGTCGCGACCATTATACCAGATATTATCGTGTGGTTCAGTGATAACAATACGTTTTATTTTTGATTGCATTGATCCTAGTTGTATATAACCATGAATCTGTATGATCCTTATTTCTGTGATTTGGCAAAATTTGCTACTACTGTAACGGCAGAGAATGTGGCACTATCATTCAAAATGGCGTGTGTTCTTTGTCCCTCTACATATGGTTACTGGTATCAGTATTTCATCATCGCATCATCTTGTTGTTTCTTTGTATGAGACTTACAAAGCAAATCATCATCTAGACATCTACATCATCACCAACGATGACAGCAGAGCGATTGATCATTTCCTTGGCCTTTGGTAAATGAGACACAGGTCGACGTCCCTTAGCGATCAAAAATTCATTGCAGCGATGATTATTGTCTTCCACGTAGACGTCCACAGTAGTAGCAATTTCCTGTGATACGGGATGTTTCGTGGATGAACGTTCATGGGTGCTTGATCTCTCATGCATTTTTGTTATTACCACAAGATATGGTATGTAAAGTTGACAATCTTTCTAAGTCGCATGTTTACTTTTCTTTTGTCTTGTATGAATGTTTTGATGTAGGGGATGCAATTGGCTATCGGAGGAACATAAACTGATACAGTATTTTGGATACTAAACTACTAGAAGGATGTCGCGCCTTCGATGTCGAAAAATGTCGCGCACCTAGTCTAGTGATTCCCCTTCTTTAGTACTTCAAGTGACGGCCTTGTTCATGTCATTGTGATAAGTATACGTGTGCTAAGAATATAGATTTGATATTGGATACTCACTTTGCGTGTGAAGTGTGTGTGTTTCTTTGCATATGAAGCTTTGTGTAAAAGAGAAGGGTTGTGTGCGTACGTGTGTGGGGAAATCAGGGTACATCTATTGTAGAGGATTCGTGTTCAGCTCAAACCGCCAAGTCAGGTGATCTTGGACATTTCAAAACTCCTTCAGGACGCGCGTTCCTTAGTGGCATTTCATAGTCCTTCTTCCCAGTTAGCCATGAGTGGATCGTACGACCGTGCATTGACCGTTTTCTCGCCTGATGGCCATCTCTTCCAAGTAGAATATGCTTCCGAGGCTGTTCGAAAAGGCACCTGTGCTGTAAGCTTTCTTGACATGGCATCTCGCGCGTGGTGGAACTAATGTAACTAACCTGAAATATATACTTGAAGGTGGGTGTCCGCGGCAAAGACGTAGTTGTTCTTGGTGTCGAGAAGAAGTCAGTATTGAAGTTGCAGGACCCCAGAACCATTCGAAAGATCTGCATGCTCGATGAACATATTGCTTTAGCATTTGCTGGTAAATGAAGACGACTTTACAGTTATCAACTCGACTATACGTTGCTTACCCACTTTATCAATCCAAGGTCTGACGGCTGATGCTCGTGTTCTTGTTAACAAAGCTCGTATCGAATGCCAAAGCCATCGTTTGACAGTGGAGGATCCACCATCAGTCGAATACATTACACGCTATATTGCTCAGGTGCAGCAGGTATGTAATTTGCAAGAGTGCATATAGGGGATTGGACTATCAATTCATACGAAATTGGTATAGAAATATACACAAAGCGGTGGTGTACGTCCATTTGGTATCTCGACCTTGGTGGTTGGATTCGATCATAATGAGCCAAAGCTATACATGACCGAACCATCCGGCATTTACACTGCTTGGAAAGCCAACTCGATTGGACGAAGTTCTCAAACTGTTCGTGAATTCTTGGAAAAGAACTATAAGGATGACATGGATGACAAGGAATCAATCAAGTTGGCTGTGCGATCTCTCTTGGAGGTGAGTGTGTCAAGTGTCATGCAACGATTAATTCAAGGCTGACAATGCAACGTTTAGGTTGTTCAAACCGGTGCCAAAAACATCGAGATCTCTGTCATGCTTCCTAATGGCAAAGTCAAGGTATGTATCCATCGAGATAGTCTCAATGATATTATTGTATTAATTGATGTCATTGTATCAGAGCTTGGAAACAGAAGAGGTGGAAAAGGTTGTAGCTGAAATTGAAAAGGAAAAGGAAGAAGAAGCTGAAAAAAAGAAGCGGCCAACAGCAAGCAGTTAAATAAACTTGTTATGAATGTGTGAGCAATACATGTATATTCTTTCTCTCTGGTTGTAATCGTCCCTACACATGACTTGTAAAAATGGGTATTGATAGATAGATAAAGCATATTTGTGTACAAACTGGACCATGCAGATTACTCAAGTGAACTTGGAAGATTGATTTCCAGCCATGCTTACGTAGAGAGAAAAAGTTGAGCGGTGAAGCAATCCCTCTCTCACTCATTCTTTTTTCCTTCTTTCTCACACACACTTTACACACACACACACACACATTTTCATATGCCACCTTACGGCAGCACGGATGATGCTGAATATAATAACCTGACAACAGCACAGGAAGCGATTCGAATCGATCACGACGTTCTTCAAGCCAATCAACCTGGCTATGGCACACGTAACAAAGTGGAAGTTGCGTTTAATCTTGTCAATGCTACCGTGGGTGCTGGGATTATCGGCCTTCCTTTTGCTATATACCATGCTGGTCTTATCTTTGGACTAGTAGCCTCCATCTTTGTCGCATTGATTTCACAGCTGGGCCTTTACATGCTGATAACGGCTGGTCATCGAGTACACATTTACAAGTATGCGGATCTTGTGGAGTATTTACTTGGAAGACCTGGTTTTTGGTTCTTGAATACGACTCTTCTCCTTCAATCGATTGGCATCACGATCAGCTATTACATATGTAAGTTGCATGTCATCATCATTTATCATTTGAATGCATTAATCATCCTGTTCTCAGTGCTTGGAGACACCATTCCATCCGTACTCTCACTTTACTTTCCCCAATACTCCTTTTTGAAAAGCAGATCAACAGTCATTTGTCTGGTTTCAATCTTTTTGGTATGCAACAACAAGGGCTTTTTATTGTCTATGCAACAGCCTTAATCGAATGCCTTTAGGTGTTCCCACTTAATCTGCCACGATCAATAGGGCGATTGGCGCGATGGTCGATTGTGTCTGTACTCTGTATCCCGTTGATTATCGTTGTCATTCTCGTTCGGGCCCCAGCTTATGTCGATGACGACCATACACTTCCTATTACAGTCACTGGTCCCAACGTGTGTAGTGCATTGGGCATTATTGCGTTTGCTTTCGCGTGTCCTCATGTGGCTTTCAGCAATTATCTCAGCCTTGCAGATCAAAGTGCTCGTGGATGGTATCAGACTACTGTGCTTGCAACGACTATGAGTTGGGTGATTTCGATGGTGTTCGCTGTTACAGGCTTTTTTGTGTTTGGATACGACGTCAAATCCAATGTTTTTCTCAACTTTGCCACCGACGATATCATTATCAACATTGGGCGCCTTGCACTTGGTATCAGCATGATACTTACTATTCCGTAAGTAGGATGGTGATGGTGATAACAGCATTGAAAAGGAAAATCTCACTCTTTTTCTCTCATAGAATGGGGACCTATCCTACTCGTGAATGTATTTTGAAATACTTTGGCTTAGAACATCATCCAAGTCAAGTCTTGCATTGGGTGGTGACAATATTGGTTTCGATCATGCTGCTTTATTTTGGTGTCACCATACGCAATCTGGGTAATGTCTACGCATTGGTAGGAGCCTTGGCGGCGACGAGCCTTGCTTGGATCATCCCTGGCGGTGCATACCTCATGACCAACAAGACCAAGAGCATAAAATCGATCCAGCAATCAGAACGTGAAGCCCTTGTATCATCTGCTGGTCCCCAAACCTCGTCATCCAGGGTACTTACATTAGCAGCTGGTCTGTTGATCGGTTGGGGTGTACTTGTGATGATCCTGTGTTGCGCTAGTATAGTGGTTTTATAGTTCGAAAGGGTCTTTATTTACAACAATAACAGCATGCTCATTTTTGTTTCTTCTCATCATGCTCCTGTGTCTTCTTCTCCATTTCGGAATATTTCTCGCGGGACTTTTGGGATATGGGTGATGGATGTGGCTCCTTGGATTTCTCTTCTTCGTGAATCTTGCCCACGTACTTTTTGGCTGTTTGAGCTGCCTCGTCATCTTTTGCTGTTACACACACAACAATATGAGTATTGCGTATGCACACACACACACACACACAGTATTAGCATCTTACCTCCTTTGCTCCACGTACGCATGGAGGAATGGAAAGTGCGTTGGCATAGTCGCTTGTTAAGAGTGTGACGAAACATATTTAAGAAGAGAGGAAATCGCAATTGCCAAAAATTTATATATAAAACCCACCGTAAATGGGCTGAAATCATATTGATGTCATGCATTCCGAAACATACCCTGCATCAAAAAGTAGAGCACAGCGCGTTTGAAATGGTGGGTGGGGGGAACCGACCCACCCCTGAACTGTTTGGTGATATACAACAAACAAATCGGTATAAACGCCCTTGATCTTTCGATCTATTTCCCTCTTTTTCTCTTCCTTCTTTCATTGCTTTGTCTTTCACTTGGTAAGTTTACTTTTTTATGTTCAATACTGATATCCCAAATGATGGTTCGCATGTATTACAGCTGCAGTTGAAGGTGTCTCTTTGTATCAAAGGGGTTGTCTTCCGATGGCTTAACTTTTCTACTGATGGGAGCAATATCATGTCATCTTTTCATAACGATACTAATACTTTACGTGTAGTAAGACGCTTTTTAACCACATGGATGCTTTGTAATGTTTAGCTTTTTCAATTTTCAATCACATGTATTAAAGGAAAAAGAGATTAAAAGACGCTCGGGTATAGGAATACTGTACAAAGGATGGAGGAAGAAGGATGCTAAAAGTGCATTATGTGCATTGAAGAGGGGAAGGAGGAAAAAGGGTTTTACAATTCAACATGAGAGCTTGGCTTGGTATTGTAATTGCTGAGGATGGAGAGAATATCATCATTGTCAATGTTCTTTTTCTTGTCACAAAGGGTCTTGAAGTCAACAAATGCCTTTTGGAACTCTTCTTCATTGATGGTGGCGTAACCCAATTCCTTGCAACGTTCACGGAAAGCATTGCGGCCTGAGTGCTTGCCAAGAACAAGGGCGATATCGGTAACGCCCACAGTCTCAGCGCTGATGATCTCATACGTTTGACGGTTCTTGAGAACACCATCCTGATGAATACCAGATTCATGCAAGAAAGCGTTGCGACCCACAATAGCCTTGTTGGGTTGAACGACCATGCCGCTGAGATCGGAGACAAGTACAGATGTGGGGTAGATAAGTCTTGTGTTGATGTTGTGATACACTGGGAATCCGGTGGGGTGGGTGTGTACTGCCATAATCACTTCCTCCATTGCAGTGTTGCCAGCTCTTTCACCAATGCCATTGATAGTAACCTCCACTTGTCGTGCTCCATTCTTAATACCTGCCAATGTGTTGGCTGTTGCAAGACCCAAGTCATTGTGGCAGTGAGTGGAGAAAGTCACCTTATCAGCACCAGGCGTATTCTCAACCAAATGCTTGATCAAGGCACCATATTCCTCTGGTAGATTATAGCCCACAGTGTCAGGAATGTTGAGCGTTGTGGCACCAGCAGCAATCACCTCGCCAAGCACTTTGCACAAAAATTCAGGATCAGAGCGACCTGCATCCTCACAGGAAAATTCAACGTCGTCAACAAAAGAACGAGCAAGTGTCACAGCCTCCACAGCACGCTTGATGCATTCGTCACGATCAATCTTGAGCTTGTGTTTCAAATGAATATCAGAGGTAGCAAGGAAGGTGTGAATACGACGACGGGGTGCATCAGCAATAGCTTCAGCACATCGCTTGATATCACCAGGAGTAGCTCGTGCAAGACCACAAATCGTCTATCAAAGATGTAATGTATCAGCATAAACGATGCCCTAGTAAACTTTGGTATGTAAAAATAAAAACTTACGATAGGCTCACCAATGTGCTCACGACCTTCCATCAAAGGGCCCACCTCTCTTGCGATGCGTTGGACAGCTTCAAAGTCACCAATAGAAGCAATAGGGAAACCAGCTTCAATGACATCGACACCAAGGCGAGAAAGTTGCTTGGCAATGACGATCTTTTCATCCGTATTGAGAGATACTCCAGGAGACTATAAAGCACACACACACAATGAGCTCCAAGTGAATTAAGGGATGTTGTATATATACCCTACCTGTTCGCCATCTCTCAGGCTGGTATCAAAGACAACCAATCTCTGCTTGTCGACGTTTGCAATGGCCATGGTTAGAAAAGAAAAAGTAGGATTGAATAGCAAGGAAAAAATATAAAAGAAAATGCAAGAATGCCTGTTTCTCCATGGTGTCAGATCCAAGGGGTGCTTATATAGCATTAACGAGAGCGGCGGTGACGAGTCAGTGAGATCCAATCACATCGGCTCATCTGCACTTAAGCACAATGATTCACTGATCAACCATTGGCCACCAACCAATGTGGGTGAATTTCTGGTACGACAGTCAGCCAATCCCCCAATAGATACTTGATTTGGAAAATGGGGGATGAATTGTTTTTGCGTGATAAGTAGCTTCCCGCCCAACAAGCAATGAATGGGAGAAAGCCTCTAAAAAAAGGACTTGTTCTAATAATTGGAGTTTGTCGTGGTGTAAAAGGGACGTCCCCTAATCGTTTGTTACTCATATACTAGGAAATAAGGAGTTACGAGCGTGAACAGAATAGCTCAGTGCCTATAGTCTTGCGTTTGGAAGATGCGGCCTCCCCTCTCTCGTGCCCCTGATATGTCCTCTTTAAAGCGTCGTCGACACAATCCTTGTTCATCAGTATTTCTTGTTCTTTTTTTTTATTTTATTGACTTTGTCCCTCTTCCTTTCCTTTAAAAACCAAACCCGTGGTAAGCATATGTTATATGTATATGGATGTAACAACCTTATTCAACCCAACTAGTTATTCGGATAGACCGCACTAGATTATAGAGCGAGTGTAAATGAGTCCTGAAACAAGCTATCAAGTCCCTTTGTCAAGTGCTCGTACTGCTGTCAGCTTTCGACCACCATGTTTCATCAAACCAGGGATGTCATCGACGTCTGACAGCCCAACAGGAACATCTCCAAGCAATAGTAGCACTAGCAGCAATTGCGACAGCAGCAGCAGTATTGGCCAAAACCTCAGCAGCACTAGCAGTTATGGAAACCAACCCGATGAAATGAGAGCATTTATCAAGACGTTTGACAACTACTGTCAAAAGGTGTACATTGAAGGATTTCTATACAAGTACAATGGAGATCAACAACGCACACGATGTTATGCGGAGTTGTCTGGACCCACATTGTCTGTGTGGGATGCACAAGTGCAATCACCACGAATTCTACCACAGTATTTTAACATATCGGATGTTTCGGTGGAGCGACAAGTGGTGGATGAACGACTTGTTATTGCCGTACATATGAGCTATGGATCAAAGACACAGCGCTTCGAGCTTCCAGATGAGGCAACACTTGGACGTTGGGTATGTGCGATGCGTTTATCATGCTTTGAAAGCAAAAAGCTGCATATGCTCTTTACTCTTCGACTCTTGCTCCCAACATTGGATCAAGGTACACCCGAAGATTACAATAGCCCTACACGGTGGGAATCAACATTACAGGTGCGAATGGATGGAAAAGATTGGCACAAGTACTGGGTGATTGTAGACAGCAGTAGCGGTGTCCGACGCAAATCATTGTTTGGAAGAAAAGCAAGTACCACGATCGGTAATCATGGTGGAGGTGCATCATTGAAGTTTTTGGAGACAAAAAAGAGCAAGACGGCAGCAGCAACAATGACCCAAGTGACACATGCATATGCTATATACCCTGAGAAACCACAGCTGTTGGATAACAAGCAACTAGGATTGATGGTGCGTGTGGAAGGCACAATTGAATGCAACGGAAGATATCAAGACGGCCATGTGCAATTGATGACTGATAGCCGTCAGCAATTATGCACAATCCTTATGGCCATTTTTGACGCTTTTCATTTACATGGACGACCTGGTACTCTTTTATCGGATATCACTGATCCACTTTCTCTTGATTATGGATGCACTGCATCACCTCGTCTTTTTTTGGAACCCGAAGATTTGGTGCTTGCAATGGATCCAGGACCTTTATCACAGCGTGATATTGAACGCATTTGCCTAGCTGCCATTCATCATAACATGTCTCAGCCTATTCGTGGTGGTGCTCGTGCCAATAGTCTCCCACTCATTACTGTTGCCTGTGACGATGACAAGGATAACGAGGATGATGATGATTGCCATAGTGCATTTATCCCTTCTTACCGTCAACGATCTGCTTCCGATAGTCGTGAATCTCCACAAGATATGGCACGCTTTTCACGAGATCCACACCAGCTTTTCCCTCGTCAAATCATGGATTCGAGTGATGAAGAAGATGCAAGTGAAGACTCTAGTGACCAAGAAGACGACGACGACAACGAAGAATCTGATAGCGATGATGAGCCTATTGGTAAAACGAGTGCAGCTTCAACAACAGCAGCAATATCAGGTTCCAGTCGTGGCAACCAAGGGCATCCGCTTGTTCCCGATTTTGACTTTGGTAATGGATTTGATGTTGCAACTTCTCCACGGCTATTACCACAACAACAACAACAGCAACGAGGAGGTGGAGAATCAGGAGAAACATCTACGGTGCAGCAATCCAATAGCAATAAGGAAAGTGGTCTTTTCGATGACTTTTCGCTAAGCATGGATTTTGCAAAGTACATGACAACATCTTCTTCGTCTGATACCCCACGTAAACATTCCTTGCCTTCAACTTGTTTGCTTTCTGGACGTGAGTCGGTGGATCATTTGTCATCTTCTGGTGCAGGTAGCAGTGCTAGTAGTTTCCTTGCTCCATTGTCATCACAAAGACGGCGTTCTTGGGAACCACAAGGATCACAGGACCCTGCTGGCAGATGGTACGATGATAATGATGAAGAATACAACAAGAGTCAGCATCCTTATGACTGTGACGAATATGGTGGATATGACTATGGATATAATGAAGGCGAATACGATGAAGTTGGGCCCATGATACCATCGCTATCAGATCACTTTGCTACACAAAATAGCCTTTTGGATACTTATCTTGGTGAACAACTCACAGCCAAGGAACAAATCCAATATTGTCGTGCAACAGGACAACCATTTATTCAAATTGACGAAAACAAGACACAAGTACCTGAAGGAGGATTCGTTGGCATGATATCTCGCCGTGAAAAGGATCGAAAGCAAGGCAACAATATGCGAGTCTCTGGTCGAGTGCAACAACATCACATTGATATTGAAAAGGAACGGCGTCTTATGGAGCAACGACAACAACAATGGATGAAACAACAGGTATTGATAGCAAGTATTATCATCTCTATGGCAATTGACTAACGTGTGATGTAATGTAATGTTAGATGATGGCATACGCAAATGGGTGTCCACCTGGAATGTACCCTCCACCACCACCAGCAATGGGCATGCCACCTTATTTGGCCATACCACCCAATCATCCAATGTCTCCTGCAGCTGGTGGCCCACCATCACCCTACATGATGCATCCAGCGTATATGGCACCAGCAGCACCACCACCACCTGGAGCCCTTGCCCATCAATCACCATATGGTCCACGGCCTGTAATGTTTAATGGAGGACCAAGAAGTCCAAGCATCTCTTCTCCTGTTAGCCCTAGTAGTCGAAGATCTTCTCGTCCTTTGTTGGATGATATTAGTGATGATACTCCTGTTATAGCGTCTCGCTTCCGATCCACCACTCCCATTCGCAAAGATTAACATTTTTTCTCCCTTAACATTGTCATTCATTTGATATGAAGATTATAACAACAATAGCAAATTTTATGTGATTATCATGTGGAGGTTGATTTGATGGGCGGGAGAAGAAGAGTCAAATCATGTCATCAATTGGTCTGTGCTTGGAGATGTGTTGAGTGATATATAAAACTGCGACTTTGAGATCAGCTTATAGATCATCGGTCAACGGGTGTTGAATTTCATTCCTTTCCAAGCAAGTGTTTCCGTCAAAAGAAGGGCGTCCTCGATGCAGTCTCCATTCCCTCCTCGTTGTAATCCTCCAGGTCGTCCTTGGATCGTACAGAAATATGGAGGAACAAGCGTGGGCAACTTTCTTGACACCATTGCAGAGACCATCGTACCGTAAGCCTACTAATGTCAACCCCACACATATACAGCCCACCTGACGTTTGAGTTACATAAAAGGTCATATCTCGACAAGCACCGAGTTGTCATTGTATGTTCGGCAATGAGTGGAGAATCCAAGGAAAAAGGAACCACCAACCAGTTACGTCTCTTTATTATTCATCATCTCTTTATATGATCAACCTTATTTATACGATCGTTCATTCATTGTAGACTATTACGAGCAGCTCAAGAAGCATTGACCCCTGGTTCAGACAAGCATCTTGATATTGTCAAGCAAATTACAGCAGATCATATGGAAGCAGCTGAACGACTTGTTCAAGATCCGGTTATCCTTGAACAACTTCAAGAACAAATTGGAAAGGAATGTCGCAAGCTCCGCTCGTTTCTTCAAGCAGCCGAGGTAAAGGAGGAAAAGGCTTATTGTGTATGTACACATCCATTCATTCTTTGATCCTCTTCATTGTTAGATCATTGATGAAATATCATTGCGATCAAGAGACATCATCGCTGGCATGGGAGAAATCCTTTCTTGCACCATTGTTCAAGCTGTATTACAAACTCGGGGCATTGACAGCCAGCTAGTGCAACTCACCAATATCGTCGATCAACCCTTTTCTCAACTCGACCAATCCTTTTACGATTATTTATCAAAACGCTTAGCCGACTCGGTGATCAGCTGTGGAGACAAAGTGCCTATCCTCACTGGTTTCTTTGGTTACGTTCCTGGAAGTTTGCTTTCAGCTGTTGGACGTGGGTATACGGATCTTTGTGCTGCTCTGGTAGCTGTTGGACTACAAGCAAGCGAATTACAAATATGGAAGCAAGTCGACGGCGTTTTTACTGCTGATCCTCGAAAAGTGACAGCTGCTCGCCTTTTACCCACCATCACTCCTGAAGAAGCTGCCGAACTTACTTATTATGGCTCTGAAGTCATTCATCCTTTCACCATGGAGCAAGTGATTCGTGCCCAGATTCCTATCCACATAAAGAACGTTGAAAATCCTGCTGGCTCGGGCACCATCATCTATCCTGCAAATACCGACGTTGACATGACAACCCATACCCAACAACGACTCCCAACCGCTGTCACTATCAAGGATGATATCTGTGTACTCAACGTTCACTCAAATCGGAAAAATGTCAGTCATGGATTCTTGGCAAAGATATTCGAGGTACTTGATGAACATGGCATCGTTGTTGATTTGATCTCAACTTCAGAGGTGCATGTTTCCATGGCTTTGGGTCCTGATGCAGTCCGAACAAGCCTTGATAGAGCGATGCCTTCTTTACAGTCATTGGGCAGGGTAAGTCAATGGAAAATAGCTGGTCGTATCCCGTATTCAACAAAGTATATCACATAGGTGGATCTACTTCAAGAAATGGCCATCTTATCCCTTGTGGGTAGAAACATGAAAAATTCTATTGGCACAGCAGGCAAAATGTTTTCTGCACTGGCTACGGCTGGTGTTAATATCGAGATCATTTCACAAGGTGCATCCGAGATCAATATCTCTTGTGTTATCTCACGACATCACGCACTCAAGGCCATGCAAGCCATTCATCAAGGACTTTTGACACTATAGCCCCCCAAAATTCATCATAGACGTTTTGTATTATACATTCATTCACACCCTTATAAAACTATCGTATCCTGAGGCGCTTCTTTGGCAGCTGGCTTCTCTTCATTTCGTACGCAATGGACCATGCCAGAGTCTATTATATAGAAAAGCAGTAGTAGTAGTCGATCAGTATCCTCATCAAATTCTCTCTTAATATACTCATTCCTCCTACCAGATAAGCCATTGTAATAGAACCAATTTTGGATCGGCAGCTGCTTTTGTGAAAGAACCTTGATCATCTCTTGTGCTAAAACGCCACCAACAATAGCCGTGACAGGAACTAACTCAGAATCGAAAAGGGACACAACATGACTATCCCATGTATGAGTACCTATAATATACATGCGCTGTGGATCCAGAACAACGTTACCTGATAAGATCATCATCAATGAAGCTTCCATCGGAAATGCCCATTTCTTGTAAAGCAACGCTCTTGTTCTTTATCAGGTCCTCAGCATCAACTCCCGTGATTGGCCGATTGTGCTTGAGCTCGTGCTTGAGTATCACTATGAGTATATGTTAGTCCATGTGGCTGCTGAAGGCAATGATTCTTTCGTCCTTACTGTGCATAACAAAACCAAGGGCTGATTTCTTCTTGAGTTTGTTTGTTGGTATATTGGAATAGTCGACTTGTAACGATTCTTCAAGAGTCACATATTCTTCTACATGCTGGATGCGCTTTGTTGTTGTCTCCTCTGATTGCGACGATGATATTTCCTTCTCTCTAATGAAGAAAGCTTAATACAAAACAAACCAATGTATAGCAACTCCATCTACTTACTCGATGTATTCATGTTTTGCTAGATCACAAAAGATGTATCCAACCCAACCAAAAGCATCAGCGGCATAAAAAGGGATACGCTTGTCGGCCTTGCGTACTGCCTGGTTAACACGGATCTTTTATATGGGGTTAGTAGCTGAGACGATTCGATCTATGCGCACTTACCAAGGCCGCTGCATCTTGATGGATCATACAAACAATGTCAAAGGCTTGAAAAAAGGAATCCGGCTTGTCAGCGACGTTGGATGGATCCACCTCGACCTTGACACGCGGGTTAAGAGCACGTATAGCTGGTGCTACTGCCTCTGCGCGCTTATCCAGTATTGAGTGAATACAACATCATCGAACCTCTTCACCCATATGCTTACATTTTTTCCACGCGCACCTTCCTCCAAAAAGAACTGGACACCCAAATCGTCATCGTCCACGACCTTGTCATCGAGCAATGTGATACTTCCAATACCAGCCAAAGCCAAGTTCTTGCACAATTCGTTACTCAAAGCACGTACTCCTGCAACCAATACGCTGGCATTCTGGATTCTGTTGTAGTCGGTCATTAGAACGCGACATTGCGAGAGCGTTTGACATGTCAATACTTGCCTTTGTTGTGCATCCACGCCCCATAAACGGATCTGTCGATCGTAGATCTCGGCTTCGTCTGTGCAATGTGAATATAGGAGGACGATCTCGTACTCAAGAATACAACCTACCTTGACTTAATTTAATCATCATGCTATGAAGAGAAGCACCTCCTCTAATGTTCACTTTCCGCGTAGTCAAGAATTTCGTCACGTGATCCATCATTCGCTTCTCCAAGTAACAATAACTGTGGTCCCACACCCATCAATAACAAGATACCAGTTTTACAAGTAGCCTATTCCTGTATCATAACCACCCTTCTTCTTCATTCAACCTGCCCAAATGATAGCTTAACATCATGTTGACAAGGAGTTACTACTACCACCTTATTTTTTATGTCACTTTATGAACGAATCATGCAATAAAAAACACTTTTACGATTCAAAAATACTAGGATAAATGCCATTCAAGAGGATTTAGTGGCCACTGTAGCGGTACCTTTGACGGCCATGTTGCCCTGGGCATCAGCTACCCAAAGTGAATATTGACCAGGTGTATCAGGATCGGCCTTGCCTTGAACGCGTATTGCTTCATTCACTACCAATGGTGACCGGCAGCGATACTTGAATGACTGGATGACAGATGTAGGATCGTTTTCTTTGAGATAGCGATTCAATGTATTCATCATCAAGGTGTATGAAAGAGGACCATGGACCAAGCAACCTAAAGAACATCAATCATCAATCATTCAATCAATGGTATAAATCACAGCACTAATTACCTCGATGATGTTCTGTTTCGGTTGCATATTGATGGTCGTAATGGATGAGATGTGAATTGAAGGTCAGAGCTGAGAATCGAAACAACGTAATGGGTGTAGGTGTTATCTCGAAGGAAAAGTCATGGTGAGGTAATTCTATTATATATATATATATATAGATCATCAGAGAGGGTGAGATGCTATTGCTTTTTTTACCTTGCTTACCAAAGATAGCTTGTGTCTTTTTGGATGACGACGATGATCCATTCTTGTCAGGGGAGGAGGAAGTGGGTTGCACATAGACCCAACTACGCGTTTCGGTCATGGCCCAGCCTTTTTGATTGCTTATCTTTTTATCGATCCAAATAAACACGGAGTCTCCTCTCCTCCCTGCAGGTCGAAATTGGATATCACGTAAACTCGACACCATTTCAACTTGATCGCCCACCCTCAAAGGATTGTCGACATTCCACTCGAGCTCACCACCAGCCCACATGCGATGCGTGAATGGCGATGGGGGTTTCCAGTCCTGCTCATAACCATCAGGTGATAGCTCCTGTTCTGTTACACGGGGTGGGAAATAGGCCTGGTGCCATGCTGGAGGAAGTTCGGTGCCATTCTTTGGTAGATAGTCATGTCGATACACTGGATCGTTTAGAGTATTCCCCAAAAGATTAAACGCTGAAGGAGTAATCGCATCATGTTCAATGACTTTTTTTCTGCTGATCGTTTCCCGCCATTGCTCTAACAGCTGCTGCTTGTTGTTATTAAGGAGAATGCTGCATGATGAGAATGCTCGTTGGGATAATTTGATGGTAGCTCTTTGAGAAAATTGTATCAACGGCATTCGTGTAAAAGAAAGAATGACCTCTTTTTCTTATCCGTGAATCCTTCTCGTTTTTAAGGGAATCAACCAAGGTCTCACAGCTGGTAACGATGAGTAAAGATGTCTTTGGCGGAAAAACTATTTATCGGTAATGGGTTGTTGTTGTTGGCAATGGCGCCCTCTCTCTCTCTCTTATCAACATTAGGTTGCTGTTACTGCATTATGCGAATCATTTAGCCTTATATGGTAGACAACAAACATGGCATCAAACCCGCCTTTAATAAAGGAGGGATCTCTGTCACAGTAGAGATCCAAGCTTTTATAATAACAATCCCACGGCAGAAATTAAAAAAAGCCTTACGTGTTGTGTATTGTGTGCACCAGCACCCCCCAAAACTCCCAAGGAGGATAGTACTTTGATTTCGCTAGTTCATCATCATTGTCTAATAGTCGTAATAATAATGTACCCATCTTGTACCATGGTAACTATGTGATCATTAACCTGCAGTTGTTGGGCGCCACACACATCATTTACCGCTTACATCTATGACGCCGACCCGCCAACTGGGGAGAGAGAAAAGGGAGAAAAATTAACATTGTTACAAGTATTTTCCAATCTTGGTAACTTGGCTTTGAAAAGGTTTAGTCAGGATCATTTGGTAACTGGCTAAAGTTGAGGGCTGCACAAGCATTTGCATAAATAGAGTGAGAGAGAGCAATTTAATTGCTTCTTTCCCTATTTGATTTTGCGGATGTCGGTTCCGCAGGAACGACAGGTACAACAAATCGGACAATTTGAAGCTATGAAATCATGTTTCGGAATCCATCGGATATGCTAGCTCGGTACCATCCAGCGATATTACATCAGAAAGCGTGGCATGTTTTCTATAGAGTAATCCGCAAGTGCTGTAACAGATGCATCATTACACCGAAAAGTATGCGAAAGGTAAGTTTAGCAATCAAGTCTGGAACATGGAAGAGATCGAGTTGTACATGGCGATGTGCAATTTGCTGCTTATTGCTCTGATTGGGCAAGTAATTTATGTCGCTTGATTTGCGATTCCGCTATTTAACTTTGCAAAACTATCATTTCCCTCCTATATAACCTAGCTCATTCCGTTTACTCGTTGTCTACACTCACTTTTTCGCGTACCTTTTTTTTTTAACTTGACATGTCTGCTCCACTCGCTACAACCAGCACACCGGTTTTAGCGAGCCCACGACAACAGAGACCTTTCTCGTTTGCTGCGAGTGCATCCTCCTCATCAAGCCTTGCTAGTCGACGACGCAACAACAAGAACTTGTCTCTATGTCTTTCTTCTTCATCAAACCCTCTCCTAACTGCACCAGCCACTCCTCACAAAATGGAATTCGAAACATCACATTACGATCCTTATCAACATGGCCCCTCACGCATCTTACCACAACTTTATCTCGGGGCAGAAAGGAACACGCTTGATTTGGAAATGTTACGACAGCTTTCTGTACAATGCATGTTAAATGTTGCTGAGGAAGTGGTTCATCCTCAGGAGCAGCAATTCACAACATTTGAAGAGATATTGGATCGACCACCTTTACCATCACCTTCACTTTCTCGCACATCCACTGCCAGCAGCATTGCATCTAGTCTTCATACCATTGCCACCAATGTATTCGACATGTCTCCTTCCTCACCACGATTTTTCTTTGATAACAACAACAATAACAGTACCACCAGCCCCACACGATTCCATCAACAACAATCCTTTGTGTACAAAAAAATACCCTGGAAACATAATCAGGATAACCTCGTACATGAGCTTGATGCGGCTATTGCAGCCATTGATCAGGCACGTGATGCTGGTTATACCATCCTGGTCCATTGTCAATGTGGTGTAGCACGTTCTGCCACTGTGGTCATTGCGTATATCATGAAGCGATTACAACTACCGATGCAAGAGGCTTACGATTATGTCAAGGTGCGGGCACCTGGCATCAACCCCAATCTCAGTCTTTTGTATCAGTTGCACGAATACGAAAAGAAACTTCAACAACCACCTTCCACCCCACATTCAACAGCCAACTTCATCCACCACCATCATCACCATGATTCAAATAACAGCAACAACAACAATCACGCTACTCCAGCATCACCTAAAAAGATGTTTCATTTTCGCAAATCATCTCTGAGCCTCTCATGGAAACGTCGCATGTCCAAAACAAGCAAAATGCTTTCTCCTCCCGGCAAAGAGGAAATGCCTGCAACTCCCGGATTGACTCGTTGTTGATATTACTTTCATCCCCTCCCCTGAATTCCCATTGTGTTGCGTGTATATATAGTTGCAACTGTAAAATGTTCTGTAGTATACCCTGAACAATGAACGTAATTTGTTTTCTATCATGTCCATATGTTCCACGATTGTAAACTTTGTGTTACCGATCAATGATTCCCGGTACAAAATTTAAAGTTTCCTTCCAAGAAGATTAACTAATATTCTTCATGCACGACCCCATCTTTTGTGTTGCCATTGGTGAAGCACAGTCCATTTGCATAGACCTTTTTTTATATATCAATGATGCATGTGTGTGTGTGTGTATATATTAATCAATCTTCAATGACATAACACCATCCAATGGGATATTATCTTCGGGACACTGCAGCAACGAAAAAGAGTTTAAGTAAGCTAATTCTCTTCAATGCTCATTTTTGGACCTACCTCATCATGGGTTTTGCATCCAGGCCGCCTTTGGATATACAACATGCCCGAATTTGTCACCGCTTTTTGATAAGAACCTCCATCCAACTTGAGACACAATGGATAATAACGGGAGCTGTCGAGTCTGATAGATTTGACAAGGGTATAGCTTGGAAGAACGTTTGGTGCAAATATCCGCATTTCTCGTGTTACTTGTTCTGGGAGCCATGGTTCATCCTGTTGTACATTGACCAAAAGAGGTACTCGACATGGTTTGCCAGTGTCCACATCCAATGGCATCAACCACCGCACATCCATCGACATGACCCAAAGATGACGAAACGCTTGCAAGTAATATCGATTATCATCGGGCGAAATAGGATAAAATGGATAAAAAGCACAAAGCAGCCCTGCAGTGGCTTCCATGGACGAGCTCAATGTATAACCACCCAATCCTGCAAATAGAAGGCCCATTGCCATATGCGCTGCCATATGATCACCATATCGTGTGTGTGGACCTACACGACCATGCAAGGTCTTGAGGCGTGAAAGTAAATCCAAATTGCCGGTTCCTGCAACTACCATTGCTGCGGCCGTTGCCACCACCCCGACACATGATCGCACCACGCTTCGTGTAATGTTTTCTTGGAAACCTACAGCTAAACATCATAGCAGTGTTAGCCACATGTATACATGGATTCAGCGTATATCATCAATCGTCATACCGGTCATATTCGATATCCTCATAAGATTATCAAGTCGACGTAATAAGCATTGGAACACTTGTTTGTTATCCGATCCTGCGAATCGAAGGGCAAGACTTAAACATGCACCACTGATGATATTGTACATGGCTTGTTTTGATGCTTCAATCAATTGGGAGGAACGCGTTGAATGCTCTTGGTTAACATCATGGTTGATGAATTCAGGAATATGGTTGTCGATCCACTCATCCGTAGGCTGAATGCTATTCCACATGATCATATTTCGAGCCACAATACGTAGCATTAAAAGATCGGGTCGAATGTAATTGAGATAAGGCCGAGTCATCAATACATCAATGGATTCTGCCACGCGAACGTTATTCGTCCTCATATACATTAAACCAAGTGCAATGGTGGCTCCTGGTGAAGTGACATCAAGGTTGATAGGTTTGGCAGCTGGCTCAGAAAGCTTGTCGCGTGATGATTTGTATCCGTTGTCATGATGATGGGATGATGATGTCGTTGTTGTATGCTTTCCTTGTGCTGTTGTAGGTCGTTCCCTTGTCCCCGTGGCTGTTGTAGATAATGATGTCTGCCCCAGCATTAAACGGGATAGCTTATCTTTGAGATGAAGATCAAATAAGCCAGCTGATTCATCACCACGTCCAAGTGTCACAAATCCAAGGGCAAATCCTGCTGCTAGTGCACAACCTTCAAAATTGACTTCCAAGGTAGATGGATTGGCGTCGGCGTATCTCTCAATTTCGGCCACCATTACCGAACTCATCAATCTATCGCACGAACCCATAAAAACCAAACCAAGGCTGACAAGGGACGTAGATTGGATGGCGATAGAATGGTTGAGTGTAGTGGAACCCGAAGGTAAAAGTGCTGGCACATGAACGGCAAGAAGTTTGGTCACTTTGCTGTTTTTTGTTCCTCGATAGGCTGCTGCAAGACCAAGCACAAATCCAGTGGTGGCTAATTCGCATGGTTGTGTCATGTAACGATACCAACTGATCAAAGGAAGATCCCTCAAATTGCCGTTCAAACCCAACGCAAGTAGAAATCCGCCATGCTCTGGTCGTAATTCTTCTTCTCGGTTGCAAAAGTCAATCCATGATCCACCTACTCGACAACTGGGTGATATCTGTAGACCAGCTGCTACTCCATTATGAAAACGAGGCCAATCAAAATACTCGGGTGCCCAATGTCGATCATCAGCAGTGACTATGGTGCGTAAAGGAAGCAGCTTCGCTGAGAGATTGATGGATTTGATAGGAAAGTCCTTTGTCAAATCGGGTATGTAGGTGCCAAATCCATAAATTCCTCTTCCCACTGAAAGAGCTGCAGTACGTTGCAAGAGATTCATCATATGTGTTTGGTGCTCAGCAGATATATCAGCGTCACTATTAGAAAACATGGGTTAGCTTCCACATTTCGATAAGCACAACGCGCCATTACCTTAAATCAGGACGATCAGGCACAGTCAACTCTGGTGTTCGTGTTATATCCAATGAGCTCCGCACCGTTTCCAAAACCCCTTCATAGCCAAAACGCAACTTTTCGGTATGGACATCCAATGTATCATATGCATGGGTGGAGGTGGAGGTGGTGGATCGTGATGGTGGGTCCATTGTGATGCTCTTGCATAGATCATGCATATTCGTTTTGACAGGCTAAGGATAATACCTTGGTTAGAACAATCATTCAATAAATACTCATGATGATTCAAGTACCTGAATGGTATCCAATCGAAAATGATCGCCATTGGGATCAATCACTGATTTACTTTCCAATAATTGATTCACCATGTCCTGCCTACCTGTTGATTATTACTGAGTACGAAGCATATCCCTCACGGACAAAAAGAATACCTTACCAATCAAATTGTAGTGTTCTGAAGTCCATGTCATTGGAGGATTTTCTCGCAAAAGGTCCAAAGCTGCTATCAGTGGCTCACCAATGATAGGATGAAGGTCTTCGATTTCATAGCGTTTTATCTCTTCTTCCACCATTCGATCGACCATTCTTTCATATTCCTCAGCTCGCAGCATCCGATACAGTAACCAAGTCATGTCGATCGTATGTCCAAAAGCGTTCCACCGTAAACCAAGCACTGGGTCAATCCGAGGAATACCAAAGACATCTTCCAAGCTGAGGCGATGAGGTGGAATGGGTGAATAATATCGTATAGTGCCAATAATATCGGTAGGTGGTGACATGATCTTCTTGCCTTTGACATGGCTAAGATCGCTCAAGACTAAAATTGAATGAGATTTATCGCGTCCTTTACCATCTTGTATTACGCGCTTATTACCTTGAGAAAAAGAGACAGCAATGTCCTTTGTATAGTGTGCTACCCATTCCCGATTTCCAGACAACACTGATAGGAGGATCATCAAGTGATTCAACTTTGGCAAAAGCGACCGAGACTTGATTTGAGATAGTCGATAATCTTCATGGAGCATGTGTAGGCTCCGAAGAACAGCTTCCAAGTCCATGGCGATGTGTTCACCCGCATAGGTTTGTCGTAACTTTGTAGATGAATCGACCAGCGATAGCCACGTAGGAAATGATGGTTCTGAAACTTTGTCCAAGAGTGTAGCTGCTGTTGTGATAATGTTGCAATTCTCGATAGATACAAAGGATAAAAGGGCGATAATAAATGAAACCCATTCGCATGTCATTCGATGTATTGGGTTGTTGGAGGAGAGTGTGCTGTAAAGATGCTCGATGAGACGCTTTCGAAACAAGGCGTGTGTAAAAGTGGAAAGGACGCATGATAAAGCTGCTACACCATCCTGGACTATGCCAGAATATGGAAAAACATCAGCACGATAGCGTTCGATACGCCCATCAGCCATGTGAACATTGAAGCTTGTTGCAACTGCATCGCTGAGCTCTTTGATTTTCTCGGATAATGTGGAAGGTAAAATGACATCGACGAGTATCTCCTTTCGCGGCTCCACAACGAATTGAATACGATTCCCGGTACGCAAAAGAAGAATGTGTCTGGTGCCGTTCTTCGATGTGATTGACACAGCGCTGCGTGCAGAGATCTTTTTCAATAATACATCCATGTCACGTGCCAATAGTTTGTTGATGCTCAATATCAAGACGGTCTGCTCCCGATTCCTCATGATGCATAAAAGATCCATCCCATCATTGTCATGAGCCAAAAAGACTGTATCACGTGCATGTTTCCGCCGATCACCCTTGGTTGGATTACTAGACAACAAGGTAAATGAGATCAAAGCAAGGTTGACATTGAAAAAGACTTACGTTTCATATAACAAATGGAGAAAATGACCAGCATCATCCGATTCATGAAAGCTATCGCCTGCCTCTGATCCATACAATTGATCCGTATCCGAACTGAAATCCTCATGAAATTGTGCCAAAGAATCCTTGCGAGTTAATGGTGGAGGAGTGGTTGCGATGGGTGACGGCATGTTGTTATGCTTGACTCTTTTGCTCTTTGACTTTTTACGATTTTTGAGTGATGGAAATGACGCTGCAGATTGTGGTGGCGGCTTTCGCTTAATCTTTGGCTGCTTAAGTCTCTCTTCCTCGTCGGTGAGCATCCAAACGAAATGGGCATGTTTCTTTGCATTGTAGGTGACAATCAACTGTTGCTTTTCTGGATCTCCACGTGAATAATCCACTGAAGTTGCAAATACGAGCTCATGATCCACAGGCACACCCATCATGTCTTTACGAAAATCAAGTGAAAAGGAGCGATTCCCATCATCCGTCATTGTAACCAATTCACATTCGCCCATAGGATCCGTGATACACACAAAGGGTTGAAGAAATGCTGCATTCGCATCATCGATCATATCAGCACGTTTCCTCTCGAGTATTAAACCAACATGCAAGGCGTATGCTCTTTGTACTGGGAAATTGAGATGAACCGAATACATTAAACCATCTTCAAAATAGATCTTGACTGAATCTCGTAGAATGATGCATAACGCTTTGCGTAATTCTGTATTCGATCTCGCTGTACCACGTCGTTTGTTGCTGTTGTTGATATTGCTGCTGCCGCTGCTGCTGTTTTCATAAATCACATCCGGATGCTTCCTCTTTTTGCTGCCAATATCCATCATGTTGGTGCTGTGTTCATTGCCTTGGATACGTCCATCATCGTAATACACATCTTCATGCCATCGTCCCATTGCTTCGTCGCCTTCACCATCATACGATATTTTGAATCGAAACCATGCAAACAAAGCCAATTCCACTGGTTGCCTTTCAAGTTCGAACTTGAAGGACTTGACAATATGCCCGCCACGACTCCATATCACCGTTGACCCATCCACGTATAGCTCTTCTTCAAGATCCATAGCACCATTAGGAAGTTTACGACGATCCCGATGCGAAGTTTGCTCCACAATGTCGCCTGACAACTCGTTAATGTATTTGAAAGGTCGTCCGTCCACAGCATAAAGGTTGTAACTGGATGTCTTTTGGCGATTTGCAGAACTGGCCCCTTTGCTGAAAAGATTGAAGTCGACCTCTTGTATCTCGCTGGCATCGTTTATCAAATGAGGATGGAGTGCTGTGTGTCGTCGTCCATAGGGGCAGAACTCTCCCAATGACTTCAACATGGTCGCGTCGTAGTAGTAGTGGTAGAAGAAGAAGCTTGAAACACGGTCATTTATATTATCGCGATTGTTCCGGTGACGTTTTTATCATGCAGATTCCCTCTCTATTTCCCCTTGGATAATAATATGAGAATCATACAGCTTTCATTTGTCAATGGTTGGAGAAGTCGTCTCTTTAAAAAACGGTCGACTTTGTTTGATAGTGGGTGTATTAGTTCATTTAGGGGGTCTCATTGTGCCTTTGCTTTTCATTGTATTACATGTTGTATCCATCCTGATCTTTACTATTCAGCAAACTATCCTCCCGCTACTTACATAGGACATGTGCTAGTTGTTGGCCGCTCTCATGCTTACCACATCTTCCATTCCTTGCTGTTCTTCATTTATTCTTCGATACATGACTCCATATACTCTTCAGACGCCTCATCAAATATGTACATCACCAGATCGGCGTCCTTCATTATAACAGCAATGTGTTTCCTTGAAGCAGCAGACTAAAAACCATACATGAAGGAAAAGGGTGTAAGAATAAAACGCAGTTTATATGTAACTACATGAGCCAATGCCTACCAAAGCCCAATTGTTGAAGGTTGTCATTGCTGACATGGGTTGAATTGCACGAGATCACTGACAACCTTGAGACAAAAGATAAGCTGGCGAGTTGTGTAAAGAAAAAAGATTCCTCCGTGTGTGATAAAAAGTGGAAAGCGGTGCTCTGTGCGCGTGTGTAGCCATGGCAACCAAAGTTGGGAGCCCCTACACTCCAAAATTCCCATTTTATGATGTTTTCTTCTTTGTACTTGCCATCGCTTCCGCTACATGACCAAAGTTTTTGAGACGCATAGACGCGGGTTCTTGATGTATCTCGATTTTCGATAAATAATAGGCCTGCTTGGCTCAGTTGGCTCTGATGCCCAAAATTTCACTCCGACTAAAGATTTCGTCAAACTACTTCCACTCCAAATTGCTCGATAACGATCCGCCCAAACTAGATGACGTCTTTAACATCGTATTCCATGGCTACTCCGCTACAATATGATACTACTTTCATGCATCAACAATAACGGTTTTCTACCGTTTTTCATTTCCAATTAAGGCAATCGGCGCGCCTATGATGTAACTCGATTTCCGATAAATAAGCCTGCTTGGCTCAGTTGGCAGAGCGTCCGCCTAGTAAGCGGAAGGTCACTGGTTCGATTCCAGTAGTAGGCATATAGAGTGTCAAACTTCCTCGAAAGATTGAACGGAGGTGGTCTTTTTGTTTTAGAAAATCGAGAATCACGTGATCTCCAGTCTTTTTATCGTTTGTCGCTATCTTATGGATGATTTGATCAGTGGACAATGATAGAATTTTGGTATTGTTGTCGAGAATCGATATTATGCACCGGTCAGTGTTACCATACATGGTTGTCTTATACCTTATCTAAGGTGATGTCTTATTCTGCTCCATGATTCATACACCATCCAAGTGATGTGCGTTTCTCCGTTCTTCCCAAAAGGTTTGACGGGACGCGACCAACAAATGTATACAAAGCTGTGTATAAGTGTTGAATCATGATGACACTAGCAATGATAGTAAGCAAATATACACTAACAAATAAAACTACGCATGCAAGCGATACAATGACACCAGCAGTGTTCTTCAATGACTCTCACAAAGTACCAAGCATCCATTACACAATAAAGGATAATGGTCAATGAACAAAGAATACCCAAGCAATTAGAAAAAAGGGAGAAAGGAAACCCGTCTTGTGGTCAACTAGCACGTTGCAAACGTTTCACTGGGACATATGAATGATCGCATCATCATGTTGGTGTCATGCAAATCAATCGAATGATGACATTAGCTTATCAATACAAACATTTGTAATAATGTTCTCATAAGGTTCACCTCTCAAGATATTCGTCGTGGGAAGGATGATATGTGCGGTGCCTTTAGTATTACAGAACAAGAATCGAAACACATACAAGAGATAGAATTCTTGAGAACTAGCTTAAATTACCAATAAGGTAGGAAAAATAGTCTACAACGATTGAATGGAATGAAGTGGGGGGAATGGGATCAAATAAAGCCGAACCGCTTGCCAAAAGCAACCATGGCAACGACGTACATAAACATACCCAGCACGATCCAATAGAACCATACCAAATCCTTATAATCCTGTCCTGGGACTTTGACGTTCATGCCAAATAAACCGGCTACCAAATTCAATGGCACAACGATGGTGGCGACAAAAGTGAGGCGATTGATCATTTCGTTGGTGGTGTTGCCTGCTTGAGAAAGCTCAATGGAGATTTGACCAAGATAGTTGCGATGCGCTCTTCCCAAAACCAGATCATAATGGTTGACATTTTGTAACATGGTAATAATGTGATCTATCAATGTATCAGATAAGTGATTCTGTAAACATCCCATCCCCTTGACCTATGATCTATACCTTGAATATCCCCAAGATAAAGAGTGACCTCGTGTTGTACTCGACGTGCATCTTTTCGATCATCGTTGGTGATGTCGTTTGGCTTGTCACCAAATCGCTTGATCAAACTTCGCACCACGTCTGCCTTTGGACCCAAAAGACGTAAGAGCTGCATGACGGTCTTGCGACAAGCACCGATCCTTCGAAGCATATCCGTTTGTTCCGATCCGCTTAGTACAAGGACCAAATCATCAATGGAGTCGACTTCAAGCTCAGTGTGCTGGATAAGAGGCGCAAAGCTATCAGTGATATCATCGATCAGGGCATAGTTGATCCATTCAGGTGTGACATGAATAAAGTCTTTGAGCTGATGAATGCGTCGTCGGACATTGTGTGGATGAGGCAAAGGCTGGAAATGAAACTATGGATTTTTTCAGACGATTAGCAAAGGAAGAATAAACCCGCCCATCTTTGCCTATTTACCGTCAATACACCAGTTTTGAAAACAATGATATAGAAATTGACCGCTTCAAGATAATCAACGCTGTGTAAATCATGATTGAAACTTCGGAAGCTGATAAACATATAATGCTGAAAGATCTCGCACTTTTCACGAGATTCCTGTGCTTGGATATCTTCAGTTGTCAAAGGATGAATTCGGAAGATCTAATCCATCGCATCCATGTTAGGTCCGTCATGGTTGCCAAAGAAAATGATTATCCTTAGTTACCTGACTGAGAAGTCTCATTTCTTCATTGCTTGGTGCAAAAACATCAATCCACCATCCATTGGTCTCGAGCAAAAGATCCGCCACTGGTTTATCACTTTCACCATGGCTCAATAAAAGACTTTTCAATGATGAATTCTTGATGGATCCCAAATCGGCCGAGTAAAACACAAAGCGGTCCGTGATGCGCATCACCTTGGAAGGTTCCTGGATGGATCCACTGTAAGCCCCCAACATTCAAAGAATAGGTTGATTCAACACTTACAAAGAATTGTTCACCATAAGCACTGTATCGACGATGATGAGGAGGACCATCGATCTTTGGAGACTGTCGTTTCTCGTTGCCATCCAATAGATCATCCAATCGAGCAGTGTATTGCCGTTGTAACTCGTACTCGGGCTCGTCTTCCTTTTGGTGATAGAGAAAAGAGCGAAGCACATCACCCTGGATAGCCTCATTGTCGAGAGGATGGGGGTTGTCATGAGGATAAAGGACGTCTGGATCGGAAGTTGTACTTTTTGAAGAGGGAGAGACTAAGGCCTTGGATCGATGATTGGGATGGTCGACTGTTTCAGGCGAGTGGGTGTCCATTTGCAACACAAAATCTTCCGAGTTGGAAGGGGAAGTGGACCGCTTGCCATGGTCGTGGGTGATGTAGGCCTCCTCCATGGCGAAAGGATACGCTGTCGAGCTGTTATCATTAAAGAAAAAGACAAAGCCATGTACTGGTTCGGCGGATATATACGGAAATTGGCGCTTCCCATTTTAAACACCACACGTGCCCTACTATATTCATTTTAGTAGCATTGAATGCAAAAGCACCTGTTTATGTGATGGATGGACATTCGCACTTATTTTTTACGAGGAGGTGGGGGTGGAGAGATAATACCACGTGGGGAAAGGAAATGAATAATGATACCCTCGTCCCTTTTTTCATTACTTTGTTATAAACATTGTTTCGCCCTGTCCAACAAATGCATCCACGTATTATCGGTGACACCTTTCAAAGTATAACATTATATGTAAAGAGGTCCAAGAAGATCAAGAATGAGCGTCGATTCTTTCTCTCTCTTTTTCATTCTTCTTCTTCTCTAGCCGTTCGAGCAAATGGTAGCACCTCTACTCTTTGGTTGGGCTTTAATGGCCATCACCACCACCACAAGCTATGCATTGCCTGCCCAAAACAAGGTCGACTGTGTAAATTACAAAACAGACTTTAGCGTGACAACACAAGGATGGATTGCCGACCATACGTTCCAAGATACATATGATATGACATCGGATAAAGGCATTGAAATGAAGCTCATGCCACCTACGCGATACGTGCGTATGCATGATCAACAAAGTAAGGCCTTGCTCCTTTGTCCTTGCAGTAGCCCTTGTATTAACGTCCTTTTTGTTATTTAGATTTGCCCTATAATCAATACGAAGGCAGTGGTCCCACATTCAATGCATCCACGTATATGCACTATGGACGTGTCTCAGCTACTATTCAATCCGCCAATGTTGGAGGAGCCATAGCTGCCGTTATTTTGATCGCTGATGGTGGCGATGAGATTGATTTTGAATTACTGGGTGGTGATCCAAATCATGTACAGTAAGTAGTGCCATACGCTATTATGCATCGCTTATTGTTTAACCGATATGGATAGGACCAACTATTTTTGGGGTCATGAAGTGCTTTACACGGTCAATGGTGGTTTCCATGAGGTCCCTGGTGGTGCTGTATATGATAGTTTACATACATATACCATCGACTGGTAATAACAAGTGGTCTACTTCATACCCAAATGGGTTTATTCACTCGCATTTGTAGGAGCCCAGAACGTATTCAATGGTTTGTTGATGGTGAACTTGTACGTACACGTGAACGAAAAGACACATGCGATGCGTCTGGAGTATGTAAATTTCCATCGGAACCAGCGTAAGTTTCGGTATTATATCATTATCATCCTTTTTGTTTATTGTAAACTCACACAAACATTTAGTCGTATCCAAATTGGACTATGGGATGGAAGCATTGAATCCGGCACTGCACAATGGTCGCGAGGTCCTATTGACGTAAGTCATAATCAATGATGATGACTCTATGATGCTCACTCTTTCATATTTAGTGGACAGCCCATGATTCGATTTCTGCATACATCAAGAGCATAGAAAGCGAGTGCAATCCTGAATACAACAACATCATTGGTTGACTCGATGCGGTGCCAGGAACTGTGGAATCTACCGTGGGGAGGGGTGGAGGAAGAAGAGGTACTCCATGGCCCTGGCAACGACCCGCAAGTCCACCACCCTCCATTCAAGTCAAATCTTCCCCTAAACAACATGAACTTTCTCCCTCCTCTATTGCTGCTGTACCTAATTCTTTTTCATCTTCCTCTTCTCGATCCTCGTACTATTACTTGACATTGCAATGTTCCATTCTTACTACGCTAGCTGGTCTAGTATTGATTATCCTTTAGATATGTAAATGGGATCGAGTTTTTATTTGCTTAAAAAGCTATTCCTCCAACGTGACGAAACAATTTTTGTAATAATCTGGTGTTGTCCAATAGCAAGTTTGACTAGAACGATCGATCGCATATGGATCTGGCGATGATGTATATACACGACGTTTTGAGAATAAGTTCGCCTTGGGCATCGTATGCACAATGATTTGCTTGCGTAAGACACCGCTATCTACAAGCATATCCAATACATCCTTGACCTCGACATACACCAAAAGATTGTGGAATCGACGACATACATCTCGCTCAATGATACCCGGGCGTTGTAGCACACACTGAATGATCGATTCGATAATTCCTTGCAAGATGGCTCCAGTGAAGCTGCCATTGATGTCGTACCACACGCGTGGATGGATGATTGCTTTACGTATGGCGGCAAGTTTGGCGGTACGTTCAATAACTTCATCCGAGCTGGGGGCAACAATACTTGATGTCCTTGTGGGAACAATGATCCAGTGATTCAAATAGCTGGTAAGAACGTAGCGATAGGATTGAAATCCGACTTTGGCAACAAGCGGTGGTGATGCATTGCACATAATGTCCATGTACTCGTGAATTTCCTTATCACTTGCGAGCGATCCCGAACGTATTAACCCATCCTAATTATAAATGTAAATGAGCTAATGGATCTAGTGTGCGTTCCCGTTACTCTTTTTTACCTTGATTTGATGCAACGTGGCTCCCTGGTCTCCCGCACTTTCCAAAATCGCCATCATAGTCTTCAAATCAACTTGAACATTAGGCTCTTGACTCTGTAACAAGCACGTCCAATGATCCCTAAGTTCCAAGTCTTCCAGCTTCTTGAGTTGGCCATCATCCTTTGATATGGGTTGGGGTTCTTTTTGACCATCATTGTCGGGAGGTGCAGTCACCCTCAATTGAACGCTAAGGTTTGACAGCTTTTCATCTACAATGAATTTTGGGATTAGTATGGTATGGTTTTCAAGGGGTAAGCTCGATGACGAACCTATCAAACGGCTGCGATACAGCGGAATCTTGGCTTTCAGGTTGAAAATGTCCTCAAATAACAACTCCAAATTGAGCTATTACAGAAGATAGAATGAGCAATTGAGTACATCAAGACATCTGCACCTTGATCTTACCTTGTTGCAGGATACCAGGTTGATGATACACGCCATCATGCCACTGCTCACCAGCTGTGGTGAATATTTTGCAGAGTGCTTGGCCATCAGGTACCTCTCAAAGACCTTTGCTTGTTCATAAATGTTGTCAGGCATGTTACAAGCCATACGAGTAATGTATCTAATGACAAACGACATTGATAAGCTGTATAAACATAAACACCGTGCTGTCAATTTACCTCTCGGAGATGCCAAGTTGTGTACCAGGTAAGCGGCGATCCCCGCAACGTATGCCTTTGGCCAAGGAGAGTTGACTATCGCTTCTCATTGTTTCAACGGCTCTTCTTCTCAGATCCTCTGAATATTGAGTAATGACGCTGTATGCAAAGAAAGGATCGTACATCTCGTTGGGCGTGAATAGGATCATCTAAAAAGATATAAAGTGAATACATACATTTTCCTCTCTCTTGTATTCCAGCACTTACACGGTTGAAAAGCATCAGGAGCCCGAGGTCTTTTTCTTCTTCTGATATCGCTTTATCTGGTAATGTGTCGTACGTATGATCCCAGGGTGTTCGAATCGTCAACCAGTGACTGGCAAGGGCCTCTTCTTTTTGAACAAGAGCTTCGATAGTATGGAATGCATCCTCAAAGCGCTTCAAACATGATTTTTCACCCACTGGTACATAAATGTCGTATTCGGATTCAAGCTGTTGGCGGGTTGGTGGAAGTTCAGTGTTCGCCTCCAATTCCCTATGCATTATGATATTAGTATATCGAAACCTATCCATTTCATAGCAATCCTCACCCAGAAGAACTAGATTGAATTCGTCGGATAAAATATTCCAGGCACTCCAATATGTTGAAATTGATTGGATCAAGCGGATTTTCATCATGGATAGCACCATTATTGACTCCTTGCTTGTAATAGATATCCCATAAACCCGATAAATGGACAATGTGTTCAGCAATCTTCGGTATCGCCTTGAGCCTTCCTATACGATGCCGGCATCGTTCAGGCGTTCGTTCTGGCAAGACCGATTGCATACTCTTCCACATGAAACGGCTTTCAAGCCTTCGCGCCCGTGATTTCATAATGACATAGCAATAAAGTAACAGCTCATCTTCTTCCACTGTCCATTGAACACGCCTGATGCGTCGTTTTTTGAGATCATAGACGTTGATATTGTCATTCACCAAAGGTATGGAAGTTTCATCATTGAGATAGCCATCGTGATGGTCCATGTTGCTGGCTGCTTCTGCTTGCTCTTGTTCCTGCAAGAGTTGACGCGCTGTGCTGTATGTATGATGCTTTCGAAACACCTTTTTCGTGTTGACAGTGATGGCTCGAGTAGCAGGTGCTGGTCCCCTTTCACTTCCTCGGCGGCGTCTTCGTTTGCGACGACCACTGATATCTTCTTCCAGATGACGAATTGCCTGTTTGTCGAGTTTGCGAGTGAACGCAGCCTCCAAACGTCTGTAATAATTGAGAACCATCTGTAGAGGCACTTTGAGTGATCGTGCAATTTCCTTGCATTGTTGTGTGTTGGTGTATGGCGTTTCACCAGTCTTTTTGTTGACGAAGGAGTTCAAGACTTCACGTTGCTCACGAACAAACACATAATGAGAGCTCCAATTCCTTGGTGTAGCGAGTCCACGTATCACCAGTAATTCTTCATTAGACTCTGGATGGGGAGCGCCTCTTTGATCACTCGTGGCGCTTGTAGAGAAGTATTGCAAATCACTCCAATACACCAGGATATCGGATGCCATTTGAGCGGAATATTCTCGAATGATGGGGCGATCAGGAGTCCAATAATCGATGATGGGGATCTTGTCACACACCCGATAAGCTGGAGGGAAGTTGCCCAATGTTTCCTTAAAGTTCTCAATACGATTGCCATTGTCGTCGATTTGATCAAGCGCTTTGAGCAAAACCAAATGATCTAAAAGGCCGCGCAATCGACGACGAAAACGATTCTTCTCTGAAATGAGCATGATCTTGATATTCTCTGGCAGTTCAACTAGCGTCTTTTCCAAATTGGACTGATCTTGAATGTATTCACTGAGTTCATTGCTTGTGCAATAATATCCAATGGTTTGCAAACAAAGTCCGAGTTTCATGCGCATAATGATAGCAGAAGGGCGAATTGTACGTTTCTCCTGATTGATACCATCACCGCCGCTTTGAAGGAGAGCAAACAGGTATTGATGTAGCAACTTGATACGCACCCACTTTGAACCAATGAAACCATATTGGACCGCAATCATGTACCAATTGCCAGTTGTCTTCGCCACATGCATCTCTCTTCTGAGTTGACTTGCTTTCGACATGTTCTCTTTCAAAATCTTGATATCATCTCGAAGTCGTCTAGCTTCAGGGCTCTCTTCACCTCGAAGCGTGTCATGTGTATCTTCCATGCGTTCAAGTCGCTGCTCCAATCTTTCCACATCCTTGTCGAACTTTTCAAACTTGGCCATCTTGCCACGATATCCAATCTGAACGCGTTTGTGTTCCTGCTCTTCAATAAACGCTGCCATTTCTGGACCCTCTTTACTGAGATCTTTACGCACCGCAAGGATACGATTCTGAGGCTTCCCTGTGAATGTGGCAATCTCCATCGTGGTGATATAACAATGGCCATCTTGTGCCAAAGATTCAACAGTACGCCATACTGTCTTATTATCGGGGTTCCTTGCCATCTTCGAGTCACCATACTTTTCTCGATATCTCTCCAGAAATACAGCTTTCAATTCGCCACCACGCTCCAAGATACCCTTCTCATTCAATATGTCAAGCATCACATTCTTCCTCGTAATCATGTATGAATTCGCACCATCGCTAGTACGTGTATGCTTGGCAGAGGTGATGCCATCCTTTGTACGGATAACCTTGTCAGAATGCCGTGTAGTAATTCGTTGCTTTGACGGATCGTCAGTATGAGAGGAAGGCCTTGATGGCGTTTGTGGCGACTCTGCTGTAATAGGCAAAGGAGAAGGACATGTATTGTTGTTGTCTTCTCCTTGTGTCGTAGCGGGTTCAGTTGGTGAAGATTCAGCAGCAGCGGGTTGTTTGTTGGCTTCAGACTGAATTTCTGCCATGCGTTGTCGAAAGCTTTCACCTGGATTGGTTGTCATTTCTCCAATTGCTCTTGGCGCTTTTGATTGAGGGGAGGTTGTTCTACTCATTGGCGAGAAATAATCGAAAAGGTTCCTTCTTGGCGTGGTGTTTTGTCGACTTGGTGTAGTGATTTGGCGGCTTGGCGTGGTGCTTTGACGACTTGGTGTGGTGATTTGTTGACTTGATGATGGTACATGTTGATCCACATCCATAGGTGATTCAGGTACTTCATGCTGTTCTTGTGTATCTGGAACATGGGTTGACTCTTCGCGAGTAGGCTCAGTGGATGTTGCATTTTGATCTTGTGATGTCGTTGATTCTGATGGTTCATCAACATTCATTGTAGCTTCAGGCTGCTGCTGTTGTTGCTGTGTATCAGGATCATTGGTTGGTTCCTGAATAGTAGATTCTGCTGGTGCTTGGTTCTTTCTCGGTCGACCACGTGGTCTTTTTGGCTGTGGGGTATTCGTTGATCCTTCAGCAGTAGATGCCGGAGTCTTTTTTGGTCGACCTCGTGGTTTCTTTGGTTGAGGTGGTTCATTATCCTCTTGAGTCGTTGTTGTATTCGTCTGCTGTTCTTCATCCTGATCACGTGACACATCTTCGGATGTTGCTGTTTGCGCCAATGTTCTCTTTCTCGGCAAAAAGATGGATGCCAAATTGCTTTGACTTGATTGATCCGATTCGGCTGTTGCACTTGTCGATGATGATGTACTTGGACGTTCACGGCGTTTTGATGCTGGTGCTTCAGTTTCGCTGGAGGCAGCTTCATTCGCACGAGATGATTGTGGTGGTCGACCACGCTTCTTTGAAGGCGTTGTTTGCGCCGTTGTCTGCTCAGGTGATGGTTGCGTATTTCTCACATTCTTTGCAGCCTCGTGTGATAAGACTCGATTCTCAGCACAGCGATAATCAAGATACGCAAGGTCACTCTCTTTGACTGTATACTTGGGTGGTCCTGTCAACTCAATCGACTTGTTTTCGGTATGTTGCATATAGGCCTGAAGCGTATAATAGCGATAGCGTTTGATGCGTCCTTCAAATTCCAGCGATTTTTGAACCGTAAAACGAGTCGAATCCGGAGTCTTGGGTAATGAACACAACTTTTCCAATCCTTTATACAAGGCTCTCTGATCACTGTAGCCCAAGATATGTCCAAGTTCCTACATGGATAATAATAATTAGTATTGTCTTGATGGAAGGAAAAAAGTGATGGGATGTTTTTTGTACCTTTTGAGTTGCACCCGTTGTCCCGACAGAATAAAGAGCATCCAAGAGTTGTGGTTCAACCATCATATCATAATCAAGACCGGTAATGTGATCACTGTTGTCTCCTCTCGACTTGAGCACAAGGCCCACACAGCCCTTTTCCCTTCGTTCAGCATCAACGTTGGGGATGGTTTGAGATGTGGCATCGTCCATATTTGATCCTTTTCCTCCGTTGGCTACATGATCCAAGACCAATGTTAGAAATCCAATTCTTTAAATATAGAAAAAGCCTCCATACCATAGCGATGATCGATCAATTGGATAATACGAGAAGTGCCTTGCTTGGGTGGTCTCAATTTGCGAAAGATGTTTTTGCTGCATGGCTCATCCATGGAGCGGAAAAACCACTTGCGAACATACTTCTCCGCTGGATTGAATGCCTAAGTAGCAAGTAACTTAGCATGAATGGTAGCTTTGTAAGAACAATACACGTACCAGTGCCTTCAATATATCATCGGTGTACATAACATTATCCGGTGCACCATCCAATAACTTGGCCACTGCGAATGTCAATGATTTGTTGGAATATGCCACGCCAAAAGCGTTGATGTTGTAAGCAATGGGTTTCTTGGTCGATGCTGCACCCGCCTTATGCTTTTGCTCATCCGTTGTATTGAATCGTACGTGAATGCAAAGATTGGTACGGAATCCGGCGCTGACTGGTTTGCGAATACTATTAAAAAAGTGGATCAGAGAACAAGCATACAAGCATTCTAAAAGAGATCTATCTTACATGGCACCTCTGTTGGCGAGAGTTTTGACATAATGCCCAGAAGAGCGAGCATCCAATCCAAGATCTTTGGTGAGAGCTGCTTGCGTATAACCTTTATGACGAGAACGCAAGATGACACCCAAAACAATGGCCTGGTTTTCAGGTATCGGCTTCCCTGGCTATAAAGAATTCCATATAAATCAAGTGACAACTAGTCAAAAAGAATAGCAATAGACCTACCGGCAATCCCACAAACAATTGTTCCTTTTGCAATTCGGCATCAGCTACTACGCGTAGACGAGAGCCATACATGTTCTCCACTTGTTCAAATGAAAGATCCTTGATGCCATCAATACGCTGATAACCGGAAGTATCAACCACCTATTTTACCAATAGGAATTAGAATGGGCGTTGCATATTGATATACATGTAACTCACAATGGATAAACCAGACTTTGAAGGTTCAGCATTGCCATTCTCTTTTTGTTGTGGTGAGTTGTTGTTGTTGTCATCATCCGCCTCTTCAGCTTCCATATCAAAATCCTCATCATCTTCACTGGATTCATCCTCATCCTCATCTGGTTGGTATTCGTCTTCAGTTGAATCATCGTCTCCTCTGCGAGCAGTCTTTTTCTTCTTTGCCGGTTTCTTCTTCGCCTTACGTTTGGCTGCTTTGCTCTTGGCTGGTGCTTTGCCCTTTGTCTTCTTCGGTTGCACGGGTGATGATGATGCTGCTGTCTCTCCAACGGGTGATGATGGTGTTGATTCTTCATGCGTTGCTGCTGGCACAGCCTGCTCAGGGATAGTCGCTTCAGTTGTCAAGGTGTCTGTTGCACTAGGCGCGTCGTTATTCTGATCCACTTGCATTGCATCGATCGACGTGTCGTGGAAAAAGTTGAGTTGTGGTTCGTTCACAATGAAGGGCCATATGAGCTGTTTATATGCATCGTCTACGTTGGGCGTAACTTGGGTTGGAAGATTGAGATCATGGACCGTTTTGGTTGCTGTTTGCTGTACAAGCTGCCACAATCCATCGCGAGTAACACCTATCAACGGGGACATGAGATAGAGAAGAGACAAGGGAGACAACGAAAAGTACCTGCAGGGCCCTCGATCGCAATCTCAATCTTGGTTTGCGACACTATGACATCGAGCATTCTTCACAGCGCAGTGACACTACAGGAAGAAGGGAAAATGAATTCCTGCCCAAAATTAAAGCGTGGGTGACTCGAGTCACATGACACCAAGGTGATTGGATAAATGTTGCAGGACAAAACATGTACACATACATTGTTGCCATAGTGTCCATTGTCATTGTAGATGAATGAATGTATTGTTTCTTATTGACATCATAAAGGAGGCTGCATACTACTACTACTACTACATATACTTTTTGAATGATGATTCTAAACAAGTGATGGTGTGGTGTTGTTGGGTCGAGTCTTTTGCATGATTAGAAAGAAGATAAGGACGCAAGATGAAGCGTCGTGCTCAATAAAGATGAAGAAATATAAAGGCTATATCTTGACGGATCTAAGCGATGGAGGTGTTGCCCATTCTATATTGGTGACGGAAGGCATACTGGAACGACGAAAATGACGTGGTGATGATGGATGATGATGCTTCTTTTTTTGTTGCTGTTGCTGTCTATGATGCTGTTGTTGTTGCTGGTGTTTGGCACATGATCGAGAAATATTATCCATGGATCTTTGGGGTTCCAAAGCATGTTTTCCAAAGGTGAAATGACTGTTTACAAAATCATGGAGAGATGATGTGGAGCTGCCACTACTGCTACCGCTGGAACTGGCATGACTAATTGAGCTGAGTCGAGTAGAGGATGCACTCCATGTTTTGTATTCTCGCTTAGGCCCACCAACGCCTCCTGTACATGAGCGAGTTTGTCTTGGGGTTGGCGTTAACAACAATGAGCTGGATTGCTGTTGCTGTTGTTGATGATGATGATTCAAGTGACGATGAACCGAGCTGGTAGATGATTGAGGAATATGTTGATCCAAAGAAGCTTCCAAGGAAGCTAACGAGTACGAATGAATGGGTGAATGGTATGCATAACCTTGAGGTAAACCAAGTTTTCGTGGCATCCTTCCAAACACTTGAGACGAATTCATAGCTTCTCCTTGCACCATACGTAGGTATTGTTGTTCATCAAAGAGCTTGAGTGCAGCCCATGCTGGATTGAGGAATGCAAATTTCTTTTTGAGCAAGCCAAGTCGTTCTAAAAGGTAATGTGAGCATACAATGACCATGTAAGGGTAGCGTTTATATAAAATACTTACGTTTGCCTATGCCACCTTGTGAATGGATACCATGAAGAGGCTTGTCAGGTGCAGGCATAGTTCCTTTGGTACCTTGGCGTAATGGCGCTTTGCCCTTGACAAGACGGCAAATGTTACGTGCAATACACACACCAGCTAACGTTGCAGCATAGCCTGTCTTTTCTTCAATGACATTGGTAACATCACCACCTGCAAAAATATGGGGGCACTTGTAGTGATCGATTTGTAACGAGGGCTTGACCATGATACGACCCCAGCTGTCAACACAAGCATCCAGCTCACCGCTGTTTTGCAAAATTTGGCTATTGGGTCGGGTTCCAGTAGCCATAAAGACCTTGTCATATCCACTGTAAATACGTCCACTTGCTCCAAGATAGTTGCCACCATTTTCGGTTCCTTCTAGATCGACAATACGATCATTGCAAATGACTTCGATACCAAGATTTTGGAGATAATCCATGGCCCGCTCTCGTTGGTAATCATCTGTGCGCCGAATGATCTTGTCATGTGATTCAACAAGAGTAATTTCTTTACGAGGATACTTTCCAGGGAAGGTACGAAGAGCAATTTCGGATGCCAACTCACAACCCACAAGTCCACCACCTAAGTAAGCATGATGGTCATTGTTAGTATACATAAAAAGTAGTAGCAGTGATAGTAGTATTACTACTCACCCACGATCAAAATACGTCGTGCGTTGATAAGTTCGGCATTCACTTGCTCAAGACCCGTAATGCGATATAGCACAGACATGTCGGTGGATTTTAGCTGGGATGAATATGAGCTTCCAGTGGCGACTACAAGGTAATCAAAGTCAACCTAATCATTCCATGTAAGCTGCATGTACGTGTTATGGCGTCGTGTTTTACTACTTGCCGTTTCACCATTCACTTGAAGTGATTTGACGTCATCGTTGACATTGCTTGCAAAGCCAATAAGTACTCTGCCATTCTTGACGTATGAATCATGTCGTACACGCATCGAGCTTGATTCTTCAGGGTTGACGAGCTTCTTTATGATACCGGGGGTATACTCAAATGAATCTAATAGGTCCAATGCTCATTAGCTCACTTTATCCTTTCAGGTAATAGGGCATTATTACCTTTTGTATCAATAACGGTGACATGGAAAAGAGGCATTGGGTCTAAAATGGATGCCACTGTGAAGCCCTATTTGAAAATAGGAGTCAATCACTCGAATCTCAAAAGTCGTAACACGTTACTTACCGTGAAACCACCACCCACAATGACAACTCGAATCTGTGGCTTGCTAGGACCATGATCAAAATCACTATCAACTTGTTAGTACCATCATCTAATTGACATTGATAATTGAATTCACGTACGAAATATCGAGCTGCTTCAAGCGAATAAAATCGTCCAATTTGTTGCGCTATAGGAACCCGATGGCATCAATTAGTGAAAAGAGCCATGATGATGATGATGATGCTACAATTCAATGCATACCAAATCGGCCAACACTTGTCGTTCGGTCTCTTCCAAGATCTTGACAGCATCTTCACGTCGTATAATGGCCCAATGAAGTCCTTCCATGTCTTGTTCCACCTGTTCTTTGGTGGTGACACTATGCAGTTTCAGATTGGCATTGTCGGAAAGGAACGATTTGTAAATTCTAACAGCGACCAAGGCACGTGGAATTTAAGCATTTGAAACACATTGCCGCATTCGCTCTCTCCCTCTCCATACCTATTCAACGCGACTTCAAAGTTTGTGAATGAATTGTCATATCGCATTTGTGATATTGCTCCAATGAATAAGAGGTTTTCGTGTGCATGGATTTGTCGTAGGTAAGATTCAAAGGAATGTAATAGCTTTGGCTCTGAAAGTACGTCATGGAGTAAATCCTCGGATTTGGATGCCATGACGAGTGGATAAAAAAGTTGCTTTGTTTAAGGGTGCATGGTCATGGCGTAGTATTTAAAGCTGAAAAAAGTTCCTTGGCGAATAGAAGGGACAGCAAGTGGCGTGTTAACACAAATCGCATGATTTTCGAAGCCAATCAATTAGGCAACTTTTGCACTACCAGCTTGAATGCTTACTTTTATGGTAGATTTCAAAATCCACGCGCACCAACATCATCGGGATCAATCCAGGTCCTGAAGAATCATCCGTAATGAGGAAATAGATTGAATGACGCAAGCTGATGATCATAGTAGAATCCACTACCACAGCCAGAGCGATGATGTTTCTTTTTCGTTACGAACGAAATGATGGCAGCGATACAAGTAAACAAGTTGTAAACAACCTTTGTTGACCCCTCAGTATAAACTTTGTATTACCTATGACGAAGCATGGAACTGATCGAGACATTACGATGACAAGTGAGTCTTACAAACAACAACTTTATCCTGCACACGCTCAAAAAAACTTTCATCAGATCATGTTATCCGCGCATCTCGGCCCGGTTGCGGAATAACAATACAGCATTTGAATCATGCGGTTCATGCCCCATGCGTGCTGAGGAGCACATGGTTGACAGCGATATCATGTGTCATCATGCATTGTTCCGTCTAAGGCATTTGGACCCAAAGATTGTGTGCTCTCTCTTTGTTCCTTCGTTTTTACCCCAGGCGATCCATTTTGCTGGTGCATCATATTACGATTACACCCTCCTCCTGTTATTTGCTCTTTTGGGTCAATAAGATCTTGTCATTGTTAATGTAAAATAGCATGCAGACTACAATGTATAAACATGACTACCATGTACTAGCGCGTAACAGTGTACACATTTGGCGTATTTGGCATGTTAAAATAGGGCGACATGTTAGCTTTTTATACATGCTTGGATATCATTGGCTGGGTCGGGTGTTTTGCCACGAGTAGCCGGATGTACTCAAGGTAATCTTAGTCACAAAATCGTTATTGCCAATACATGTAGTTGACATCATCAGGAGAGTGGTTTTTGGTGTAGGATGTAAGGTGATGATGGATAATAGTAGTAACAAGATGAAGCGTGTCTTTGTAATTGATCAAGAGGTGTAGTGGGTGCCTGGTGGCATGATGGGGCTAGGGTCATAGAGTAGTAATCTACGTATCTCATTGTTTCTACATAGCACCAAGTGAGCGGTCGTAGTAAGTAGTCTCTCATTGTTTCTGTGATAATGGATCCAGGAATTGGAGGAGGAATTGGAGGAGGAGGTCGAGTGGAGTGAGAAAACCAAGGTCGAGCTTTGTCTATTTTTGGATTTGGTGCACCGTCCTGGTAATTAATTCTATCCTTTACACTCCTTTTTTATTCACCCACACCCACACCCCACATCAACCACCCATCTCTGCTGTCATGAAGCTGCTCGACAGTAATGTGGGTTTCCGAATTGCAGCTGCGGCTGTTCTCCTTCTCTCAACAGTAACTCATGCGGCCGAAAAAGACTCGTCATCTACCGATCCTTGTGCTGCCATTGCCGGCAAAACGACTGCCAGTTTCAAAGAAGCAAAAGCATGTCTCGACCACTTTCCCTTCAACAAGGATTTTGCAGATCAAACCATCGACACAGTGCGAAAAGTGACCAACCATCTTTACGTCTTCAATGTATATATCAACATGCGCGTGTAAAAGTCAATAGGTTGTTGATGATCCTTTTTTCTACATCTAGGAAATTGCTGCTTCTCCACCCAACGTGGAAGGTCTTGAAGTGGTTCCTGTCAACATTTCCTATGGCCTTGACATCATCAAGAATCAAAAGTGGAAGTCTGATCGAGAATTCCAAGATGCCGTTGCTTTGCTTTTGGATAAAGTGCAAGATGCCCACTTGGTACGTGACAAAGAAAAACGAACCAACTAGAGATCACTCAATAACATGCCATGTTGCACATAGGTCTATTCGCCATTTTGCTATCGTCAATTTATCTTTTGGCAACCGATTCAGCTCAATTCTTTGATCCGCAACCAACGCACCGTTGTCAATGTTGCTTATATCAAGGATGATATTTGGCCTGATGCTAAGAAATCATGGGTCGGATGCGAAGTCACCCATATCGACGATCGTGAAGCACTTGATATGATTGTCGATTACGCCGTCAACAACAATGGTGAAAGCAAAGATGTCAACACCTGTTTCAACAACATTGTCAACACCAAGAGCTATTTCCATGGTTGGGATGATGGCGCTGATGATTTGGGTTACCATCGTTTCTTGCCCGCACAAGAAGTCCATTCTTACACAATGCGTTGTCCAAAGAAGGGCACTGAGCCAAAGGATGAAGATTACGATGAACCTTTCACTGTCAAAGTACCATGGATTGCCGAAGTGCCACGTGGTTTTAGCGATGCTTCTTCTTATTGGGACAACTATTGTCAATCAGCTTATTCAACATCATCCTTGGCTCGTCGTAATGCAGCATGGACCACTGAAATCACCGATGAACTTAAGCGTATGCATGAAGGACAAGCCTTTGATTTATCGCCCAACAACAATGCTGTGGGTGGTAGCGATGGCCGCTATGTTGAATTCATCGAATTGGATCACAACGTCGGTGTCATTGATATCCAAAGCTTTTCTATTGCCAGTCAAGATCGTGATGCCTTTGTCAAGAACTTTACAGAAGGCTTGGAAGAATTTGAAAAGAAGGGCGTCGAGAAGATTATCCTTGATCTATCACAAAATGGTGGCGGCGATGCATGTGCTGGTGAATTCATCATCAACTCATTCTTCGAATCGACCCCTGATTACTTGTCCGATGTCAAATACTCGTCATTCTTGGAACGTGTGATCAGCAAGGCTTACTCGCAACAAGCAACAAAGTGGTATGATTATCGTGCTGAAGGCTATCCTGCTGGCAGCGATCAATGGTACAAGGACACCGTCACTTACAAGCGTGGCAAAGAACAAGTCAAGTTTTCAAAGCCTATCACTCTCAGCTGTGATAGCTGGAATGCTGGTGTCAAACCATACAAGAACTCGAAATGGAAGGCTTCTGCTATCATGATCCTCTCTGATGGTCGATGTGGTTCTACTTGTGCTATTGTGGCTTCTCGTTTGCATTTGTCTCACAAGGTGCCTGCTATGGGCTTTGGCGGTATCCGTGGCAACAGCATGCAATTCGCCTCTTTCCCTGGTGGTGAAAGTGAACGTCTCTCTGGTTTCTTGATGGATTTACAAAGCCTTGGATTGCAAGATGATCCCGATGCCCCCGAACCTTTCCCTGAAAGAGCCGATATGGGTTGGACCTTCCGTGAAGTATATCGTCCCATGGAAAAGAAGGACATTGGCAACGAGGAATACTTGCTTGAATACAGCGTCAACAATGCTGATTGCAGAATGTATTTCAATGATGAGAATGCCGATAACGTCAAGGAGCTCTGGCGACAAGCAGCACAGTTGATGCTCAATGATGAATGTCCTTTGCAAGAGTAGATAGTTCATATGTAATTCTACTTAGATATCGTTTTGTACTTTTTATCTTATTCTGTCAGTGTGCTTGTTATTCCCCCCCTCCCCTTTATTCTCTTCAATCCCGTCTCTCTCCTCCCGCCCCCCCAATTGTGTCTATTCTTATCCGCTGATAAAAACAATCAATCCTTTTCATTGTTATCTTCCGATTCAAATGAAACCATCCTTTTTCTTCTTGGATTTTGATGGAAAGTGAATCCAAAACTGCTACTACTACTTGCTAAGCTATGTTACACCAGGTATTTCTATATAAGCAGGAAATATACTTGTAGGGTTGACGACTGGGAGAATACCAAGTACTCGCAGCGATGTAGCCAAACTTTTTTCAATCCCAATGAATAAACCATTTAGCTTGATACACTTTTATAAACAAAGATCATCTTTTTTTATATAATGTTGTAGTTGATTTAGGAGGAGGTGGTGATGGTGGAGGAGCAACGAGCATAGAGATTTGTGTGTGTGTTGAGGGGAGGAGGCTACTATAGTAGTAGTAGTAGCAGTAGGAGGCGCATAATAGAAATCTGACGGGGTGAGTGCGTGTGGCACACAAAATAGCAAGGCTCGAATTTCAGGCAGTCGCCACACTTGCTTCCTGTTACATGATGGGCAATCCAATTACGGTTCAAATAAGACCTTCCAATGGCCAAGTCTTTCAAGTGGAATTCGATCCAGAGACCACCACAGTAAAGCAGCTCAAGGAGATAATTGCCGAGAAACGTAATGGCGTCAATGCGGATAGTCTGAAGCTCGTTTACTCGGGAAGGATACTCAAGGACGACGATCTGTGTACTACTTGCAGTACGTTCATTCAATAGTAGTATCTGGATGACGCTATGAGACTAATGGATTGGTTTGCTTTTCAGAGATTGACCAAGGTCATACTATCCATATGGTTGTATCCAACGCAAGGTCGTCGTCGTCGTCGTCTTCGTCACCGACATCCTCAGCAACTTCACCCAATATCAACAATACGACTACAACACCTACTACAACTAGTGCCACTACTACTTCCTCCTCCACCACCAACACTACCGCCAACAACAACAACAACAGCAACAGCAGCAATCAAACGAACACTAATCCTCTCTTCCCCGGATTCGGTGGGTTTCCTGGATTGGATGGAGCTGGCAGCAATGATCTCTTTGGACGTGGTGGTGCTGGTTCCATGATGGATCCTGAATACATGCAACAAATGATGGACTCTCCTATGATGCAAAGTCTTTTAAACAACACAGGTAATGGGGGGGGGAGTGGATGATGATCATGATATGAGAAAAAAAAGCTTAATACTTTGTATTGTTACAGATTTCGTACGCTCCATCATCATGAGTAACCCTCAAATGCGGACACTCATTGAAGAAAACCCCGAGATTGGTCACGTTATTAATGATCCAGCGTTCCTGAGACAATCGATAGAAATGATGCGGTAAGTATAAGGTTCTTTATATATACAATACCTCTTTTTTACTTACGTCATTGAATAGGAATCCAGAATTGATGCGACAAATGCAAAGAAGTAATGATCGAGCAATATCCAATATAGAGGTGAGTATCTTTGACGAGGAGGTGGTGTATTATTTAGCATGGTATTGAATGGGGGTCGTGTTGTCATCTTAGGCACTCCCTGGAGGTTTCAATCATCTTCGACAAATGTACAATACTTTCCGTGATCCAATGGAATCCGTATCACAAACAGACAGCCAAGCTTCGGAAGAAGCCAATCAACGACTAGCCCAGCAATTGAATGTAACAAGTATTCCAGGTACGGCATGGATAAGCGACATTATTATTCCAAAGAGAACCTTAACAAGCCATGGTCAATAGAGAATCAACTCAACACCCAAGCGCTTCCTAATCCATGGGCTCCTCGAACATCCCAATCGAATCAGGCTTCATCAACACCGAGTGGTGGTGGGAATATGTCATCTACCAATATGGGTGGTATGAATCCTTTTGCTGGTAGGTGGATGGACATGATCTCTATGCTTCTTTTTTTATAATAACACTTTTTGATTCGATAGGAATGCCAATGCTTCCTCCTTTTATGGCACCACAGCAACAGCAACAACAGCAGCAGCAATCCTCCACGGATAATGGATCACAAAACAACAACAATACAGCACAGCAACAAGTACCATTTTGGGCTGATCCAGGCTTTATTCAAGCTAGTATGCGTTTACAAGCCATGATGGATTCTCAACGGCAAGGTGGTGGTAACCAACAGCAACCTTCACCCATGTTTAATGCATTCCCTGGACTTTTTGGAGATATGGGGTATGGATACAGATCCCTTGCTTTGCTATCTTTTATTAATCCTATTATGTATCATAGCAACCAAAACACAAGTGCTGCAGCAGGTACGGGTGCTGGTAGTGCGCCGGCTGAACCACCAGAAACACGCTTTCGAACACAATTGGAACAACTTGAAGAGATGGGTTTTTCGGAGCGACAGGCCAATGTGCGAGCATTGTTAGCGACAGGCGGCAACGTTGAAGCTGCTATTGAATATCTTTTGTCTAATTAGTTATGAGCAAGCCATCATCATCCGTTATTGATTAAAGCATAGCCATGTTACAAATAATCACTTCAAAGGTTGTATGTGTAAAAAGAAAACGAGTGCTATTCTCTTTTAAAAGCCTTTATTTGACATCATAAGCTAAATCAGTTCGAGGTATTTTCACAGCTCCTTCATCCTGCTATGAGAGAAAGAGGTTGATGAGAATGAGACAAGGTCATTATTGATTCCCAAAAAAGAAACTTACATCTGCATACGATTCGTGTTTACGTTTTACACCTTGATCACTCAGCATCGTCGTCAAAGCATCCGATACTGCACCATCATCATCACCATGATCGGACATGAGCGTACCACTCTTGACAGCATCGGCATGACATGTAGCATGATATATCTATAATAGGGAAAATGTACAGAAAAAGGGGGTATAAGCATAAATATACAAGAACACATACACAAAGACATGCATCCATAAGCACGCACGCACGCACACACACACATTCTCTCTCTTTGCCTCTTCGCCTCCCCCCCCCCAATGCACCCATCCAAACAAACAAAAGGGTGCACGATCCCATTTTTACTGACCGTGTTATCCACAAGTACAGCATTCTTGTACATCCACTCTTCCTCATCGTCATTCCAGAAATCCACGAATCTCTCGCCACAAATAGGACATGGCTTTCGATTATTCTCATCAGGCATAACAACCATTTGGCTATCTGGACCTATCGTTTCGGATCCAGCTTGTGCTGAAGGCGATCCTCCCACGTTTCCATGCTGATGTGCGCTGCCACTGCCGCTGGTGCTATCAGTGAGAAAAGTCGGTGCTACATACACATTTATATGAGTTTGATAGGGCATCTCCAAACATGTAAAAAATGAAAAAGGAGGTTTACCTTGATGACTAGCCAATTCACCACCAGCACCACTGATCCATTCATCTTCTGTTACAAACCAGGATCGAGATAAACCACGCTTGACACGTTCCTTCATACGTCGATTTTGCCGGAAATGAGAATCCAAATGTGCATCCATCTTGGATTGGCCTTGCTCTGTTTTTGGATATCGGAAGCCACATTGTTTGCATTGAAGTGGTAGCCCCGAATACAGCACTTCCACTGCGCCTGGTCGAGCTCTGCAAGGGAAAGCCATGAAAGCACAACAAAATTTATAAAGTGATAATCAGTTCTATGTCCCATCCTTTTCCCATGTTCTAGCAATACACACATTTGCAAGTCTTTACTCTCCAATCGTATGCCCGCCGTCGCTGAATGTTGTGGTGGTGTTGAAATAGATGCATGTTGTTGCTGTTCTTGAATCATAGGAGGCGGCGTAGGGGTGCTGACAACATTACTTGGTGTACCTCCTTGAAGAATACCAAGGGAAGTCAAACCTTGCAAAAGTTCAGTTGTGTTGATAGCAGGTGCTTTTGGTTCTGAAGTGGCTGTTGTTGTTGGTGGAAAAGGTCCTCCCATAGGTGGTGTGCCTTTAGCTTCAGCCATATGAGATGCTGTTGATGGTGCCTGTTGTTGCTGTGGTGGTATTGATGTAGGTGGTGGTGGAGTAGCAGCAGCTGAAGTAGGTGCATAAGCAAGTCTTCCAGTTTGAGCAGGAGGTGCACTCATGATTTGATCAATTTGATGTTGAAATGACGCAGCTTGTGTGGCAGGCAATCCAGGGAGAATAGCCTGGATCTAATGAAAAGGGTCAATGACATAAACGATCTCCCTTTTTTTCTACACATCTTGTTTTACCTGAGAAAACAATTGTGATAATTGTTGAGGTCCTTCTTTGGGTCCATTGGGTTTTGCCGTTGGTGAATCCTGCTTTGCTGGAGACGCCATATTAAAAGAAGGCTGTTGTCGTTGTCGATCAGGATAATCAGATCGTGTGCGTGGATCACGTGAACCAGGCTTTTTTTTCCATATACATTGATCAGTTTCCATTACATGGTATACGCCTATCTCCATTCTTACCGCAGGTACAAAGTTGGGATTAACGTGGATATGTTGATTCCGTTGTTGCTGTTGTTGCTGTTGTTGTTGAGGAAGAGGGTGTTTGGGACGTGGTGATTGATGCATAGGTTGAGCACCTTGACGTTCTCGCATAAAATTGACAGGACGTTCAATGGATTCGATCACATGTCGTGAAAATACAGGATGACCATTAGGCAAACCATTCTTCCATGTCTGTAACAGTCGTTCAAAGCTTCTTCGTGTTTGTGGATCAGTGAGTGTATAAGCATCCATGAAGGTCGATACAATATTTCTTGCGAAATGGTCTATGTATACACCTCCTACATTCTTACAAATCGAATCAATTAAATATAGAATGGGAAGCTTCTGGCCGGGCGCGTTCTGGATATAAAGAGGAGAGAGACATTTGCGTTAATCTTTTCTGCATTCGAGAAAAGGGTAAAAGAAAAAAAAGAGAAGAAGAAAAGAAGAAGATAGGGGATATCAAAGGTCATTTGTCTGATGATGATCGATGGTGGTAGTGGTGGTAGTGGTGGTTGCTAGGGCTTTTATTCCCCCTTTTTATTCTTGTGTGTGTGCGTAGAAGTAGTAGTAATAGCAAACAAAGGAAGACAAAGAAAAACTCGTTCTCTGCCCAGGAAGTACCCCCCCAAGTGGAAAAAGCACCCATTCCTTGTGTGTGTGATCCCATCCCCCACCTCTCTTCGCACATAAATCCATCCAAAACTACTACCGGTATCTTGGTTTACTTACGTGTCTAATCTGCTGCTCAATTTCCCGGACAATCGCACCTGCAGCATGCTGGTTCTCTTGTGCCATGATGGTAAGGTTGGTAATGATTGGCTTGCTGTTGAAGGTCAATTCATATAGTGCCTGTCGGTAGTTTCTTCTTGCTGTCTCTGGATCTTGGGTGAAGCCCGGTTGCTGTGGTTGCTTAGATGAAGTATGCTGACCGAATGTGCTCATGGTTGGCATATTGTTCGGTAAGGACATTGAGAGATTTCAACAATAGAAGGGCCAAGGCTGTTTATACTTGAGGGTTGCATAGAAGTATGGATTAGTTTACAGCTGGTATCCTAGACGTATCCACCTTATTATTACCTTGTAACAACAACAATGATAAAAGAAGAGTAGGAAGGAGGGGCGAGGTGGAAGACAAAATATCGGCCTTTAAACCCAGTTCAAAGTCTCTTTCTCCTCCTGATCACACAGCTTGATGCTCGTACAACCTGTAATATGCCTTTATACACCTTGTTATTGGGATATAAAAAAGGAAAATGGGAACCATAGCAAAAGAGGTACATTTTAATGTGCGTAAATGAGATGGCTCGAACAAAGATGCCATAGATGTGATTACTCACCTAGGGTGTTGAGCATGGGTGATACTCTTAGTAGGACAATATTTAGTGACGCATGAGTGGTGAATCTACCCTCGAATGTGTTAGCTTCCATAAAAAAATCATGATGACTTATAAAGAGGGCTCCATCAATGAAGTTAATGGATGAAGCACAAGGTTGCAACAAAGAAGAGGAGGGCACTACTACTAGATACATGGTGGCAGAGGTAGTCAGTTGGCAAGGAAAAGACGCAACTACCCAGACACATGCATTATCCTTGGCCAATTGCTGATGTTTGGTTTCATGGAAATGACGCTTCTTGGGCAATAGCTTGCCATGTATACATGAAGATGCTATCATCTCGATATCTACTACTAGAGGATTTATGGCTGCCAGCATACATTGAAACAAAGCGTAAGCAATAATGATGGATGTCAAATCAGGGAAGAGCGATAATGTATTTTTAATTTGAATGAAAGAAAGCATGAATGGAAAGCGTGTCAATTTGCTAGACGACTCATCCATCGATAACAAGTGTAGCTTTATTATTTGAAGAACGGAAGAGAGACTCATCTACTTGAACAGGACCTCGCTTGCGGACATGTAATTTCTCCGCTTGGCCGCTGGTTGCAAAAATGCCCTGCCAAAGGGACCCATTGATCCTTCCTTTTTGTCCATACTAGTATCATGGAAGCTGTCCAGACTTTTGGTCGCAAGGTGTGTTGAAACGAGGATAGACAACAAACGATGGATGGATGGATGAATGGATACATGGATTGGATGGATTGGATGGAAGAGTAAGGGAGCCATGGAAACGGTATCCAGCCACCCACATGTATACACACACACACGCACACTCGAGTCAACGTCAACAACAACAGCAACTTCTTGTTCACCAAAAGAGTCGTCGGATTCCTTTCCCTACCACCTACTACTATTATTCCAACAGCTACCAATGCTCCCATTCAATCCATCTTCAATACCATATATGCCATCGTTTATTGTGGGGTATGTGCATGCCAACAGGGTGACTAAATACGAAATGTTCATGTAGAAAACTGCTACCGCCGTTGCCCACTGCAAGCGTGGCCGTGGTCTTATCCGCGTGAATGGTTCTCCTCTTGAGCTCTTGGAGCCTGAGATTCTCAAGTTCAAGGTCTACGAAGTTGTCCTTCTCCTTGGTGAGGAGCGTTTCGCCAACGTTGACATCCGTCTTCGTGTCAAGGGTGGTGGTGTTACCTCCCAAGTCTATGCTCTTCGTCAAGCTCTTGCCAAGGCTATCGTTGCCTTCTACCAAAAGTTCGTCGATGAAGCCTCCAAGAAGGAGATCAAGGAGACTCTCGTCCAATACGACCGTACCTTGCTCGTCGCTGATCCCCGTCGTTGCGAGCCCAAGAAGTTCGCTGGTCCTGGTGCCCGTGCCCGCTACCAAAAGTCTTACCGTTAAAGAAAATGTTCTTTTGGCTTTTGCCACCTATTCTCTTTCAATTGTTATGATAAAGAAAGGGCAGAGCTACATTGGTTTTACTCGCATTGTACACAACGCACACGTATTTATATATGTATATTGATATTGATGATGCAGGGAGGAGAAGAAAATGATGTACGTAAAAGGATTGTATATTACGGTATACGGTATGAGAACAAAAGATACAGAGAGAGAGAGAGGATGTTGGGTGTAATTTAACAACTGCATGACTCGTAATAACTGCCTCCATTTTGCTGTTGTTGTGTGGGTGTTACTCGTACCGTGGATGATGGTGACATTTTCTTTTGCCATAAGCTTGGCGTTTCTATGACCTATATGGAGATGATGGTTACCACGTTGCCATAGAAATTGTGTCTCTTTCCTATCTTTACCTTGGTAACCAGTTCTTCAAATGCTTCCTTTACCCCCACATTGGTCTTGGCGCTGCATTCGACGAACAATGTCTGTAACTTGCGTGCCATTTCTGCTCCTTCCTTGTAAGTCACTGCTCGAGAAGATTCCTGCAAAAAGTACAATCAGCCTATTGGGACTAAAAAGCACATTGTAACGTCTTCATCCACATACCTTATCCACCTTGTTGCCCACAATCATCTTGACAACATCTGGGCTTGAACAATAGGTATTGACTTCCTTCCACCACGTGTCAAGAGCTTCAAAGGATTCACGGCTGCTTACATCATAGACTAAAATCACATGAATATTCATCCCCATCACAAGTGAAAAAGGAAAATGGGTCTGTCTTACCTAAGATCACGCCTTGAGCACCACGATAATAGGATGAAGTCAATGTACGGAAACGTTCTTGACCAGCTGTATCCTGATAAAGGAAAAAGCAATGCATAAAGACGCGAGTTCTCTTGTTGAATAAACCCAAGTCCTTCCTTACCCATATGGTCAACTTGTATTTCTGATCGTCCACATCCATCATGGCTACTTTGAAATCGACACCTGCAATGACCAGAAACAAGTTGCTCGGTTAAAAGACGTAGATGGATACAACGTGTGTCGCATGAGATTACCAATGGTAGCAGAGACTTCTTCTTGTGGTAGAAAAGTGTCATCTGTAAAACGCAACAGCAAAGAGCTTTTGCCGACGTTGGAGTTGCCAATGAGGAGTAATTTGAGTGTTGGTATTTCACGAGCCATATGTGTGAAAAAGAGAAAGAGAAACAATCATGGTTTGAGCTACACCAAAAAGCATAACAATCCCCAGTGATTCAACTGCGGAGGAGTCACTCTTGGACCCCATCACATGCTGCCATACAATCCATAGCAACTAGACACCCCGATATACTTTATATTGGATGCTCGACAATGATAATAAAACTCTTGCGTTATGAACTAGCCACCGATGCTGCTGGTACTTTCGATAGTGTTCCCTCCTTTCACTATGTAGATGGTCACATGTGCTCTCCTGTTGTACCCACAAAGAGCACTATTGATTTTAGAATGACGCAAGAATGGGTTCATTGCGTTAACAGAGTTACAGTTCTCTGGCACATCTTCCTCTGCTATTAGTAAGTTTCATAACATAAAGGCTTATCTGTAAGCAAGAACAACTGCAATAGCAGCTCGCCACATGATGTTGCAGCACAAATCAGGTATCCTGGTTACACAAACCGCCAGCATAAATGTGGTCACGAGAAACATAAACGTTTCATTGCTCGACCTTTTCGACGGCAAAGACATCAACAACTTGATTGCGATCATCGCTCAGGATGCTGAGAAAGCAAGTCGATCGGCATTTTGCTTGCCATGCATCCTCGCATCTGTTCTTTTTCCAACGAATGTATAACGCTACAAGCCGCTATATCACTAATGAAATACTACACCATGCACCTCATAAAACACGATATACCACTTATCCATCCATCTCTACTAAAAAGGGATCAATCTTCAAAAATCCAAAACAATGCGTGTGGGGAATGTGATCAATGAAATGCTTATATTCATCTTGGATGCAAAACAGATAAATGCAATATTATAAAGTACAGGGATGCTTAACTAGTCTTTTTGTTATGATTGATGTAACCGATACCAACGCAGGTCATCAATGTGGTGTTGGATGCTTCATCCACCTTGATCTTGTATGATACGCCGAAAAATGCCTTGAGATCTCGCAGGTATTGAATGCTATGTACAACAGCGCTCGATGAGTCCCTCCATACCATACCATATCATACCAGCTATCCCCTACTTACGTAAAAGGAGTCAATTGACCAATGCGAATCTTGCTCACGTCTTCGGGACATAGCACCATCAATAATAGGTTGAGCCATTGACTTGTTGTATCCACACAGCCACCTTTGCTGACTTCACGTAAAAGAATCTTTGATGCCAACAAGCCCACATCTTCAGCTGTCATGCCTGCCTCTGCTGCCTTTTCACCCGAAATCAATGCACCTGTCGTCGACTCGGCTACTAAGCTCAATGCAAATCCAGGAGATCTAAACCATCATCACCATCATCATGAGTCCTCATTTCCTCCTCATCCAAATGTGTGTGTGTGTATACATACTTTCCACTCTCGGCACCTTTGTATACATCCGTATAGATATAAACATCGGGAATGTATCGATTCAACAAGGAACGAGCCGATTCCACCATACGATTGGCCGTTTGAGGCGAGACACGTGTACAATAAGCGATACCACGAATGCGTTTGATCCTTCCTTCGTCAATGTATTGAACTGGTTTCAGTTGTCGTACGCTACAGCAGTTGAAAACGATTTCACCGCCTCCCAGAGGTGGTGCACCACGTTTTGTAATCTTGAAAAAAACCACCCCGTGATGAGTTTATCATTCCGTGTGGTGCCTGATATAACCATTTACCTTTAATTCCACATGCTCCTCGATCCCAAATCGTTTTAATTGTGGTAGCAGGACTGTACGAATGATATCCACCTAAATAGCAACTCTTGTTAGGACCAGAGCCCAATGATTGGATACTTTTACACTTACCGAGTTATCGATATGGTCTGTTGTGATGCCTCTCAATATCAACATGAATGGCTTTTTTGAAAATGGGGCGAGTGCAATCATAGGTTCGAGATAATAGCTGATGGATCGGTCTGTGCCACAATCATGTTCAATACGTCCACCTTGAATAGCTCCTGGTTTATACAGCACCGAGGTACCGGTATAGTTGATCTCGATCGTGGAGCCGTTTGTCACCTTTTCAAGCAATCGTAAAAAGTTGGCTTCGTGGTCGCGAATACCAGGATCGTGATCGTCCGAGCGGATCTTATCAATGCGAACCACTTTTCCACTGAGTGTGGCGAGAATAAGTCGTTGCCGTAAGTAATTGTGACCCTCGAACTTGAGTAGCTTTGACATTGTGGGCAAACGAAAAGAGAAAAAGCTTGATTGACTTTTTTGTTCAAGGACCGCTTTGGCAAGTGAGCAGCCTTTAATTCCGCCTCCTCCCCACCTTCCCAACCAGCCTCAGAGAGAGAGAGAGCATAGCATTGCATTGTATACTCTTTATTATAGTGTCATTCTATTATCATTTAGCTTCCTTTACACCTTTCTTCCTTTATCAGATCCATTCTATTAGTATAGATGATATGGCCAACACTTAGCTGAATCATTACATCACAAGATGGCATCACCAGCCCTCTAATAAAACATAGACACGTCAAACAATATATAATGCACTTGAACCAGCGGTCGAACATGGGTAAACGTGGTATGGTGTGTGCGTGTGTGGATATATAGAGAGAGAGATCAAAACTCTTTATAAAGGTTTCATTTTTAGTCATCTCGTCGCCGTGAAGAGGAATTGTATCTAGAGCCATAGTTGGGGCGATAGGAATCCATGTGGGAGCGAGGATATGAATAAGGGTCGTAATATCGATCATTGCGATATCGCTTGTCGTTGGTGGTGGGGGTGGTGGCGCGAGGAGAGGAAGAAGAATGGGGGCGATCACGAAGGGAACTGTCATTGGTCGATCGACGCAATGAAGAAGACGAAGACGACGACGACAATGTTGTTGGCGACTTTTTTCTTTCTGTTTCTCCTTTGCGAAGTCGAGGATCACGAGGAGCTGATATCGGTTTTTCCACATCACGTTGCTGTTGCTGTTGCTGCTGCTGCTGATTGCTGGCGGTATGCACTTCCTTTTCCTTTTCAGGTTGACTCTGTTTTTCCTTGTCTATGGATGATGACGATGATGGAGAGGAGCTTGTGGGAGCAACTGTGATAGTGGTGGGAGTGGTAAGAGTATCCTTATTATGCTGATCGGTATGCGATGATGAAGTCTCTTTTGTCGTAGTGTCGTCTTCTTCCACAGGGGGTGCTGGTATTGATGGTGGTGGTGCTTTTGGTCTTTCCCATGTGCTCAGCCCAGTTTCAGTATTATAATAATAAACATATCCACGACTTGATACGATCGACTGCCAAGGTTTCGGTAATGTGCGATCATCCTCGGTGTCAAACAAACCATGTTGTACTCCGTTTTGTTTCCTCTCCTCTTGATGGTCTTCTTCTTGATGCTGTTCAACATTGGATTCCTCTGCGACATGACTCGACTCTTGTTCCAACTTGGCAGGCACGTCCTTTTCCTCTTTGGTAATCCTATCCTGTGTTGTTGTACCAAGCTGATCATGCACCTCACTCGTCGATGTACCTTGATTGTCGGAATCATTCCCATGTTGTACAGCATTGACATCCTCTTTGTATCCATTCTGCATGACATCACGTGGTTGATGATTCTCGTTTCCTTTTCTCGCCTGCTTTTTGACATGAGCTTGTGATTTGTCATCCTCTTCAGGTCGCTCTCGCTTTCCATGACTAGGCTGTATTGTAGATGGCTGCTCTTTCTCCAATAAATCATGCTGCTTTTTATCATCTTGGTCTTGTTTCTTCTCTGCTGGCTTGTGTTGTTTTGGTTGATCTGCTTCCTTCTCATTATCCTCTTCCTGTTTCTTCTTTGGTGGTTCATGTTGTTTTTCTTGATCTTGTTTTCCTTGTTGTCGTTTCCTAGCATCATCCTCATCCTCATCCTCATCCTCATGAAGTTTGGGTTCCTCTTTATCACGCTGTTGGGTGCTATTGCTGATCTTCTCTTGTTGTTGTTGTTGCTTAGTGTCGACTACAAATTCTTCTTCGGTTTCAATCGACCAATCTGGCAACATGATATCCGATTGCTCGCCGACACTAATATCCATAGAGATCACTGATTCCCCAGATGGTGACATCTCGTTCTTTCTTTCAGCAGGTTGCTGTGATTGAGATGGATACATCTTGGATTTTGATGTGTCTGCTGCTGCTGCTGCCTTCTTCTTATTCGATTCAGAAGATGCCTTAGGGGGCATCGATTGGGTTGCCGGCTTTTCATCAACACGTGACGATGGTGATTTCCCTTTGCTGCTTGAGGTCGTACTAGTGCTATTCTTTGTAGATGGTGCTTGCTTCTTTGGTGGTGAAGACTTTTCAGGGCGCACTTTGGGTGTCACATTCGTTGTCGGTTTTTGTGCCGATGTTGCTTTGGACGTATCATTTTTTGCAGTGTGCTTTGATTTGGTGGTTTCAACGCGTTGTTTCTTGCTGGGACGAGGTTCATCATGTGATTGGCGTGAGTACTTGGGAATATAACTATCACCACCACGTCGTGGTGATGGCTTTTGTTGGGTTGTCATGGCAATCTGGTTTAGCTCCGAACCGTTCAAGTACCGGGTAGTAGTTGGAGATGGGAGCTCATGATGTTGCGAAACTAATGGTTGGCTGATCATAGGTGGTGGATGGCTTGTCTCGATCACTGGATATGGATGATGATGTTCCATGGGTGCTCCATTCGAATAGGGAGGTTGCTGCTGATGTGATTGTTGATTTAACCATACTGCTGCTGTCGTTTGTGGTGGTGAAATGTGAGCTGGTACAGCACTATCATAGCCAGGTGTTGTTGAAGGAGAGGGAGTAAAAGAGGCTGTCAGCATTTGTGGATGTGAAGATTGTTCTCCCTTGGATATGATTCTTCCTCCACCCAATGGTGCAGTGATGATGATTTCGCTTGGTGAGTAACTTCCAACTCGCTTTGTCGACCTTGTCGTTGGTGGAGGGGATGGTGATGGCTCATAACGGTGGTAATTGCTACGATAACCATGATAGCGCTGCTGCTGACGATAACCACCATATCGAGGAGGCATCGTATCGACATGGTCATCTTCGTCTTCCATATAGCTGTCATAGGGTTGATATTCATACGGGGACGAGGCGTACTCATCGTGCTGATCGTCATCAAGGTAGGGATCGTCAAAGGTGGATGAGTGATAGCTCGGGTTGTAATCCTGACGTCTTCTTCCCAAACGATTGAATACAGACGTACGACCGTTACCACGGCTGTAGGAATGTCGGTGGTGGCTCATACAAAAAGTAGATAAGCGTGTGTAATGGAAAGACCCTTTGGAAAAATGGCGGTAGATAACGGACTATTTTTCATTGTAGCAAATGGGGAGGCATGACTCTTTGTCTGGTCCGATCTGTTTCCATGGAAACATGCATACCAACGCCTTATTCTATTTGATTGTTTTTCATTTGTCCGAATATGATAGAACCTTGTCATCCGTTTTACCTTTGAAGTGATTCAGGGATTGCATATCCATCAAATTACCCCATATAAATATTCATATCCAAGCAAGGCAAACATGTCATTATTCTGAAACCGCTATTAGAGAGCACAAAGGATGCAACATGGCAACCAAATCGGTTCACAGACTGTGATCGAGTGTAAACAACAAAAACTCTAAATAGAGAATACTGCGTGCGTAAAACCATTCCTTTATCTTCTTTTTTCTTTTTCCCCCCTATTCATCTCGCTCAAACTGGAAAACCAAGTCTATAATTGCAACACGGCAAACGAATTCGGGCCGCAGGTCCCTGTTCTTCTCCATGTCCCTTGCACATGTGAGAATCCGGAGCCAATCGTAGTCATCAAGCGAGAGACCACGCCTATGGGCCAACCACCCGTTGTACTTGGTATGTTCAGTAACATACAACAGCCATCATGCATACAGCTACTAACGATGTCTTACGTGTAGTAACTGGAGTCTTTATCAAGGATAAAAAGCCAATCATTGTAGATGAGCGTCGAGATAGATCTGTTGACTTGATGATATTCGATAAACGATCTAGCAGTGCAACAACGCCTTCTCCATCAGAACCCTCCATGCCAAAGTTTTATCCATTGGATGCATCGCACGGACCAGCTATGGCATTGCTCTCAGCGCATTTACTTCTTGAACCAACCCCGCAACAAACGTCATTTCCCTTCCATCAATATTTACAACAGCAACCACAACAACAACAACAACCACAAAGCATGTATTATTGTACTCCAATGTTACCTCCCATGCCATCTCATACCCCACAACAACATCAGCAGCATCCACTTGTCACCCCATTATATTCCCAACAACCACCACCAGTACTTGGTTACTATCCAACACCATCTCCACAATCTCCTCTCAACCAATTACCACAGCTATCCACTACCCCTTCTTCACACACAAGACGAAAACCTGTACGACCTCTATATCAACAACAGCAACACCGAGATGATGAGAGGCGTGATACAAGAACATCAACCCCACATCACTATCAGCAACAACAACAGCAGCAAGAACCACCTCCGCCACGACAACATCGCATCCCAAGGAAGCAACCACAATATTTAGCCCCCAGTAGCAGTAACAGCAACAGTAGCAACAATCAATCTCGAAGAGTAAGATTTGCGAATACGTTACAAGTCATGACCTATGATGCGGAAGACGAGGGAGAAGAAGAAGAAGAAGACAATCTTGTATGGGATGACACGCAGGATGATTTCTATCAACAAGAAGAGGAGGAACAACGCCGTAGGCGACGTAATAACAACAACAGGGTTTTTGGATTATATACACCATCAGCAAGAAAGAGATCCTATCAATACGCCCCTCATTCTGCATCTTATTATTAAAAAACGAGACATCATTCCTCCTATATAGTTGCCATTTAATGTGTGTGTATGATGAATATTTAATGAGTGGTGGGAGAGAGAGAGAAATTAAAGGGGGGTTGTTGTTGTGCTGCGCCACTATGATTCGATCGGGAAAGGAAGGAGTTGTCGTTTCTCAAGCAGGGCAGCTGGCTGACATTTCCTTGGGTGTGGATAGTGGCCTTGGATACATCCTCTTTTACCCAATGGCACCCAAGAAAGGTACCTTAAGCAACACAACAAAATGAGATAGAGATGGATGGATGGATGGATGGATGGTTGGGTGGATGGATGCGTAGATACATGGATGGATGGAAATTAATCATTTGGATATCCCTTGTCTATATAGCTTCCACTGCTTCTCAAAAGGCTCTTGCTGCCAAGAAGGCCGCCCTTAAGGGTGTCCATGGCAAGACCACTCGCAAGGTCCGCACCTCGACTCATTTCCACCTTCCCAAGACTTTGCGTTTGTCTCGCAAGCCCAAATACGCTCGCAAGAGTGTCCCTCACTTGCCCCGCATGGACCAATACCGTGTCATTCGCCAGCCTGTCAACACCGAGACCGCCATGAAGAAGCTTGAGGAAACCAACACCCTTACTTTCATTGTCGATGTCAAGGCTAACAAGAACCAAGTCAAGGATGCTGTCAAGCGTCTTTATGATGTTGAAGCCCTTCAAGTCAACACCCTTATTCGGTATGGATATAGCGAGCCCATGGTATGATAGATTCTTCCTATTAACTTTATTGTCCGGTATTCCACAATAGCCCCGATGGTAAGAAGAAGGCTTTCGTTCGCTTGACTGCCGATGCTGATGCTTTGGATGTTGCCAACAAGGTAAGAAAAAAAGAGTGGAAGGGTGCGTTTGCATAATTTAAACTTACCATCGTTATGATAGATCGGTTTGATCTAGATACTTTCTTTCTTTGGAAGATCAATAAATGCTGTCAATCTTGTAAATTGCTGCTGCGGACTGAATTCATGCACTGATACCATGCTTGAGTGATGATTGGATGATATGGATATTCAACTACGTTATGTTTGTTGCTATGCTAGAATGACTAGTTTGTTTGGATCACCGTGATAGGATACTACTACTGGAAACGCGATCTACCACTACAACTATAATAGCATCCTTAGTGTCAATGAACGATCGATGGTGTAATAGATAACTCAGAACTCCGCGGTTTGACCTTTTCGCCACGACACTAAGTCTCGCCTGTGTTCTTTCCAATCCAAGCCCTTTCTCTCTTCCTCTCTCTCTCTCTCTCGCTTCTTTTTCTTCCACAAAGGATGGTGCGGTATTACTACCAGGATGATCCATTACCTCAATCGCATTCAGCAATCATACGATGGTTTGGATTCGATCGCTTCGTTCCCGAGTGGGCTGTGACATCTTACTGGATGCCATCCAAGGCATTGCTTTGTATACGAATCATTACTTGTCTATATAGCACTATAGTCATATGGGCATCCATTGGCACATCAGCCATGCAAGGCAACTTTCAGCATTACTTTGCGCATTTTACGGAAATGACCTATATTGGCTTACACGCCTATCTTGTGGTAAGGATTATCATGCTCCGTAAGAGAAGAGCAATGTGATTGAAAATTTGTAGACTGTGCTATATCATCATGTCCGCTATTTAATGCATCAACATGAGCCGAGATCTTTTTTCAATCAGCCATCGGTACTCAATTACATGTTTTATTATCTATATCATACCATCTGTGTTTACAAGTAAGTCAGCAGGGCTTTTCAGTTACACGAATATTCACCGAGGTGACATTGCTGACCTCATTACTTAGCATCATTACACCCATTGTCTATTGGGCTGCACTCTCTCCTCAAGTCACGCATGGTAAGTTTTCATTGTCATGGCAATCCCATCAATGACACATGTACATGTATGTAGCGAGTGGCACAAACCCATCTGCCGCTCAGAGTGGCGGCTATCAGCCACCAATAGATTGGTGGATCAATACATCCATGCATGGTGTATCCTTTGTCTTGATGGCTACGGAAGTACTTTTTAGCCGAATGCGCATGACTCTCAGGATGGTCGTCATTATTCTCATCAACATCATTCTTTATATGCTTCTTACTTTTATCATCTTCGCAAGGTAAGTCACCATCATCAAAGCCGAGAATTTTATTCATCGTCATCATCCAATCATTTAGTACGGGATGGTGGGTGTATTCGTTTTTGGATTGGAGTCAAGGAGCCATTTGTGCAGCTTGGTACCTTGGTATTGGGGCTGCTTTTGTTGTCGTCTTTGGTGTAATGTACCTGATACATATGCTTCGCGATTGGATAGCAAAGAAACTTGCACAGCAGTAGAACTAAATATTCCCCTACTACTACTAAATAATAATATACAACATTAGATATATAGCTCCACAGCAATGTATATAAAATCTTATACCAATGACAGCCTCCATTGTGACATGCATTAACCTCTTGACTGGTGCTACCATCACGTGTTCAAAATGCATATCTCTATTACGTAGGGGAACATGTCAGCTGCACATTCTGCTGGATTGATATGGTAAGACTTACACAAGGATAGCAGTTTGAGCAATGGCAAAAAGCGCGCATCCACTCCTGCCCCCGATTTGAGGATTCAGGGACGTACATATTCACCAGCAGCTTCAAGCTCACAAGATGACACTCTAATAATCAATGCGGTGATGATGTATGGCATGGGATTTAAAAATGGGGAGGACATTTTTCTACATGATTTTACATACGACGCTCTTTTTTCCTCCTCCAATACTTTGTCATCTTGGATGGATAGCGAATACCAAGTCTCTTTGATTACATGTATCTTTGGCGGGTTCATCCTATTGTATGGGCTATGTTCCCTTGGTCTTAAGGAGAAGCTATACATGTCAGAAGCTCGCAAGTAGATGGCAAAGTCGTATGAAAAATACAACATGAATCTAACAAGGAGTATAGTGATTGCCACATTATATGGCATTTTCATCGGACCCCTTGGTGTTGGCCTTGTTGATCTTGAAGGATGGGATGGCAAACATGAACTTACACGAGAATTTAGTCGAATAGCGATCGGCATCCAAGTCATGGTTGTTGGTATCACACTGCCGAAAAAGTACCTCATCAAAGAAGCCCGCTCGTTGTCTATTCTTCTCGTGCTGGTGATGAGTACCATGTGGATCGTGAGCGCACTTTGTGTATGGCTAGTGTTTCCCAATCTCACTTTTGTAAGTATTCTTTGGATGTTCATTGTATGTCAATGGTAGCTAATACGTTGCTATTGTTGGACACACAAAGCTGGAAGCCCTTATGATTGCATCATGCTTTACACCCACAGACCCTGTAAGTGCAAACGCAAAGCATCTGATCCTTCACTAATAAGGGTGTTGGTGGTTGCTTTTGTACCAGGTACTTGCCAACTCGATCGTTCAAGGCCATTTTGCAGAAAAATATGTTCCAAACCATGTAAGGAACATCATTGTGGCAGAAAGGTAAGATGCTAAACAACATTGTTTAATTAACCGATATTGATGCATATGCATATAAAGCGGTGCCAATGACGGATTAGGTTACCCTTTCCTTTTTATTGCAATGTTCCTGATTCAAATGCCTACCGGCGAAGCATGGATACGGTGGACACTCGAAGTGATGCTGTATCAAATAGCACTATCCATCTTTATTGGCTTTGTCACCGGTTTCTTAGCTCGAAAGTTGCTACGTTTGGCGCACGATAGGTATGTTAATAAGCACACCTTGTACTAAATTTGACCACCCATGAATTGACAATATGCATGATGATGATAGGAAACTCGTTGATGAAGAATCATTTTCAATCTATGCATTAGCACTAGCCGTAAGTGCTCCAAACACCATGTTGCATTTTGCATATCAACTGACACGTGATCATGTGGTATAGCTTTTCCTTATCGGCTGGGTTGGTGCACTCGGCAGTGATGATCTTCTTGCCTGTTTCATTGCAGGGTGCTCATTCACGTGGGATGGATGGTACCAATACAATTCAGAGAACTCACATGTCGTAGAGGTAAAGTGGGTTATACCAATGATGATTCATGTTATCTAACCAAGTGATGATGACTTTTATTACAGGTCATTGATATGATGCTTAATCTTGGCATGTTCATGTACATTGGTGCTATTATGGTATGTATCGGGGATGAGTGTAAAGATGAAATCTAACAAGTGATCCTTGCAAAATCAGCCATGGTCAGCCATGGTACAATTAGGCATAATGCCCCTTGTTTTGCTTGCCGTTCTTGTACATTTATTCCGCCGCTTACCTGTGGTTGCATTATTGTACCCTATTATACCAGCGGTGCATGACTTGAAAGAAGCCCTATTCACAGGATTCTTTGGGCCCATGGGTGTTGGTTCGGTGTTTTATTGTTCTGTGGCAATGATCGATATCACTTTGGAACAATCGGATAGCTATGGAAGTCAAATTCTAGAACCCATTGTCTACGCCATTGTATTATCATCCATCCTTGTTCACGGCATTACAATCCCTGTATTCCAAGCTGGGAACAACCTGAAGCAACGTATATCCTCGAGGCATCAATACGAAAATGTACCCGATATTGAGCGTAGATCACTGGTAAAAATTCATTCTTTTCATTTGACAATGATCCCATCCACTGACATTTATATATAATATAGCAAAACAGCGAACACTATAGATCCTATGGCTCCCTTACCGAGCAATAACAACAAAGTTAGACATATACATCATTGCACAAGAATAAACATACGTATACGCCTACCAGAAGTGCCTGATTGATTTTCTTGCATTGCACACAAACATCGGAGTGTTTCTTTTCCTTCTACTTTCGCTTGACACTGCAATGAGAAAGTCCAATCGTTCGAATTCAGGAGCAACAGGAGCATCAGGAGCCGGTGGTCGCATGCAACGCATTGTCTCTCAAGCCGGGTTCTATGCTGCTACAAGGCTGTCGTCCGAGAGCAATGACACGATACCCACCACCACTGCAAACAACACACGATCCAAAGCACTTGGGACAATGTCAGACTCGCTAGCCAGTGAACCATTGCATCGAGGCGCCAATGGGCTTATACGCTATCGCCTTCCAGGCACAGTGAACACCATATCAATATCGCAGGATCGAGAATTGGTGGCAGTTGCAGGACGTGAAGGTGCGTGCGTGTGTGTGCATACGCGACAAAGGATAAAGTTGCATGACTGAACTATGATCCACCTCTTGCAGTCCTCAAGGTATTGACAGTATCACCGACACACGTTGATGAAGTGCTCAACTTGCGAGCTGGAAGTAATCTGAAGGCCAACTATAGCGTTACGGATATCAAATGGGGCAACAATGGTAAGGATATTCTATATGCTACGCATGTCATCTAAAGAGATTTCTCACATGACCCATTTAGTGACAAAGAACAAGGTGGTTACAGCAGCAACAAATGGTTCTATCGTCTTGTGGGATATCAATAAGGCAACAGGGAGGAGAGCAGGTATAAAGTTGGAAGGATAGACCTTTGGATGCGTCATATTGAAAGCTATTTCCTTAGAGCGTATGATCAACGAGCATAGCCGTTCAGTGAATCGAGTTTGCTTTCAGCCAGAAAATGGGCATATCCTACTTAGTGCTTCACAAGATGGGACAATGCGCTGTTGGGTAAGGCGTGCTATAGGATGATGGATGTGATTGAAACTAACACCAATGATTAGGATTTACGAGAACCAAGAGCACAAGCACGTTATCGTTTTGAAGGGAAATCAGAATCTGTACGGGATGTCCAATTCAATCCTTTAATCCATCATGAATTTGCGGCTGCATTTGAAGCGGGTATCATCCAGGTAACTTACTATAAGGATGATCAAGACGACATACGGCTCATCTCTTTCGTCTTTTTCTTCTTTTTAGAAATGGGATATGAGGAATCCAAAGACTCTTTATGAGAAGAAAATGAGTGCTCACAATGGCCCTTGTTTAACCATTGATTGGCATGCCAACGGTCGTTGGGTGGCAAGTGCTGGAAGAGACAAGACGATCAAGGTAAGGCTGGGAGGTGTTGATCACGCTGTCATATGATGCTCAATGGAAGACCCTTTTTCAAGGTTTGGGACATGAGTGTCGATAGTCGTAGACCGCTATATACCATACGTACGATGGCAGCCGTGGCTCGAATACAGTGGCGTCCCGATCATGAGAACGAGATAACGTCTTGTTCGCTGATTTCAGACAGTCGAATGTATATTTGGGATATACGAAGACCTCACATTGCAAAGTACGCATTCAATGAACATGATTCTTCCACAACAGGTAATATTATTTGTGAGACATGCCTTATGTACGTAGCTTACCTACCTTTATACTTGCAGGATTCATCTGGTATGACGCCGATGTACTTTATTCATCCGCCAAGGACAAAACGTTTGTACGACAGGCAATGCAACATGCGTATGAACCAGCAAATTTATTATGTCGCAATGGTATGGGATGGAATATTCAAGGTGATCTCGCGTTTGCTGTGGATCAGAGTGCAAGAGATAAGTTCGTGGATGAGAGGTGAGTTTGTCTTTTGGTCACGACATGAGGTAGTAGAACGTGTTCTAAATGGTACCTTTTCAGTGTTATTCCTCGACCCACTGTCAGCCAGCCCAAAAAATGGAAGAAGCTTGCAAAGATGCCAATAGAACAAGAGGTATGAATTTGGAAAAAGAAAGCACTTGGATCCTCCCGGTATATTCAGATGCTTGATTTAGGTAGTGCAATACATACCTCCGCAAAGCTGTGGTATTGCCCATTTGCCACTCTTTGATTTCGAAGCCTTTTCCTTATTTGCCGAGAACTATGATATATCAAATACGGACATCCTTGCATCATGTGAGAAGAATTGCGAGGTAGGCGAAACGACAATTAAAATGGTCAAGTCCTTCCCTTTAACTTTGTTGGTTAGATTGCTTGGAAATTATCTCGATACCGAACTGCTCAAGCGTGGAAGATTATCTCTCTACTTTTTAGACCAGAGCATGACGGTGATAAAGAGGATGAGGTAAAGCCTACCGTACAATCACAACGACATCCATATGTTAACTTTAGATGCTAGGTTGATGATGATGATGATGAGGAGCAGGAGGAATCAGGGCGAAAAGCCAATGGCGAAGCTAGTGAAAAAAGCGGCATTGATTCAGACACAGAAGATACCATGACAGACTTATGGCAGGCCTGGGAGCATGAAGGCGTTATCCATGAATTACTGGAATATTATACCGAACAGGTACGAAAACGACTTGGGATGCTGTTTGTCGCATGCATAGTAACGCTGCTGCCAATAGGGAGATGTGCAAATGTGCGTTACATTGTATTTGGTGCTACAAAATCACATCACGGTCAATCATGATCAGATAGAAGACTGGTTCTCAGCCTATATAGGTGGGTTTGGTTGGTTATCTGATACAAGAACAACAGCTTATCAATGTTATCTTTGAATAGATTTGCTCCAGCGATTCAAGTTGTGGACAACAGCAGCAGCCGTAATCAATGCGTGCCCAGTGAGCCGTATCAGGGAACGCAATGAGGTAAGACAACGCAGCTAGTATCAGCTTTATGGTTATTCACATGATTTTGAAGAATTCCACCACGATCAACATTGCATGCAATAACTGCTTCAAGCTGGTATCGGGTTCAGCTCAAGGTGCTTGGGCTTGCGACAAGTGCCATCAGTTGTTGAATGGATGCTCAATATGGTAAGTGTGGATTACCTTGCAGCGGCCTAATGCGCCGTATTGATAACTTGGGTAGTCATCAAACGGTGCGAGGATTATACGTATGGTGTCAAGGCTGTAACCATGGAGGTCATCTAGAGCATATGCGTGAGTGGTTCTCGAATGAGCCATTATGTCCAACCGGTTGTGGCCACTCCTGCAAACTATCCCCTTTGTAAAAATTTCATTTCTAATACATATCGACTAGCGGCAATATCGCTGTCCTTGTAAACTTTGATTTCTCGTTGACTGCCTTAACACTATCTATGGAGTAATGACCTCATAACAAGCTTACATGCAACCACGTTTCAACCTCGTAGATTCATATGTACAGGAAACTTCATCCCTATTTACAATAAAAGAAACAACCTCTGTAATAAGCTGTCCTGGAAGGATCGATCATGCACTCTCTGACCAATGGGAAGGTCTGCTCTCTGGACTGTGATACACTAACACACTGCTCTGCATCTTTGTCTCTAGTATGAGTGAGACGATTAACACTGAGCAAAGACCACTTCTCATATAGCATCACGCTTACAGCATAGTGAAAACATAAAGGTGCCTGTATCTCTAAACTTTACAATCAAACGTGGGGTCTTTAATAGAACAAAGCTGCTCGGCGGGGTGAAAGGGATCGCGTGTGCAAGTTTCACGATCGTGGTTGCCAATCTCAGATTTCGCAAATGTCGCCACCAGCCAAATTGGAATCAGGTCGACCTCTTGAATTTTTTTTTCGTCGACGAGCAAAAATGTTTTTTGGCTGGTAGCGATATCGGGTGAATCTGGGATCGGTCACGATCGACTTCATAGCTTGACACAAGATCGCTTTCACCCCGCCGAGCAACTTTGTTCTATTAAAGACCCCACGTTTCATTGTAAAGTTTGGAGATACAGGCACCTTTATGTTTTACATATGCTGTAAGCGTGATGCTATATGAGAAGTGGTCTTTGTTCATTGCCAAGTAGCTAGACCTTGGAGAGCCAAAGATGCAGAAGGACCTCTTTGGGTAACTCAGCTAAAAAATCAGGACTTCAGGGACCATGCATGAAAGGTACGCAACTCTCACTTTTATGTCATACATTGGCAGCTAATAGCCACTTTTGTGCATTCCCAACTTTTGTGCATTCTATTGTAGGTGGACGATGCTCCTGCTCCAGACATTCATTTCCATGATTAAAGTAGGTTGATCCGAGCTGATTTGGTTGAGTTACGCTCACACAAGATTACATCGGTTGAGCTACATCGAGCATGCTCTATGTCCAGAGTGATGTAATCTCTCTTTGACCGCAGCTCAGTCAAATCAGCTCGGATCAACCTACTTTAATCATGGAAATGAATGTCGAGAGCAGGGGCATCGTTCGCATGCAGTGGATCTCGCAACAATGATGATTGGATAAAAGTGGCCGTTAGCTAGCAATACATGCCTGTTCCTAGATGATCCATAAAGTAATTATACATTGACCCTTTCATTCATGCAAACGTAGCTGTGTTACACAACACGACCCTCTGCATCTTTTGCTCTGCCAGGGTCCAGCGACTTGACATTGAACGAAGACCACTTCTCATATAGCATCACGCTTACAAACATAAAGGTGCCTGTATCTCCGAACTTTACAATGAAACGTGGGGTTTTTATTAGACCAATGGGCTCGGCTTGGCCAACAGCACCTTGTGTGCACGTTTCGCGTTCAATGTCGCAAACAGCCCAAAAAATATTTTTTGGTCGTCGTCGTCGAAGAGGTCGACCCCCAGATCCAGTTTGGCTGGTAGCGACATTGCGAAATCTGGGATTGGGAAGCTTGATCGTGAAACTGGCACTCAAGGTGCTGTTGGCCAAGCCGAGCGCATTGCTCTAATAAAAACCCCACGTTTCATTGTAAAGTTCGGAGATA